AAACCTATAATCAGTGCTGAACTTGTTGGGTTTTGCTCTCCTCTCCTTTAAGATGGTTAAGAAGCGAATCCCACTAATATTGGCAGCTATTTAGTAAAACAATAGTGATCTTACCAAAATGTGAACAGCGAACAGGTGTGCTCTTGGAAATATATAAATGCATGTGGCAAGAAACAAATCATTTAGAAACTGTCATATTTCTAAAGAGATAACCTGAAACAAAAGCATTAATTTAAACATGCTTTACCGATAGATAAAAATGAAAATGATGCTTTAATGGCCTTGTGTTTGATGTTTTTTTTAATAGAAAAAATATAGATGAAGACCTTCATATTACTTAAGCATCTAATTGACTCAGGCAACTTAAATCCTTAATTTTATCTGCTAAAAGGAACATTATTTTTGCAAATGCTGAAAAAGACCCACAGACTGATGGTATTAGTCTGATACAGAATTCTGATGAGTGGGTAAACGTGGAAGATGTATGTAACAGAGAGTACAACTGCACTCCAGGAACAGGACAGTGATGAGAGGGAAGAAAATAAGTGGCCGTGTTGGTCCATTTTAATGACTCAACCAGAGGAAGTATGCAGACATGCCTCTGCTCCTGTCATCAGGGTCTCTGAGTCCCACATCTACCCCAGTCTACTTCCTTTCCGTCAATAAAATATATGTTTATATACGTAACAGAAGTTAGGCAGCATTTGCATAACTTAGTCTCCAGATCTTAAAACCATTTGATTGTCCAAGATGTTTTAGCCTTCAACAGGAGTAAGGAGTCATTGTAAAGCTACTTATTTGTCACGAAAAAGGTTCCTACTTAATATGGCATTTATTTTCAACAGAATTTAACCTTCCTCTCTGTAAACTGCAAACATTACAGGGAAGTCGTCAATAAAATGTCCATTACATATCCTGACTTATCAGACAACTATGTTGGGTAAAACATGTTGGGTAAAACATGTAGACCAGAATATTACAACCTTGAGGGGCCAGGCTTTGAAAAAGGTTTAATAATCTTAGATAATACAATAAATAATACTGGATAATAGATAATTATGCTAGAATACAATATATAATTATCTTTTGATCTGTTTTTGTAGAGATAACGCAGTAATTACCTGTTCATTAGTTTTTCATGCTCATGAGCCCATGTACTGTGAATGAGAGCTCACATGCTTTCCAAATATGCACTAAGCACACTATCAAGACAAAATGTTTTTACAGCTCTTTATTTTTACCTCTGCACTACAGAATTATCAAAATTATGCAGATAATTCCCCCCCCTGAGCATTATATGATGCTTCAGCTGCGTCTGAACTGGCAGAACAAATTCATATTTGATGGCATGTTCTTAAAACATAATTATTCACTGTATAATGTATTTATCAATTGTTTTTTTTTTTTTTACTTCGCCTGAGAACCAAAGGAAGCCAGAAAACTGTTGAGATGCAAAAACAGGTCATTTTTCTTCCTGTGTCCCCCCCCCCCCTAATTTATACAATGATGTCACCTAATGAATGTTTGGTGGAAAAACATTACGGTGGAAACACAGCCAAATCCATGATAGGAAATAGTCAGACTGTGCCAAGTTCTGTTTTTATTTGCTTTTTCCTGTCCATATCAAAGACACACAAAAAAATGCAACTGTGTCTTTAACCTGCAGTTTGAAACAGAAAAAGTTTAGTAGCCTCCTCCAGCCTTGCAGTGGAGCCTCTCTGCTCATGGGTTTCAATGTGTTATCATTTAGATGTTTGTTCCATTATAATGTTATAATATGGATTCCAGAAGCAGTTGTCAGATTGGTTTCAGGTTTCAGATTTTAAAAATACCCTCTAACACCAGTTGCAGACCATCTGTTTATTGCAAAAACACCATCCAAAGTCAGAAGCTCACCACAGAGTAATTAGCAGTTAAAGAGTCAGGAGAGTTTACACAGATTTTATACCAGAAAAAAAAAAGAAATCCTCAATTATTAATTAAGGTCCTCTCCTCTGTCAGTTTCAAAGCTTTTAACAGCAGCATGATTTCTGAGTGATTTCATCTGCCTCTTGCGACAGGGTTTCCTTCAGTTTTTAAAAAGTCTTAAATGTAGAGAAGCACAAGTTCATTATTTGTAGCCATTATCTGATTAGCATTTTAAGCTTTCACCCACAATTTTGGCCAAAAACTGTTTTTATTGATGAGAAGAGTTAAAAGCAACATTTGAGATAGTTTTTGTTTTAGTTTTTTTGTCTTTAATTTTGTTGGTCGTAGAGGCGCCGTCTCAGAAGAAGTGAGTGTGCTGTGAGCATAACGACTTTTACAAAACTTTTTGAAAAAAAAAAAATTATATATATATATATATATATATGTATATATATATATATATATATATATATATATTTATATATATATATATATATATATATATGTTCGAAAGTTAACATTTTTAAGTAGAATTTGGCAATTATATTTTCTAATATCTGTAAATGTATTGTGTTTCAAAGAAAAAAAAAGTATTACAGCATATCACGAACAAGGTGATTCCAGTAAAGCTATTATTTGAAGGGGAATGCCGTTTTTTTTTACATTGGGCCCTTGATTTTACGTTATTGCATCATGTTCTACTCACCCATATTAGTTTTGTGTCATTTGGAGCTGTTCTGAAGATATTCCGTTAGGTTATATTCAAGTAACGTCTTCCTATGGGCAACGAGTTGAAGGCACAAACTAAACTGTTCATAATTTATTCATTATGGTACGCCAGCATTCATAACAGGTAGGCGAATAACTGTCAGATAATCTCTGTCCCCCAGAAATCTGAGGTTATATTTATAATTTTCCTATTTTTTTTTTGCAAAGCGCCGCGTATATGACGTCATCCACGCCATTCATCCTGTCCGCTAAACTGCTGCTAGTTTTACTCACATGCCTGGAAGATGTCTAGTGCTACTACCACAGATGATCTCGCACTTGAAATGGAATTGAACGATTCAGATTAGCTAGCTGAATGAATAGAAAGGAGCGTAGAGCATAGCCGCCTGTGGCCCAGGCTGCCTGTTACAACTCCAGTCAGGTGCGCAGATGACGTCTGATGATTTCCTTTGGTGTCAGCACAAATTTGACGAATAGCTAACCAATGAGGGTTTGCGCTATATGACTCATCCAATCACACTAGTTTTCACTAGATGTGGATGGAGCCAATGATTTGCATTGGATGGCGCACATGACGTGAAATAGATATTTAAACATTAGACCGAAGCCAAGAGTAACGAGTAAAGCTTGTTTTAAAAATGTAAGGAATAGAAAATACAGATACTTGTGTGAAAATGTAATGAGTAGAAGTCAGAAGTAGGAGGAAAAACAAGTAATGGAGTAAAGTATAGATACCTAAAAAGTGTACTTAAAGGAATAGTACACCCAAAATATGATTAGCCTTCATTTTCTACTCACCCCCATGCTGAACAACACTCTGGAGTACTTTTTTGATATCTCAAATGCATCTGGAGATCTGGGAGGCTTCTTACTGTCTGCTGACATTCAAATAATGGAGGTCTATGGTGCCCGAGGCAGAAAGGTCCATAAAAGTCCACAAAAAACGTGTCAATATTCCTCCATACTGCTCGTCCAATGTATTCCAAGTGTCCTGAGTGGGTAGCATCCAGAATGTACTCGAAACAAAGTCATTTAGAATGTTTTTAGAGCATAAACAGTAGTGTATAGGATTTCCTAAAAGCGCGCGCCTGCGAGTTCACGAGCCTACGGAAACCGCGGCAGACCAAACCAGATGAAAGTGCGCATTTAGCTCGGCAAAGAACTCATACTCTTCCTCAACACTGAAGTCCTCAGACATTTTTCTTTCGGTGTTTCTTTCTTTGCACAGGTAAACAGCAAATTTCTTCTTCTACGCTTGCATTATCAAGAGCAGACGCTGAATGCGCACTTTCATCTGGTTTGGTCTGCCGCGGTTTCCGTAGGCTCGTGAACTCGCAGGCGCGCGCTTTTAGGAAATCCTATACACTACTGTTTATGCTCTAAAAACATTCTAAATGACTTTGTTTCGAGTACATTCTGGATGCTACCCACTCAGGACACTTGGAATACATTGGACGAGCAGTATGGAGGAATATTGACACGTTTTTTGTGGACTTTTATGGACCTTTCTGCCTCGGGCACCATAGACCTCCATTATTTGAATGTCAGCAGACAGCAAGAAGCCTCCCAGATCTCCAGATGCATTTGAGATATCAAAAAAGTACTCCAGAGTGTTGTTCAGCATGGGGGTGAGTAGAAAATGAAGGCTAATCATGTTTTGGGTGTACTATTCCTTTAAGTACAGTAACCAAGTATTTGTACTTCGTTACTTGACACCTCTGGATGTAACCGGATAATTAAACACTGAATACATAATGATGCCAGTTTCAAATGCAAAGTCTAAACTGAAAAAGTGCCAAGTCAAAAAAAATGAAAGGTTGTTCTAGGGAAATATCAATCAAGATCCAATAAGCTCTGGCTAATTGGGCTCAAAATTAAAAGATATCTAGAATGGTTTGCAGTTGCACAGTACACTGTACATCTGTTTATTTTTTAAACAAAATATCTTTTTAAACAAAAGTGGAATTTCAGGTTTTTTTTAAATCACACCAAACTTATGATCAATATATTTGTAGAAACAGCTGTCCTATCCTTAGGATCCTTAGGAGCACAAATTTAATAATGCGTGTGAAACCAATTTTACTCAAACCATACAATGTGACGCAACTGTGAGAATTAAGAATCAGAATCACCAGTCTGGCTCATTCGCCACTTCAGTCTTTTAACACATAGGTCAATCTATTAACACACTTGCCTTTGCAATGTGAAGCACCTGATAATTTCTCTTTTATACAAAAGACCATCTAATAATCGCTTGATGTCATAGTTCTACAGTAGGAGGTAAAAAATAAGAAACAAAAGGTGTAACTGTTGTAACCCTGTGGCCAGTTCCTGAGAGAAGAAGGTGTGGTGTCAGAGGCAGAGAGGTATAAAAGAGACGGAGGACAGTTCAGTAGAAGAAAAAGCTCAAGAGGAGGAGAGACATGTGAAAGAACTATCTGCAAAAGGAGAAAGAAGATTTTCAAGTTTAAAATAAAAAATCAGAAGCTCTGTACCAAGGGTTCATTTTTCAAAAGGTAAGAATAAATTAATCTACTTGTTTTATTAATGGATGGGATATTTAGATTAAACTGTGCAGAGAAGTTAGATTATCAAGATCTGGAAATGAAAGATTGTATTAAATCTAAATGAACTATTTACAGGCTCAGCTTCCATCCTTTTTATTATTTGCACCATGTACAGTTTAATCAACTATTGTTAGAACATTTGTGTTGCGGTTTCTTTATTCTCACCTTTTTGCTTCACATTAACACTTTTTAAAATATTCACTGTAAAATATTAGGCATAAATACCCGAGAACACGGTCATGTTCAGCTTTTTTTTTTTTTTTCAGTTTTTAAGTTGGACCTTATGTTTGTGCGTGGGTGTTTTGGTTGTGAGGCCAGAGTTTCATCAGATATGTTTGAGTGGTCCCCTGACAAATGCTGATGGCGAACACAGATGTGTAATCTGAGAGCAGAGCTCTGTCCATCCAGGTTTTTGTTCTTTTAAAACCTCAAAGAAACTTACAGCATGTACTTACTGCAACATTTTGTTGCTTATCAAGTATTCTTATACACATTTGAAAGTTAACCACCAGTCCCAGGTTTCCATGCCCTTTATGAGCTGTTCCACAGTTTTATTGGGATGTACAGTATGTGCAAAACATTCATGGCATGGAACATATTTTAACTTAATCATTTCACCAGGTGCCTTTGCTGCTTTTCTCTTGGACTTGCTGTAGAGAAACACATACAAGAGAAAGGTCCAGTGTGGAGGCAGAGTGTGAAAATGTCACAGAGGCCTCTTCTCATCTTCCTGGGAATCACCGCAGCCAGTCTTCTAACAGTTCAAGGTGGGACTTGTAAAAATTCATGTTATTTCATGTTTTCTATTCATGCATTTTAATTACATATACAGTACTATGCAATTGTTATGAAGTGACCTTTTATATTTGAAAGCATGTAGAAGGATTTTTCATTTTGTTTGCATTATTGAATCATCAGTCTTTCTGATTTTTTTTTACTTTAGACTTTGGTTGCTTTGGCAGTCATTTTCTGTCTAGCCTTGGAATGTGAATGTGATATGGTGGAAGCATCAGAATAACAAAAAGGAAGCATGAGGTCCAAAGAACTGAATTTATAGCCGATATGGAATATCAAATACTAAGGGATTTTACAGACACAAACATGCTTAATAGACAGAGTGCCCTACAGCAGGAGTTCAGTAATCCTATACAAAATGGTTTCTGTCGTGGTCATTTCTCATGCGTTCATCCTAAATCAATTCTTAGCTGAGAGTAAAGTGGAAATCTGATGTCTCCTCCCAAAATAAACAAAAATAAACTTCATTCATTTAATCCAGCTAAAGGGTGAAATGTAAAAAGATTAGGTATGAACAGATTTTGCAGAGCAATGTAAGGTTAAGAACACTTATTTGAATATTATAAAGTATTTGTAGTGTCTTTAAACAAAACTGACCCATAACCTGTTTATCAGTACATATTCAGAAGGGTAAAATCCCTACCCCTTGGAAGATCTCTCATTTCATATATATATATATATATATATATATATATATATATATATATATATATATATATATATATATATATATATATATATATATATATATATATATGTGTGTGTGTGTGTGTGTATTTCTTTAACAATAATGTCAATTCAGTTAAGATTAAAAGCCTGCATTGCAGATCTCATTCTAAATAAAGTCTTCAAAGCAACTGAGAATTGACGTTAAGACTGGAGTTAACTGATGAAAAATATCTAACTTTATTGTTAATTACTTGTTTTCCTTTGGAATTATTTCTAGTTGAGTTTCTTTTGATCCATAATTTTTAACCATCCAAATCACCAGTGATCAAACTGATAAGAAGGTATGTTGGAAGTGGCTGATAGTATTTTCTGTCACGACTCAGAACAGAGGGCCCCAGTATTTAGGTAAGACAAACAGTGAAATAACTTAAAAATCATTTTATTTAGAGAGGATCTGCAGTAGAAGCAGCTAGGATGTCTAAGACAGGAACCTCTACAGGAGAGAAACACTGGTTAGTGTACACAATAATCTGACGGAGGATGATTATGAACATGTGAGTCACTAACCTAGTTTTATAGTTCAGTTTGTGCCATTGAACAAGGTTGATTCCAGCCGATCGGCTGACAGAAAGTTCCAGACACTGAAGTCTTAAACTGGCAGGAGGTCAGACCCAAGCAGACAAAGGAAGGATAATCCAGGTCCAGGTCAGGAGGCAGATTCAGCTTCTGTCTACAAGAAGAGTCCAGCAGGTGTCCGAAGACAGGTCAGGAAAACAGATCACAACAGGGACAGGCTGGCTCAGAGGTCCAATAGCAAAACGGGTCAGGATCAGACAATCAGAACAAAAACAGTTACGCTCAAAAACTCTCACACCAAAGGCTCAAGAATAATCTGTTACTGATGGCTGGGAACAAGCAGCTTAAATAGAGGCAGGAGCAGGTGGATCAGATTAGCACTAATGAGAAATCAGACAGAGTTAAACATGTGAATGAAATAAACAATTAAGCCAGTCATCAGCGCCAAAATCATGACAATTTTTGAGCCATGTTCTTTTGTCTCATGCCTTAAGACATGTCTAATATAAACAATTGATCAGCTTACCTTTATTTTTATGCAATTATCTGCAATAATATGTTGCTTTTTGAAACAGTTTACGCATGTTTGCTATACCTCCATTACAGAAAGGCATTAATCACTCAAACTCAAAAGCATTTTTTATAAATTACAGGATCATGGAGAGGAGAGTCTCTCCATCACTCTGATGGTAAGTAATACAAATAAAACTAAGGCTGAAGTTTTAGCCTATATCCTTTTATGTGGTATAGTCTGTGAAGATAAATGCCTATCTTTTTTCTGTTTATTCCACATGTCCAGACAACTATGAGTGGACCACATGGTTCAATGTTGACCACCCAGGAGGTCGAGGAGACTACGAGCAGCTGGATGCCATTCGCTTCTACTATCGCACCAGAGTATGTGAGACTCCACGAGCAATTGAAGCTAGAACCACGGAATGGGTCCCAGCCCGTGAAACCGGGGAGAAGATACATGCCGACCCAACAATAGGATTCTGGTGTCTCAATGAAGAGCAAAGTCCTGGACGCAACTGCTCTAACTATGCAGTTCGTTTTCTATGTCCAAAAGGTTTGGACCCTTGAAATTAAAGATTTTCTATAATAATAGTTTATTGTTTTGTGGGGTTTTTTTGCTGTGTTTTTATTTACCTTTAATGCACTTTAAAATAATATCTTGTCGCTTTAGAAGATCTGTCACAATAACCATGTGATTTTATTTTACCAGAAAGAAGTGTGAACATTCAGGGAACCTGGGGTCTGTGGTCAAACTGGAGCCCATGTCCTGCTCTCTGTGGTCAAGTTGGTGTGCAACTTCGCTATCGAAGCTGCCAGTCTCATTCAGTTCCTTGCAATGGGCCTAAAATAGAAGGGAAACCATGCAATGGGCCTGAGTGCATGAAGACAGGTGGGTGAAGTTTAAATGAACTTTACAGTTGGACACAAACTAAGGCAAAAGTTCCCTAATGAGAGTTTTCTGTTTTCTAGATTGTTATCTGCAGTGTGTGATGGGGAGAGTAAATGCTGACTGTGACGCTTGCATGTGTGAAGAGCACACCCTTTTGGGTTCTGTGCGAGGTGCAGGTGGTCTGATTGCTGAGGGGGCAGCCATTCTTCGCTCAGGCAAACTCCTTACCCTCACAGACCACAACGGACATTTCCGAATCCCTGGAATCTGCCCCGATGGTAACACAACCTTGACAATCAGACTGCTGGGGCATGCAACTCTTGATGTTGTTGTGCCCATCACCAGTGAGCGGACCTCGGTTCTAAGTGTGCAGCTTAAAAGAGAAGGTATGAATTGTGTCTAAACCCAGATTAAAACACATCCTAAACTGCATTACAGTACAGAATTTTTACTTATGATTACCTACATTATTCCTTGTTGCTAGATCACAGAATATAAAAAAAAGAATGAGGCTCACCTGTCGATGTATTTTAATATAACACCTCAAACCTAATGTGTCCTTTTTGTCATGTGGGGAAAAAATCTTACAATATCGGCAAAGATACTGGAAACAAAATTGTGGATCATCACAAGTATGGTTCATCCTTCAGAATAATTTTTAGGCCTAAATTTGTCATATCCATCTTTTGAAAATAGGATAGGAATGTATAATGTAGATGTATAATAAATAAAACTATCTTGACACTCAGAAAGCCATAGATTAATAAGTAATAATGCGAATGAAAGGCCAAGGCAAGGGCGTTGTGAAGGCTATCAAGAGTTTTAATGCCCATAAAAAATAATTTAACAAGATAGAACTGTAAAAGCACACAAGAAAGGTTGCAAAAAAAATTATAAATAATAAACTAACTCTATTTGACTGTTTTGATAGATAAGCTTCATGTTGTGAGCAACCCTGAGAGTAAAGCCAGAAGAGAGGGACAAAGTGTTGCCTTCTGCTGCAAAGTAACTGGAACGCCGCCACCAGACAAATACCAATGGTGAGATCTCAACTCACACACATAATGTCAATTTTTAAGTTCCTTCTTTGAGTTAATGACAGACATTTTAACTTTTGGAGTAGTAGTGGAGACTGGGGAGACTCGAGAGATAGATGCAACAAGAGACAACTGCAACAAGTCTTTTTTCTCTAATCAGAAGCATGCTATTTTGATGATAGTAATACTGCATGTGTTTAGATGGACCAATCCCCTAACCAGTAGGTCAGAAGACAAATCGAATTTCATTTAATTGGAAAAGAAAATGTATTCTGTTTATATGTATGTAGAGATTCCAAAGTTACAGACAAGGTTTACAAACCATAAAAAATTCTCAGAATAATACTTATTGAGACAAAAAAAAGTTGATTTGGAAAATCAATGGATTCGTGACCAATTGCAAATGTCTTAAAGGGGTGTTGCAAAAGTCCCAGGAATGGGAAACATTGCAACAACTGACTTTTTTTAATGAATATGGTGAAAAAAGTATGTCAAATTAAATAATTTAAATTGTAAGAGCAACTAGCAATCAGATGAAAGTTTTATGTAACCATAAATGGTATGTGCAGCCCTTAATACCTTCTTAAAGGAATAGTACACCCAAAACATAATTAGCCTTCATTTTCTACTCACCCCCATGCTGAACAACACTCTGGAGTACTTTTTTGATATCTCAAATGCATCTGGAGATCTGAGAGGCTTCTTGCTGTCTGCTGACATTCAAATAATGGAGGTCTATGGTGCCCGAGACAGAAAGGTCCATAAAAGTCCACAAAAAACGTGTCAATATTCCTCCATACTGCTCGTCCAATGTATTCCAAGTATCCTGAGTGGGTAGCATCCAGAATTTACTCATTTAGAATGTTTTTAGAGCATAAACAGTAGTGTATAGGATTTCCTGAAAGCGCGCACATGCGCGTTCACGACGCTACGGAAGCCGGCAGACCAAACCAGCGCATTCAGCTCGGCAAAGAACTCATGCTCTTCCTCAACACTGAAGTCCTAAGACATTTTTCTTTCGTTGTTTCTTTCTTTGCACAGGTAAACAGCACATTTCTTCTTCTACGCTTGCATTATTGGCAGAGCAGACGCTGAATGCGCACTTTCATCTGGTTTGGTCTGCCGGCTTCCGTAGCGTCGTGAACGCGCATGTGCGCGCTTTCAGGAAATCCTATACACTACTGTTTATGCTCTAAAAACATTCGAAATGACTTCGTTTCGAGTAAATTCTGGATGCTACCCACTCAGGACACTTGGAATACATTGGACGAGCAGTATGGAGGAATATTGACACGTTTTTTGTGGACTTTTATGGACCTTTCTGTCTCGGGCGCTGGGCACCTCCATTATTTGAATGTCAGCAGACAACAAGAAGCCTCCCAGATCTCCAGATGCATTTGAGATATCAAAAAAGTACTCCAGAGTGTTGTTCAGCATGGGGGTGAATAGAAAATGAAGGCTAATCATGTTTTGGGTGTACTATTCCTTTAAGAAAAAAAGTTGCATCTGCCCCCAGGTTCCCCTACTTTTATGTAAATGCAGCTAAGTAAACATTTTAATAGGTGTAGCACTTACAAAAAAGATTATAGCTATAAGTAAAGGGATTATATGTGAAACAACAACCCATCTGAAACTTAATGTTCACACAATAACTCAGGCTACATACTAACTACTGTAAGCTCACTGCTTATTTCTAAGAAATAAGTTTTTAAAAGAAAAAACTCCCTCAATAACTGAATAGTAATATCTTTAATACACTAAAGTTAAACCTTTAAAAAAAGATTTTCTGCTATTTTCCTATGTGTGTGAGCCAACAGGTATCATAACAACAGTCTCATGGAGATGCAATACGAAAGCACGCTTGTCCTGAAAGATTTACGTCCAGATCAAGCAGGAGAGTACTACTGCAGGGCAAGTGGTCCGTCTGGTGCAGTTAAAACCAAACCAGCATCTCTAAAAATTATAGGTGTGTTCCTAGCAAATTAACTGAACATACATCAGCAGTGTAAGTGTAAATTTGAAATGTTTATTTGTACATTTTCAATGCAGGAGGAGACGAGCATTCATGCAACCCCAAGCCCGAATCTCATCTCATTCGTCTTCCACATGACTGCTACCAAAACAGCACAAACTCCTTCTACTACGATGTTGGCAAATGCCCCTCAAATACATGTGCTGGACAGCTGGATAATGTCATCAGGTGCAAAGACAACGTAGCGTACTGCTGTGGTGTGGCAAAGATGGAAGAGAGGCAGCTGACATGTCAAGGCTACCAGCTGCCCACCATGGTGGTGACAGAATGCGGCTGTCAGAAATGTGTGGACACCAAGGCTGTTGTGTATGGCCGTGCCATTGCAGCAGACAATGGTGAGCCAATGAGATTTGGCCACATCTATATGAATGGAGTCAGGATTGGCCGTACTGGGTACAAAGGCACCTTTACTGTCCAGGTTCCCCCAGACACTGAAAGACTAGTTCTGACGTTTGTTGACAACATGCAGAAATTTGTTAACACTACAAAGGTGCTCCCATTTAAAACTAAGGGGGGAGCTGTATACCATGAAATCAAACTTTTACGGAAGAAAGCTCCTGTGACCATTATTTCCTCAGAAACTAATACTTTTGATCTAGGAGAGGTAGATGGCCAAGAGGCAATGGTCCAAATCCAGATTCCCCCTAATTCATTCTATAAGCAGAACGGAGAAGTCTTTACTGGGAACGTCAATGCAAGTATTACATTCTTAGACCCGAGAGATGTCTCTACTGCTGCTGCTGCTTCAAGTGACCTTAATTTTATAGGAGGTGAGGGTGATGTACTTCCACTGAGAACCTATGGCATGTTTTCTGTTGACTTTAGAGGGGAAGAAAATGATGAACCTCTAAATGCAGGTGAAGTGAAGGTTTTTCTGGACTCTGCTCAGGTAAAGATGTCAGAGCACCTCAGCAACATGAGGCTGTGGTCACTGAATCCTGAAACTGGCCTGTGGGAAGACGAGGGAATTCTCCAGCTGGAAAAGAAAAAGAGAAGCAAAAGGGAGGAGAGAACATTTTTGATCGGAAACATGGAAATCAGAGAAAGGCGTCTGTTTAACCTGGACGTTCCTGAAAACCGCAGGTGTTATGTAAAAGTAAGAGCTTTCCGCAGTGAGCGTTTCATGCCTACTGAGCAGGTAGAAGGAGTTGTGGTGAGTCTCATAAACATGGAACCAGTAGCTGGCTTCTCCTCGAATCCACGTGCCTGGGGCCGTTTTGATAGCGTTGTTACTGGCCCAAATGGGGCTTGTCTTCCAGCCTTTTGTGACAAACAAAAACCTGATGCTTATTCTGCATATGTAATGGCCAACCTCGGGGGTGAGGAGCTGGAGGCTGGGTCCTCTTCTCCTAAACTTAATCCTGGCCTCATTGGAGTACCACAGCCTTACCTGACAAAACTCAACTACAGGCGGACTGATCATGAAGACCCTAGAGTAAAGAAGACAGCATTTAGTATCAACGTGGCAAAACCAAGTTCTAATGCTGCCGAGGAATCCAATGGACCAGTGTATGCATTTGAAAAACTAAAAGAATGTGAGGAAGCCCCATTCAGTGCAGCTCATTTCAGGTTTTCAAGAGTTGAAGGAGACCGTTATGATTACAACACTGTGCCATTTAATGAAGACGACCCAATGAGCTGGACGCAAGACTACCTGAGCTGGTGGCCCAAGCCCATGGAATACCGCGCCTGTTACATCAAGGTTAAAATAAACAGTCCGCATGAAATCAATGTAAGGTCTCGTAACATGGGTGGCACTCATCCAAAAACTGTGGGCCAGCTGTACGGTCTCAGAGACACTCGCAGCATTCGTGATATGGAACAGGCAAATGTTTCAACCGTGTGTCTGGAGTTTAAGTGCAGTGGCATGCTGTATGATCAGGAGCGTGTGGATCGTACTCTGGTGAAGGTGATCCCTCAAGGTAGTTGTAAGAGGGACCATGTGAACTCAATGCTTCAGGATTATTTGGTGAACCACCTACCTCTAGCAGTCAACAATGACACCAATGAGTTTACCATGTTGGCACCTCTAGACTCTCTGGGCCACAACTACGGAATCTACACAGAGACGGAACAGGATCCTCGTACAGCGAAAGAGATTGCTCTTGGGCGCTGCTTTGATGGCACTTCTGATGGTACATCTCGGGTCATGAAAACTAATGAGGGCGTGGCGCTAACTTTTACTTGTGGGGACCGTGAAGTGACACGCCAGAGTGTCTTTCAAGCTATGCAGAACTCTCAAAGTCAGATAGTTACAAGTGTTGCCAGAGGAGACAACAGGAAAACCAAACGTCGACAGAGAGCCAACCTATCCCGCAGGAGCAGTAAACGTAGCCCCAGAAATCCTAAACGAGGGTCTTAACAAGGTAGAAGATAAGTGACTCTACCCATAGACCAGGCAAAACAGAGCGAGAAAGAGGTTTGGAAATAAATCACACTGAAGCAGTTTTTGACATTAATAATATACCAAAATATATTCAAGCTGCAGTTGTACTTCATAATAGAAATGGTCAGACTTTAGTTCTTAGCTCTCAGCATTAATGCATCGACATCCAAATTGGACTAGTGAATTAGGGTTAAAGCTTTTTAATTATGTATGTACCCTCTTTCTCAGGGGTTCAAATGTAACTGAAAAAAAATGCATAAAGGAAATAAACTTTTTTTATGAACTGCCTGAAGTCTGAAACATTCCCCAAATAATGTATTTATATTCCTCTGGGCGGTTTTTCAACACTTTATTGTATGTGGAATTTTTTATATCAGTTGATGAAAGATTCAACAGGCAGTCTTTTTTTTTCAAACCTTTTTAGTATCTGGGTTGTTTTTGCTGATTTTCCCTATTCCTTACGTACAATCAAGATTTATGCGTCACCATTCCTTACCTAAGAAAACAACTCAAGGACCTGCCCGACTTAGTGCACTCTCTTGAGAGCAGATAGTTCTCATTATCCGGGAGATGTTGGTCATCTCTGTCAGAGGTCACAGATTAGCGGACCGCGGTCCGGTTCCGGACCCAACCTGAATTGAAACATTTATCAATTACCACGTTTTCCAATGACAGTGTCTAACCCCGAAACCCCACATCCTCCATCTCTGCTCCGCTGCACTACAGACCTACTGCGCAAAGCAAAGCCTACAGCCTCCGCTCCGACTTCCTTGGAGCTCAAGGAGAGCATGTTCTACAGGTGCTGGTCATAAAATTAGAATATCATGAAAAAGTAGATTGATTTCAGTAATTCCATTTAAAAAGTGAAACTTGTATATTATATTCATACATTACATACAAACTCATATATTTCAGATGTTTATTTTGTTTAATTTTGATGATTACAAATGACAACAAATGAAAATCTCAAATTCATCATATCAGAAAATTAGAATATTACTGAAGACCAATAAAAACAAAGGATTTATAGAAATGTTGGCCAACTGAAAAGTATGAACATGAAAAGTATGAGCATGTACAGCACTCAGTATTTAGTTGGGCCTCCTTTGGCCTGTATTACTGCAGCAATGCGGCGTGGCATGGAGTCGATCAGTCTGTGGCACTGCTCAGGTGTTATGATAGCCCAGGTTGCTCTAATAGTGGCTTTTAGCTCTTCTGAATTGTTGGGTCTGGTGTATTGCATCTTCTTCTTCACAATACCCCATAGATTTTCTATGGGGTTAAGGTCAGGAGAGTTTGCTGGCCAATTAAGAACAGGGATACCATGGTCCTTCAACCAGGTACTGGTAGCTTTGGCACTGTGTGCAGGTGCCAAGTCCTGTTGGAAAATGAAATCTGCATCTCCAAAAAGTTGGTCAGCTGCAGGAAGCATGAAGTGCTCTAAAACTTCCTGGTATGTGGCTGCGTTGACCCTGGACCTCAGAAAACACAATGGACCAACACCAGCAGATGACATGGCACCCCAAACCATCACTGACTGTGGAAACTTTACACTGGACTTCAAGCAACGTGGATGAAGTGCCTCTCTTCTTTTCCTCCAGACTCTGGGACTTTGATTTCCAAAGGAAATGCAAAATTTACTTTCATCAGAGAACATGACTTTGGACCACTCACCAGCAGTCCAGTCCTGTTTCTCTTTAGCCCAGGCAAGACGCTTCTGACGCTGTCTGTGGTTCAAGAGTGGCTTGACACAAGGAATGCGACAGCAGACACCCATGTCTTTCATACGTCTGTGTGTGGTGGTTCTTGAAGCACTCACTCCAGCTGCAGTCCACTCTTTGTGAATCTCCCCCACATTTTTGAATGGGTTTTGTTTCACAATCCTCTCCAGGGTGCGGTTATCTCTCTTGCTTGTACACTTTTTTCGACCACATCTTTTCCTTCCCTTCGCCTCTCTATTAATGTGCTTGGACACTGAGCTCTGTGAACAGCCAGCCTCTTTAGCGATGACCTTTTGTGTCTTGCCCTCCTTGTGCAAGGTGTCGATGGTCGTCTTTTGGACAACTGTCAAGTCAGCAGTCTTCCCCATGATTGTGTAGCCTATAGAACTAGACTGAAAGACCATTTAAAGGCTTTTGCAGGTGGTTTGAGTTAATTAGCTGATTAGAGTGTGGCACCAGGGGCCATCAATTTTGAAACTTTTCACAATATTCTAATTTTCTGATATGATGAATTTGAGATTTTCATTTGTTGTCATTTGTAATCATCAAAATTAAACAAAATAAACATCTGAAATATATGAGTTTGTATGTAATGTATGAATATAATATACAAGTTTCACTTTTTAAATGGAATTACTGAAATCAATCTACTTTTTCATGATATTCTAATTTTATGACCAGCACCTGTATATTATTATTAAATTCAGGAGCAACACATGCGGAAATGAGCACTTAATTTAATTTTTAAAAATCCCCACCAACATCCAGCCAGCATATGTTCAGTTTCTGGCCAAATATTTTCATTTTGTTGTGGATTTTTGTAACAGGGATAACTGGGATCATACATGGTTTGTATGAACTATGTTTTTTCTCTGCATCAAAACTCAGCAATTCTTCACCCATGCCTGAGATGAGAAGTATGATGATTTGATAAAACTTTTAAGCCTCTTAGTATAAAATAAATATTTTGATGATCGAGATGAGAAATCTGCTTCCTGGTATGTTGAAGTACCAGTTTGTAATAGTTTGCATCCAATCATTTAAACAAACAATCTTATTTTTTGGGAATATATAAGCTCCCGACTGAGCCTGGAATGGCTGGAGAATGGTTTTGTCATCATTCAAACCCAGGTTAAAAGCCTTGCAGGTCAGCTTGAAACCCATTGCTCTCATTAAGCCATGAAAAAGAAAACAAAATAACAGTATGATCAGGTGTTTTATAAGATATGTAAGTCAGGAAATTGCCCATGTATCAGACTGAATGATTGTTTCTACTTAAAAAAAAAAAATCAATTAAATTTTAAAATTGAAATAAATGTCTCGGATTTTTTTTATATTTTTCTATTAAAAAATTCATCGTATAAAATGGATGCATAAAAACTAATTTAATTTCAGTGTTAAATTATGTTTAAAGTATGATATACCGGTAATTAGAAACGTCTCCGGACCTTTACTGGTTGTTGATTTTCTGTATTCGGACCCCGCTGATTTTTTATTGGTTACCACTCATCTATGTCATTCGCAATGTTGGGATGTTTGCCATCTAAAAAGTGCATGTCTCAAAGATTTTACCGTCTAGTTCATAAAAAGGTTTTAGCTGAGATTATTTTAGGCACATATAATAAGTCAGTGGACATTTGTGTAGTTTCTCAGTCAGCCAAGTTTGTACATGAAAGAAGTTTGCCACAACCTTGGAAAATAACTAAGGGAAATGTATGTTGTAGACATTCTCAGTGAGCCAGGACATGATGGCTTGAATAAAAAGTTACCTAAACTTTCAGGACAATACAGCTGTTATCAAAAGGTGTTTTTTTTTTTTTTGAAAAACTGATGCAACAGTACTATGCCTTAGAGCAGGCATCCCCAACCACAGTCCTCAAGGCCTGCTGTCTTGCAGGTTTTAGAGGTTTCCTTGCTCCAGCACAGCTGATTTTAATTGAAAGCTGATTAATAGGCGTTTGGTCTACTGCAATCATTATACCCGGTAATCAGCTGTGCTACAGCAGGGAAACCTCTAAAACTTGCAGGACAGCAGGCTTCAAGGACCGAGGCTGCCTACTTTAAGAGCACATTCTGATGTAATATATGAATCACACCATACCAATTAATGCAGGTTTAAACACAACTTAAAAGTTTCAAAAGGGAAAAATTTAGATGAACAAACTTGTGTCATGTAATAATTAACAGCTCAGGAAAAGCTCTATGTAATCAAGAGTGAAATACACACCCTAATAGCTAGGGATTCAAGGATTGGGTGGTTTTTGTAATTGCATATAAGCCAGCCTTTCTTCCTGATTGGGCGTAATACAAGGAAAATCCAAGTAGTTTTGCATCCCTCCATGTGAACTTGTGTGTGACTTGTTACTTGTTTTGCATTTTTATTTCATGGCTAATTGGCCCAAGGGTACCCTGGGTATGAACTGGCTTTTCAAGTACCAGTCTTGAATAACCATGCTTTTTTTCATACCACTGTTACATCATGCAAAACTGCAGTACAGTAACATTACAATATTCTTGAGTTTATTTTAATTCAAGTGTTGAACAATTGACATTAGTTTCCAGGTTCCCTTTGTGTGAACTTAAGAAGGATCAACAAACAATTTGATCTCTTGACCAGTACTTTATTAAATTAGATGCTTAAAAAACAGAGGTCATATCTTCAAAATTGCATGTATCGAATTGTCTGTGTAAGATTGGAACTGGTCATTAGCTAGAAAAGAAATGGAGAAAGATGCCCCTCTCAACTAACTGAAGCCCACATGAAGACATGTGGGGGGTGGAACCCATTTGCCTCCGCTCCTCATCACACTTGATACAAGCCTCCAGAAGCAACAGACCAGTTGCAGCAAGATACTTCACTTGCCTGATCTGTAGATCAGGCAAGTGAAGTATTTTCTTTTTTTTTTGCATTAGTAAAACTCAAATTAGTAAGTTATATTTCTGTCATGCAAAAGAAAATACCTTTAAGCATCATTTACTCCATACTTTCAAGGATATTCCTGATGTATTAAGAGAATGGCTGTGAGGTTTTATAGTCACATTTATTATACTCTATCCCTTTTATCTTACATTGAATGTCATGTGCGCTCTGTAAAAGTACATCTACTCGTTATGCCTCTCTCAAATACCTCTATGTAAATGTTCCAGAGATAAAGATTAATAAACTGAATAATTGCTATGCATTTGGCAACCCAAGAAACAACAATATAAATGTTTTCCTGTAAAAGATCTCACCACACTTCAGTGTGATCTATAATACATGACATTCTGGTTGAGGAATTTGCATAGAACCTTATTTCTATGTCACTTCACATACAACTGCCATGTGTCAATTTAACAGGAGCAATGTTTAATTTAAAAAGAGCCCTGCAAAATTCAGACAGCAGCAGTTACAGATGTATTCTTCATTGAAGCTGGGTCACACAACAGATTTGTGTGCATGTCGAGGCTGAATGAGACAGAAAAGGCCATTCTGTATGTTAAGGGCGCCAAGATTGGATGCTCCCAAGAATAGTCCATCCGGTAAATGAAGCAAAATGAAAAGGGGCGGCACAGAGTTCAGATTTCCCAGGATGGCACTGGACAGCATGGGAAGGTACAGCTGTACTTCAGAGGGTTAGGAAGAAGGGGGGGAAAGCAGTAATAGAGCCTATGTCACATGAAGTCCTCGTAGTCTTGGGCGTAACCTCCATCAAACTCTGCATAGTCAAGTTCGTCTCTCATCTGTGCTTTCAGTCCACCTCCGGGTACTACACCTTTCTTCTTTTTCTTTCCTTTGTTTTGCTGAAAAATAAAATATAAATCACTAAATGTCTACAGAATATCACCTGATTAGAGCATTTTGTGTCAATTAAAACAGCCCTATTTAAGTATCCTAAACATTATCAAAACATAGATGTTGAGTAGAACACATACAAACTACAACATATGTCCATTATGAGCACAGTACCAAACAGAGTAGACTTACAGCGCCCCCTACTGCTGTAAAGCTTTATTAAGTGAAAACCATAATATGGCAACTTACTTTTTCTTGTTTCTGTTTTTCACTAAGCAGGACTGAAAGGGAACTACTGATTTTCTTCAAGTCATCAACTTCCACTGTAAGAAAGAAAAAAGAAAATAAATCCTAAACAAGCTAAATAACTACAGTGGAAAATGAAACATATTACAGTTATGTTTAATGTTACTGTTAGAAAATACTGACTCTCTTACATGAAATACAAAGTTCCCGAAACAATGAATCCAAGAAACTTGAATAATGGACTGATTTTTCAAACTGGGTTATCTTTTCTTTCAGCAGTTTTTCAAATTCTGTGAAGTCTTCTTTGGAAGATGGACACATGGCATCAATTCCAGAGACAGTATTAACACCTAGAAAATAAAAAAAAAATAATTAAAAAAAACGACAAAAAGAAAACAAAAAAACACATTTAGTCAAAAAGAATCTTTGCCGTAGCAATAGGAAGTTTAATCAGTAGATATGGGATATTTTTTACCAAAAGCATCTTTTGCCAACTCCAAGTCTGCTGCTTCCTGTAGTTGCTGAACTCGTAACTTCTCTGCAAGTTGTTCCTCTGGAGTAAGTTCTTCTGGCTGGAATAACAAATAAAATTTACTTTACTTTATTAAAGAGCTTTTACTGTAAAACAGACAAAGTGCTACAGTACTTACCTTTTCCATCTCCTTTTTCAGTTCTTGTTGTTTCTTCCTTAACTGGTTTTCTTTCTCTTTAATCTTTTCAGACAACTTTTTCTTTTCGGACACCTTTGTCTCTGATAAATATTAAAAAATAAATAAAAAAAGGAAAATCACCTTGTTTAGTTTTGAAAAAAGCAGACAAAAGACTGAAAAGGTGAAGGAGATTTGACAGAATGTGCACAATAAAGTAAATTTCAAAGCCCTACCTGCCTTCTTCACCTCTACTTTTTTCTCCTGTTCTTCTTCTTCATCGTCCCAATTATCCTGAGGAAAAAAAATAAAATATTTTCAGATACACGATAGAGCTTGTTTAAGGACTGCTGTTAAAGTACTATTAAAACACATTCAAAACATATATATATTTATCCAACTTTAAAACAGAATTAGTTACAATGATTGCAACAAATCCACTTTTTAGACTAAGGTTTTAATATATTTATTCTATTTTCAAAAACTTTATCCATTTATTACAGCAAATTACACCTTGACGCGCATGCTATTACAACCTCATGTGAAACAAGGGTATTCTTTGTTAAATCATTCAATCATTTCTCATCCATTTTTTCCCCCCACTGGTAAAAGGTTTTAAATTTTGTGTACACCTTTATAAGGCCCAAATTTGTGTGGCCACTTTTGCTGTAATGCGTTTGCGGCTGTAACACCACAATTTCCCCATTGTGGGACAATAAATGGATTTACTGAATGAAAAGTAACCATTTAAAATTTAAAGATTAAAACAAACCAATAATAACTTCTGGCTATTTTCTAAATAAAATTAAATAGCAAACAGCAATGCAGTTTAACTTGATATTTTTCCTAAAAACAAAACTTCTACAAATTGTAACCTTCAGCTAATAGCAGTACAAAGGATTGATGTTTTCATGTAATAACTGTATTTATGTAGTCATTTTGATAATATATCCTGAACATTTTTGGCTTTGAAGATGGAAGACCTCCTCTTAAAAAAAAAAAGAAGCATGTTGACAATGAACTTTTCAATTATTCATAAAGCATGATCAGGTAGACGACAACATTTTATAGTTTGGCTCAAATAACAAGTGATCAGATATGGCTCCATGTTGCGTACAAACGTCAGTGTGTGTATAAATAGGTAAATAACTGAATGTTTGAGTCCTTGGAATTGATTTAGACGTATACAAGTACAGGATATGAGGCATAAGAACTACGAGACTGAGAACAGGTCTGATTTACTATTTCTTTAATGTGCTTTTGCTAGTATGTTTACCAATAATGGAACCACATTAAATCTGAATGTTTTTATTACAAATTGGAAATGTGTTTCATTGTTATATTCTACAATCACTTAAGTGCCTAGTATTTTTTCCATTAAAACTTTTGGATTTATGCTCTCTCAGTTCATTATATATGTACATAAATACAAACGCATTTCCCTTTTTCTGATAATAGGGTTTCTTTTGTACATTTCCTTCATACTTCAAAAGGGATTGTTTTGTTGTTGTTGTTTTTTATCCATAAGACTTTAGGAAAGATTGATAAAACACATTAGATTAGCTGATAGTTTAGAGGAAGGTCTAGCTCAAATATGTCACCATGTTTCCAGGTTATTTTTTCAGAAAGCGTTATGTTACAAGCTAATTCAACAGGTAAATTACTGAGAAATAGGCAGCCATGTGTGCTTGCATGGAAATGTCAGTCTGTATCTTAAATGTTAAGATACTGACAGACAAAATTTTTGATCCTCAAAATAGCTCAAGTAAAAAAAAAAAAACAAAAAAAGGCACAGTGCCAAGTTCTGACTCATCATTCCCAACGAATAACATGGAAATCTTTAGTCTCTAAAAATACAAGGATTAAAAAAAAGGGGTTCTACTTTTTTCATATTTTCTTTTCGTGACCCTACAAGCCAGTAAAGAGCCTAGAAACCCTTGTGCCATATGTGACCGACAACAACTAAAAGCGACCCTGCCAGCCTTTTCCTAATGTGAACTTTCTAGAAAGAAACAAATCAACAACACTCTGAGGGGGTTATGTGTATTTACTTCTCCCTGCAACTGAAAAGCGGGCTATATTGTTAAAAGCGCATTAAGTTTCATGTAGTTTCGCAAAGTTTTGGCCTAATTCTCGCCTTGGTTGAGTCATCAACCCACTGGAAGATCTCATCTGAGGTTAGAGATAGTTAGCAAGCTAACGATGCCGCATGCTGGACGTGGCTCAAGATTAAAGGAATTCAGACTCAAACGGACACTTTCTCCACAAGTCTAGTGTACAAATCTTTATCACTATAAGAAACCATTGTTGTCCTTCAGATAAACTCATGTTGTCAGTAAAGTTCACACTTATAGCGAGTGGACATTTAAGAAAGAATGGATGCTAGTAGCTAATTGGCCCGTTGAATTGCTAGCTTATAGCTGGGCTTCCGAAATTTACTAAAAATAACTTCGTCCCTAAAAATATGGATTCCGACAGAAAAACACTTCAACCAAGATGACCGGTTGAAACGTCAACATCAAATGTATTAACATAAGAATTTTAAATGAACAATTGTCTCTGAATCGCCGAGTAACAGGCTGCCTGTGTGTGCCACATGATTTAGCCGTTAGGTAGCATAAAGCTAACCCGAGGTTAGGGTTGACAGGGAGAATGGAGCCGCACCGAAGCATGGCGTAACAACCAGTGAGATACAATTACACATTTTCGTCAAACAGTCTCAGGATTCCAGCCATCAAACGAACCACTTTTGATCCAGCCTGACAAATACAGCGGAACCAAAAAATTAACTGTTAAGTGCAGGTCACGTTAAACTACCTTAACGTCTTCATCTTCGTCCTCGCCTTCCCATTTGTCCAGCACTGCCGCCTTTTTAATCGGCTCCTCCGGCTCGAAGTTGTCAGCGTCTGTAGAACCAACAACATAATATTCGTCAGGCCAATCCACATCTAACCAATTAGTTTAACAGTAGAAAACTGTTGGGCTGTTTTAACAAAGTCTGCTACAAGCGGGTTGTGTGTGTGTGTATATAGCTGTCGTTCCTAAGTTAGTTTCTCACCCCAGTCCTCGACGTCCGCCATGTTGGCTGTGTTGGTTGTGTTTGACAGGCTCGCAGTATAGTCATCGCCGCAGCCCGTTGGCTGGCCACGCCCACAAACAGCTCCAACGTTCTAGACGTATGTATGTATGTATATATATATATGCTGTCAATCGATTAAATTTTTTAATCGCGATTAATCGCATCAATGCCTGAGTTAACTCGCGATTAATCGCATTTTAATCGCACATTTTTTTCCTGATTGAAAATCATTTAAATACTCTCGATGACATACAAAAAAATACATACAGGCTAGGTTTGTGCCAATGTTCTTTTTTTAAAATGAAAACAGGTCACAGATACTGATTTATGCCATAGAAACATATGGCAAGAAGATGGGGAGGCATGTAGCAAAAAATAACAAATATGTAGCCAAAAAAAAGGCCCTGAAAACAGGCTGATGTAAAAGACAGTCTTTACAGTTAATACAGTCTTTTGAACAAAGACAAGCATTTTACCCTACCGCTATAAAATGCAGTAGAGTTAACATTAGATGTTAATTAACCAAGGTAATAATGAACAATTTTCAATCAATACATCAAAATCAATAGACCGACATCACTAGATGAAGGTAGTCTATGCTCTCTAGAAAGTTACTTTTCAGCCTCTTAACAAAAATGAGAACACACACACACCCACTCACCCACACACAGACACACCCACCCACACACACACACACGCGATACTGACCTGTTGCGTACACAGACGGCAAGAGGGCTGCTACGAGATTCCATTTCACCTCAGTAATCAGTTTTCTCAGCGTATTTCAGGTTGCTACTAGTTACCAGACACTCAACTTGTTTGTTGGTGGTGGGGCTTAAAGAAAAGGCACTAGCGTCACCCAGTGTATGCGCGTCTTTTTCCCTTGAGGAGCTCCGCTCTAGAAGCCTATGAGAAATGCATAGACTGGGGGAAAATAGCCCCGCCTTCCCGCAGGCTGCAGCGGGATGTACTTGGAAAAATTGTACCATAAAACCACATAGCGTTAATCTCACGTTAAAAAAATTATCGCCGTTAAAATGGCCTCGCGTTAACGCGTTAATAACGCGATAATTTTGACAGCACTAATATATATATATATATATATATATGGATATTTGTGTCTGCCTTGGTTATTTATTATATAATATATTATATGTCATATATTATATATAATAGTGTTATTGGAATCCAAGACAAGGCCTTATGACCTTTGGAACGTTCAAAAAATATGGATATTTTCATGGTCAAAATTAATGTCAATGTAATGACAGCAAACGCCAACTTGCCTGAATATATTAAGAAAAATAAAAAAAAAATGCTTCTATTAGAAATTTATGAAAAAGAGTGAAAAAAAAAACTTTTTTTTTTTTGGTCTTGATACTGGTACTGACATTTTTTAGTTTATAAACCTAAATATGAATGTTAACTACGCTTATTAACTTTTTGCCTTACTTTTGAACTTTTCAAGTAGGTTTTTACCTTTGTAAGGGCTGATTGTATTATACCCATCAACATTTACTGGGTATGCTCTTACGATATTAAGAATATATACTGTTTAAAAGTATTTTACCTAATTTGCATAAAACATAGTATGAAATATATTTTGAAGAGAGAAAGTTAGCTAAATGCATCAACTGTTCTTTTAGGTTTCCCAGTGACTCTCTAGAACGGATAGTTCTGGTCCGAGAGTTACAGAGACTACAAAGATTCACTTAATAATTTTTCCAGATGGGAGTGCATCTAATTTTAATCATTAAAAACAAATAGAAAATGTGTGTCCAAGCCTTAATTTATTATGTTTAGAGAGCAAATCATACATAAACTATTTATTACTCAGCAACATGTCCTGTTGGTTGAAATGCTTCTTGTCTGAATGTGGCTGAATTTTTGAAATAGAAAGAATGGCTGGTTTAAGCTGGACTGGTTAGATTAAGAGCATAGATGTAGCTTTGGGATAAATCCTTGAATTTTGAGTGCGCTGCATTCAATTCTTTAACATAGCCTTGAAGCTTAATGTTAGCCTAATTTGTGTCAGCCCAGAAAGCAAAATGTTTCTATTGTGAGATTAAGTTGTTTACATTTCAACTTCCGCCACCAAACTGGATAACTGGTACAGAGGCCTTTTAAAAGCCACATCTCCCCTCCCACTTACATTGTCTATTTGTTACTGGGGGTTTTAAACAGCTCAATCAGCTTCTTTTCAGACCGTGTTTTTCTTAGAATGGATTATTCTTGCTGATGTGGCAAATTTCAGTTGAACATAAACATGTCCAGTTTTAAACAACAGCCTCTTTCTTATTTTATTTCTTCTGATTCTATGACAAAACACCTTTTATTATGGACAGTACACTGGTGTTTCCATTTTTTTTTTTTTGTTCCTGATAATCCAAACTAACATCCTTTCACCTACTGGTGACAGTTTGTGTCAGCTTCCATTCGTTTGCAAAGAGGCGAAAGCCGAATAACAATGCACTACACACAATTGTATAACAAGATAATCATGAATTTTTGCAGATATTTAGTAATAGAGTAAAATAGCTTTCAAAAAGTGCAAATTATCATCTATCCTTGTTAGAACTTTATTTAGTTCTTGGGCATTTTTCCATTGTTCTTAGTATTGGTCAGTCCATTGAATTTTGTCAAACAAGTAATTTTTATTTTCTTTAAAAGAAACCCCCAGAAGCAATAAATATAGAAACTAATTGCAAGAGTGATGATGTAGTAATGATGAGTAGGTGCTAAAAGAATGTCTGGTGCTGTTATTATATCAGAGCTAATTAGAGAAAATTTGCTCCAAATAACCCAGTTCTTGGTATAGAAATGATTAAAGTTGCACATTGTGTTAACATTAAAAGCTCAGGGGTAAAAAAATATAATAATTTAATTATGTAATAAAATACCAGAGCTGTGTTTAGCTGTGGTGGCAGTGACAACATAATACTGGAGCTCACAACTCAGATGTAATCACTTAGTTTGGAGGATACTTCAGATAAATAGATAAACGAATAATTTATAATGAGGAATGAGGTTTGACAACCCAACATTTAAGAGAAATGGAGGTGTGATGCAAAAAAAGAGTAAAGTGTCATACAGAACATTATATATGTATATATACATAGTCCATGATTGACTTTTTTGAACACGTTTGGTCTTTAATAATCAAACTGCAACTTATGCACAACAATACAAAACAAATTTAAATAAGAGAATAAAGTTACCACTGCTAATACAATCTACTGTCTTAGAGTACAACAATTCAAAAGCATATAGAACTCTGTAAATGTGAGACAGAAGTTGTTTTAACTGAGTTCAAATTACAATAGTAATCCCAGAGAGTAATAAATGACAATAGTATGGGTTTAGTTAGGCTTATAAAAAATAAATATATTATATATATATATATATATATATATATATATATATATATATATATATATATATATATATATATATATATATATATATATATATATAGATATATATATATATGCTCATCTTTTTCTGACATAAGTTCAAATGCAGGGTTTACTCTTTCAGGTGTCAAACTGATTGCTGCTAAAAACAGATTATAAATTGAATAACTTTCTAATGTAAAGTTCTGTACAGAACAAAATGAGATGTGTTTTTGTTGTGATGTGATCGGGGGCGTGATCCTGCTGGGTGAGCGGGTTCATGAGTCGAGTCAGAACAAGATGATCAGCAGCATCAGCAGTTCCAGGATGAGGCAGAGAGGGCTGTGCCTCAGTGTCAGCCCCAGTCCCAGTGGTCTGCCTACAGGAGCACAAAGAAAACAGTACAAATATAATTAATGCTAAATGTGATAAACTCTTTCTAAAAAGCTGGATGCTGTCTAAGCCACAAGAAAGGTTAATTGAACATATTCTAACTGAACCGGTGCTGGTTTATTGATACGTTTATTGATTGATTACTAGAAATTCATAGGTCTTTGTGTTTACTTTTGAGAACGACTGGCCTGTCCTCCCAGGGAGTCAGAACCATGGCTAGAGCTGTCCTCTGAACGTCTCTCAGAGCTGAGAGCTGCTGTGGAGTCACTGCAACTGCCTGCTCATAGGAGAACATGCTAATCTGCCTCTGGTGAAATGCTGCCTGGAAAAAACAAACCAAACATAGTAGAGAGCATCAAACAGGGAAGTAGTAGACGACAAAATGAGACTCTAAAGCAAGAACTATAGAAAAAAAAAACTATTTGGAAGCTTGTGAAAAAGATAAAAAACATTGTTGACTTACAGCAAACTTTTCAGGAGGTATAATGGAGATAGCCAGGGGCGTGATACCTTCGATTTGTTCTTTCACCAGAGCTGACATGGCAATATCAGGAAGACCAGCTACAAACAGGTTCAAAGACAACAAAGCAGACTGAGTAGATATCAGTTTAGCTCCTATGTGTTTCAGTTGCTTTTGATTGATACCAAGTTAGGCTCTTCTTTATCACTTTGATTAAAAAAATTTAAAAAAGCTGTAAATATTTGCAGGGGCTGTTATCAGAATCACATGTACTTTATTAATCCCTTGCGGGAAACTCTTTTCTTGCAATGCACCCGTTTACAGAGGAGAGAAAAATAAAAATGTAAGTACAATAGAGAAAATTTAAATATAATATAATAAGACATAAGAAAATAAGTAAAATTGCACCCTTCCCATACAAACTGTGTAAAATAAGATATAACAATAAAATAAGAAATTTAGAGAAACAAGCTGATTTTAGATTAGATTTGAGAAGTAATAATGAAAGCTGACATGTTAGAGGCCTAAACATAAATGGTTAGCAAAATAAAAAGTTAACTGGTTTGCAAGTCCTGCAAAGAATCGTGAAGGAATCTGAAACGGCAGGTCTAAAATGCTAATCTACCATTTACTTTAAGTCAACTTAAATTAATCTTATTTTGGTATGTTTTATTTTCTAAATATTGTTTCATCATAGTGTGTTGACTAGTCACCGAGAACAATGTTTTATTCCTAGATCTGAATTACCTTTATATATAAATGACACAAAATCAACTTATTGGAAGATTAAATGCATCAAAATTGCACTCCCAAATCCAGATGCATTACCTGCCAGGACTCCTATTTCAATAAACACATCTGTGCCCCATGAATCCATGGGTCCAAAAGCAAGATTGTTGGTGAGCAGCTCAACCAGAGCAAGCATCTGCTCCTCTGAGCAGGACAGCCTCAGCTGCCCCAGCCAGAGAACTGCCTTACTGCAGCCAGCAGGGGGAGACAGAACACAAGATAGTAAATAAAAACGGCAGGCTGAGCTGAGAGACAGGCAGGTCATTCAGAGTGGAAACTATGCCCACCTTAACTCCACATTGTTAAAAGTCTTGATCTCTGTGGTTTTAGCTCCGCACACAATGTGTCCGAGCGCCACCAGCATGCTGGAGTCAAGCTGACTCGGTGTCCGCTTGGTGGAGTTCAACACTCTAGTAAACAGTGTAGTCAGCTGGAAAGATAAACAATACAACATCATTAAATTGTACTCTTAGGCATTTGTAAAGATTCATTGTAATCACCCAGGATCTTTACCTTTAGAGTTGCTTTTGTGGATAAAATATTTTAAAACTAGGAATATTACCATGAAACAAGATGTTACCTGTCTGTTGTTCCAGGTGCTGATGGCTCCCATAGCAGCAATACTCCTTCGTTCTTCCAGATGAAGAGCACTCAGCTCTTCTGGTGACAGCTCTAATGCTATTCCACCCAGCTGAGCAATTAGAGACTGGGAGAAGGAGGAGATAGGGCCATATATCTTCACACATGACCATCATAGGAGGGTGACCCAGAGGAAGACATACAGTGTTAAAACCTGACAAGTTCTATATGCTACCTCCCCCCTGAAGTACTGTTGGAGGTTTATGTTGATTTTTCACCTTTTTTACTCTGCTGAGAACCTCTGCACGCTGATAGGATTGAAGGAAGGGGTCCTGCCCCATTAGCTCCAGACAGTTGGAGAAGGCAGATGAAGACATCCTGCCAAGGCTGCTTGAAGTCCAGGCAGACGGGGCTGTGGTACGCAGGATTTCACAGGTCGGAACAATTTGAGGAACTAAGAAAGAATGCAGAAAAAAAAAAAAATGGATCAGAAGAGGCAGTATTAAGATTCATAAATAGGCTGGTGTCTCATTGTTTATAATAATCTACCAACCAACCAATAACAAGAAATAAATCAACCAAAGGGTACCTTTAGCACATTACAGTAATTCAGTTGATTATTACTGTGCTTTAATTCTCAAGATTATAATATTCTAGACCAAACCTATTGCCTGTTCTCCATGCAAAGAGTTGAATTACTTTGCTAAATTAACTGTCTCTATAAATCTTTAATTATTAGTTTTCCTTACATACATATACAGAACAAGAACAAAGATGTTAAGAATAAAATCCCAGGTTATTTCCGCCTCTGAAGCAGCATATATCATGTATAATCTAAAACAAGAATTATTTAATGAGCATTTTCCATTAATGAGTCCCTTTTTGATTTATTTAGTCTTAATTAGATTCTTTGAGGATTGCAGAGCCTGACGTAGCTTTGTTTGCCAATGTTTCTAAAAAATAAATACACAAATTGAAATCTAAATCTATCAGATTGTGAGGATATCCCTATTTTGAAGCCCTAAACCTACAGACTGGTTTCATCAGATAAAAGTCCAGACTCTGGATAAGCTGCTCACGAATATTCACCTTCTTCTAGTGAAGATCTTTTTTTTTTTTTTCTGACTTGTTTGTTTGACTTTAGGAAAGAGTTTTCTGTTCAGCGTTAAATTTATAGTGGACAACAGACATCCTGACTGCATGATATTTAAGTGTTCATATTTTCATCCATATAAGACAGTTAGCCCTGGAGCATGATGCTGCCACTGACATGTTCAACACTGGAAATGGTATTTGTCAGGATTACAGAGTAGCATAAGCATTCTAGTTTGTTTTCAAGGTCCATAACTCATTCTGTCACAAGATGGCAGAAGGTTTTTGCCTAACCATGATCTTTAGAAGAAAAAATCTTTAGATTTGCAGTCCTGCTCCTTGGTCCATGTATAGAGAGAATACAATCAAGACTATCAGAAGATTGCAGTAATTATTCTGTATTGACTACATTTTGAGTCTTTGTAAGTTCTCTGCTGAGGATAGCTTTAGATGAATAAAAGATGCAAAGGAGAATCAGCATCAATACAACTAGCACTAAATATGAACTCAGCCAGATGTATTACTTTAGTTATGTCAAAAGTTACTTTAACAAAGTTATAAGGATATGCTACAAGTTTATTTCAAAACTTTTCAGAATTTGACTCTGATGGTCATTACTTGTTTTGCAGTGGATTTGCACAGTTTAGAAACCTTTTAGACTACAAAAGGTCTTACATCAGTGACATTTTGGCCACCTTTAAAAAAGTAACGGAATCATTTGATAAATTACAGTAACCAAAACGATGCTCACGTGAGAAAGAATTTATTTTCAGGAATCCCAGGTAAGTCTGCAGAACAAACTGCTGTTTTTGAGAAAGTTCCTTCCTCTCGTTCATGTCTGAGCAGAGGATCCCCACTTCCCCCTCCTCCCAATGACGGTGGCTCATGAACAGCCTCTCTATGCGCCCCACCGTCATCAACGGCTGAGGGAAAACAAATGAAGAAGAAAAAACGTTGGCACCTTACAGAAAAACAGGAACTTTACCACATGATCCTGCAACTCACTGGAAAACTGACACCTGAAGGATGTCTTTACAGCCTTTGTACGTCTGACCTACACTGAGGTCGGGTTCCTATCACTATAAACCCGCCCCAAAGGGAATGTTACCGTAATAATCACTCACAGAAACAGCCATATCTGTTTGCCTATTGCAGGGATACATTAAGATGAATTCAAAGAGAACTCACCGATGAAATCTCCTGTAGAATGTTCCAAGGCAGGAAAAAGAGAAACCGTCCCACCGCACTGAGAGTTGCCTTGTTCCAGTTTTTCACTGGCCTGGAAGCAAATACGCAAACACTTCATGATTACTGTTCTACAAACACTTTTAATCTTTTTTATTTATTTTTTTTACCTGAAACCTTGTCAATATGAAAATTAGGATTTCTGTCAAATCATTATACTTTTCATCTATACTCTAAATGTTTTTTGTTGATTTTGATTTTGTTTTGTTTTTTTAGTGGGATTTTAGGAAAATCATAATAAAATGTAAACTTAAAAAAAAATAAATAAAAAATAAAAATCACATTTCACCTGACAGGGTTAGGGAAGAAAAAACTTAAAAGAAATGTTTCATTTATTGTATTAGTCAATTCTTCATTCAAAAAAATGCTAAAAGCAAAAAAGCTTTCAGAGTAAGTATCACTAAGTATCACACATGTGTCAGTGTGAATAAACTGAATTTAAACATATTTACATAGCATTTAATAGCAATTACCGCTTTTTTAGGAATTTCAATGCTTGGAAGGTTTGTAGACCAAAGATAAAAGATAATTATATTTTAGACCATCCTTTGGTGTTTAAATCTAAAGGTATATTTTCCGAAGAATTCAATGAACCTAAAAAAATGAATGAAAGAAAGAAAAAAACCAAGGTAGTTAAATATTTTTTCAATGACTGTATATTTGCTCTTACATGATTAGGGAGAATATTAAGTTCTGGTTTACTAAGTTTATAAAGACATTAAAGTCAGCTACTGAGGACAAAATCTTTAAATAATGGATAAGAACAACAAAAAAATGTTTTTTTTTTTTAAAAAAAACAAGAGGTTTTGTTTGTCAGTATCATATTTAGTTAATAAACTTAAAAACACATTTAAGTATGAATTAAGAATTATTACTTTTCACAGACATCTGTAGAAGAAAAATTAAAACAGGGACTGCTAATTTAGGAGGAATTTTCTGAATTTATTTTACACATCTGATTATTATGTTAAATTCCTCAAAGTAAATCTAATAGAATAAAATTTTACCTTCTCCCTCAGGTAAAATGGCATTTAGATTAGACTAGAATAGAATAGAACAGAACAGAACAGAATAGAATAAAACAGGACAGGCAAGAATAGAAAAGAAAGTAGAATAAAACAGGACAGGACAAGACGGGATAGAATAGAATAGAATAGAATAGAATAGAATAGAATAGAATAGAATAGAATAGAATAGAATAGAATAGAATAGAATAGAATAGAATAGAATAGAATAGGACAGGACAGGACAGAATAGAATAGAATAGAACAAAATAGAATAGAATAGAACAAAAACAGGACAGGACAGAAAAGAATAGAACAGAATAGAATAAAACAGGACAAGACATACACTAATAGAATAGAATAGAATAGAATAGAATAGGAAAGAATAGAAAAAAATAGAGTAGAATAAAACAGGACAGGACAGAATAGAATAGAGTAGAATAAAACAGGTTAGAATAGAATAGAATAGGACAAGACAGAACATACTAGGATAAAATAGAATAGAGTAGAATAGAATAGGACAGGAAAGGACAGAATAGAATAAAACAGGACAGAACAGAATAGAATTAAACAGGACAACACAGAACAGACCACAATAGAATAGAATAGAATAGAATAGAATAGAATAGAATAGAATAGAATAGAATAGAATAGAATAGAATAGAATAGAATAGAATAGAATAGAATAAAATAGAATAGAACAGAACAGAACAGAACAGAATAGAATGGAATGTTATTGTTTATAAGCAGTCTCCTTCTCTTATATTTTTTGTGATTTACTATATCTATTTATTTTAGATTTACTTCTTCAGTATTACCATTTCCATAACTATACCAGCCTTTGTTAAAAGTTAAAGGTTTGATGAAGTTAACTAAACACTGCTTCTTGGAGACTGAATTTTTTTTAACTCTTCTTAGTATGAGATGCATTTACCCAAAAACAGCAGGTTCTTGCAGCATACGTGCCACTATTTCCGTCTTGCTGCTGCTGTAGCACAGTCCTTTGAGGTATTCCAGGTTTTGAATGAAGAAGGTTCGTTCCAACTGAACAAAAACTTCATCCTCCACAAATGGTGCCATAATGCCCAGTGAACGAAACTCCTCTTCGGTGAATGGCCCGGTGTTCATGGCCTGCAGAGTAAAACAGAACAAGTCAGTCTGACTATAATTGTTGTTCTGTTCCCAATTCTACAAGGTTAAATGTGATTATAGGGGAGTTACTCAGAGGAGCTGCAGTTTTATAAATACAGGTTTATAATAGGATTTTATTTTTTTTATTTCAATTCCTCACTAACTTTCAGGCCCTATATCTATTTTGTTTTCTTATTTGAGATGGAAAGCAAAAAATTATAAAAATGAAATGCAAGATTAACTAAAATATTGTTTATTTCAGTTATTGTATGTTTGACTGAGACAGTTACTCATGGTAAGACAAAATGCCTGAACGGGTACAAAAATAATAATAAAAAAAAAGGTTAGAAAACACTACCGTAGAGCCATGGGTTTGGTTATCTGTTTCTGTAACCGTAAGAAAAAAAATCTGCACCACTGAAATTTTCACTCCAATATGTGACTGCCTAATGTTTCAGGTTGCTGCACACAACCTGCTGCCACCAACATAATCACTCTTTGTTTGTCACAAAAACACTGCCCTTTATATCGCTAAGCTATACTGGTGGAATAGCCGATAATAAATATTTCATTATAAAGCTGATGTTGGCCAATATAGAAGGTAACTTTCATCCTCCAAAATACTTCATGGAGGGAATTTTCCACAAAATTTCCATCAGGTAAATACGGCTTAGAACAAGGCTGTACGACATAGTCTTAACTTCTCACAATCTGGATTCTTTCTGGTTTATTTGCAATTTGTACTTCCTAATGTAATTTAAGGTGGAGTGGGAAATAGATCGACATACCATCCTCTGAACAATCTTGTCAACAAGAAGCTCCTGTTTTGTTCTGGATAACATGAGAAAGTGTTGAGGTGTAGTGACAATCATGTTCCTCAGAGTGTCCATCTTATCTGCAGAAAACTTCTTAATGGTGCTCACCCTAAAAACAGCATTATAGATTGATACAGAATATTACTGGTTACAGTCTGAAAAAAAATCACACATACATAAATATACATATATAGATATATATAAAATCCTGTATTTAAGCTATAAATGTTGCTTCATGATTTTAATGTATTAATTACATAAATCGTCGACACTTTAAAAATTTGCTTTTTGATAAAGCCTATAGCTAAAGTGGCTCAGGTTATCCAAAGCTAACTCTATAGTCATGCTGCTATACGCTTAGACTGCTGGAGGACATAGTGACCACTTTACATCATTCTGCTTCATTATATCTCTATTCTCCCATTCTGTAACTAACTGCATGTATTCTCTTTCATCACTTTGACATGAAGGCTGACTTAGAGCTTCTAAACTGTTTCTTTTCCAGATAGAGCCACCTAAGGAGCAAGTTTTTTATAGATCAGTGCTTCTATGTTCCTCTTGTATGTCTGCCTCTGTTTCCTTGAAACCAAGTCGGCCTCAGCAGATGGCCGATCACACTGAGCCAGGTTCTGTTGGAGGTTTCTTCCTGTTAAAAGGGAGTTTTCTGCTCCATTGCTGCTATATACATGCTTGGTGTGATAGATTGCCTTCAAGTCACTGAGTCAATTCAACCAGCTGGTTTTCCTTGGATAGAAAACTTTGAACCAATCTGACCATATGATCTTTTTGAATGGTATCTGTAAATTGCATTAAGATGACATGCGTTATGGATTGGCTCCATATAACTAAGCTGAATTGTATTGAATTAAATGTAAAAAATTGAAATTATTGCTATCCAGTCTCATATATTCGTGTTACCTGATTTAGGCCAAATTTTTAATCTGTAGAGAAAACAAAGCAAAATGCTGCTCCAAAGTTTTTCCTCTCTCATAAAAAGTAATATTTCAATTTCTTTTTTTTTAAATATGAATATATGGAGTATGTGTAGTTGGTTTTATGACTCACGGTATCGACAAAGCAATTTCAGCTCCAAGATCCTGAAGCATGTCGGTGAAGTCAAATGTGTCCAGCTCCTCGATCACACACTTTTTCTATCCAGCAGGACAGAACAAGACACATGATAGATATATATTACATGTATTATAGGAGAAGAGGTTATATTATGAGTTGTTAGAATTACCAGGGAAGTGTGAAGAACAGTAGGCTGCTTCTGAAGGAAGCTCAAAATCTTCCTCACAGAAGAAGGTGATTTATCAGCCTGAAAATGGTACTTTAAGATCTTACAGCTGAGACCCTGACCCAGTCTTTGCAGAGTCCTAAATGCACACACAGGACGGAGAGTCAACAGAAGTAAATGCAATGTTTTTGGAAAGGTAGTAAAACATGATTTTGTTATGTGTGTGTCTCTGTAGAATTGCAGGATGCTAAGTTTGAAAATCTTTTGAAATAAGCTTCAGTGCTAAGCTTCAGCATACTCCAAAAAATCTGCTATCTCTTTCTTCCTTTATGAAAACAACCATGAAATCTGCCAAAAATGTCATATGTGAGGAATGTAAAAATACTTACAGAAAATCTTGTTTGATTAGATCTGGGTTAATATTAATCAGCTCTTTGACAATTGCTTGAGCCTGTAAAATAGAACAGAAAAGGGTTTTTATACATGATCTATTTTTTCTTTCTAGATATGATATGAGAGAATGTCAATCACGATTAGTTTTTCTAGCTTTCTTGCTGTTAAAACAGAGGAAGTAAAAAATAAATCAAAAAAACTTTCTGAAATGAGGGCTTCTTTTGATATAATATTGAAAACACTTTGACTTGAGCAGTAGGCAGCATGAGAGTGTTGGCCTTTAATGCACAATTTTTCATGCAACTTTTAAAGCACTTGCATACGTTTTTTAATTTAGTGGCAACTATGCAATACCTGCTGTGTGTTCCAAGGTTTAGTGGATGTATTAGAGAGTCTTTCCACAAGAAGGCGAGTTCTGGGAAGGATACTCAGCAGGGGCGTGCATCTGAGCAAAGGCTCCACGTCATCCAGCCAGCTGACAACTTCTGGAAAGCCCTGAAAAAAACATGTCACCTCAAATAAAGAACCAAAACACTGCAAAAACTGTTAAGTTAAAATGTCAAAATTGAGTTGAATAAATGTATTTGCTCTTAATTTGAGAATGTAAACAGGATATGCCAACAGAACCAGTATTTTCTTTTCATAAAATAAGAAAATCACATATTATGCACTTCTTTTTTTATGTAAATCAACTTTTTCCATTGGCAAATTGTCTTATTTACCTAATCAAATAATGTAAAAACACATTTTAAGAAAAATTGATTTGTATTTCTTTTTCTTATTTCAGCTTTTCATTAACTTTTAGAATGTTTGTGTTAAATATGTGACAACCGCATGAATAACCCTTTTCCTTGCGTACCCATAGTTTGGTTGCAATGGCGTTTGCTTCTGGTGCGCAGAGGGCATGCTTGTGTGGCAGGCAGCGGATGGGAGTGTGTTGGCTGAGGGCCTTCAACATGGACAGCAGTCTGTCAGAAGTGAGGGGCAGCAGGGTCTCTGTCTTTACACCAACAATGAGCGAGCCAAGCTCCTGCAGCTGGTTCTGCCTCAGCTGGTTTAGAGGATAGGAAGGTGTGAGGGGACAATCCCACAGCAAAGGAAACGTTTCTTCATATAATTTAAGGCTGGTTCACACAGCAAGATAACTGCCCAGTCTTCCCCTTCTGAGAGCCCTCGGGGGCCTCCAGGGACTGATAATCAGCCGTGTGGTGTCTCTGAGTCTGCTTGGCGGAGCAACTTGACCCCTTTGATCGAATTAGGGAAATTCAACAGATGGGATTGTCTTGCCCTGATATTCTGTAGTGTGTGAAGTCCACTGAGTCAAGCGCGTTCAAATCAGATAGTGGAGTTTAAAAATCTGAACATTTGCAGCTTGTCGCTGCGCATCAACAAATCAGAGCAGCTGATCCAGGAGCAGGCTGGTAGCCATGATCTCTCCACCTCCATAAACTATGGAAATTAGCATGAATGTTCATAAAGGGGTTCGTTACGTTTGCATGAAAACCCAGGTGGTTTTTTTTCAAGTACAAAGAAAAATATTAGGGCTCTGTTTGCTTCAACAAAATAATTTGCTATTGGATTGTGGCAAAAAAACAATTAATAATTCATTATATATTAACTTAAAATTTCAAAACTTGATGGCAAAAAAAAAAATTATTTTATATTTTCGTTCTCTGAGTTTTTACTACCAAAAAAACCCTTTTTGTTCACTTAGGATTCCCATTGCGACGGTTCACCGGTATGCAGGGGTCTGCTACTCAAAACTACAGACTATTAAAAGGTGGAACATCCTGATCCTGGTGAACTGACTTGCACAGAGGACGTTTTGAGGTCTACTTTATTGGTTAAAAACATCTTAAAACTGTTTTTTTTCCCCCACTCATCAAAGCAAATAAAACAAAGCCACCCTTAAAATTACATCTGACATTGCACACAGAGACCACATTTACTCCCTTCGCTCCATGTGAGTCAAGAGCGTCAAAATCGCCTCACTTGCGGTGTGACAGGAAAGAACACTCTGTACGACCATAAGTGTTTTATCCTTCTTTTTTTAATGCTATGCATGGGGTCTCTTCACTTTTAAAATCAACCAAAAATGTTAAAATCCTGCCGTGTGAACCAGCCTTTAATAGATACAATTTTGAATTTTCAAAGTAACTCACCGTGTTGTTTAAAAACAGCTTGTCCACAATTATAGATGCCTTTAAATCACAAAAAATAAGCAGAAGTTGCTGTAACATTCAGCTCAATTCAGGTCCCTATAGTTTATAAAACTGCACATAAAGTTATTCAACAACTAAATTAGGGTTATTTGCATAACTACATCATTTTAAGATATTTCCAACAAACTAAGAAAGGCTTCAATCATTAGGAACTAAACAATGTAAGTATTTTTTTTTTAACAAATGTTGAAAAAACATTTTCAAAAATTCAACCCTATTTTAAGTCACACTGTTAGCAAAATGTTATCAGCCTAAGGAATAAACATCAATGTTTCTTACATTTGGCCTGATGCAGCTAACCAAAGGTCTTACCAACTGCATGAGATATATTTGAGATAGAGCATATTTGGACTCTTAGCAAGTTATACTTTATATAAGCAACAATAATGCAAGTAAAGTTTGCACAAAGAATGTCATTATTTGCACAAACTAGAAAAAATATTCAAAAGGACAGCAAAGGCTATCAGATTCCCCAAAAGGCAGGTGCTTTAAAACCATTAACTGACAAGAAAAGATCTGCTGCAGGTGTAAAAACTTAGTTTTTAGTTTTTATAATAATGCATAATTAAACTAAATATTAAAGAGCTTCAGGCATTAAATACATACATATAAAATCACAGGAATAGTCAGTTAAAATTTGCTTAAAACTCTGAAAAAAGCAAGAGGGGTTTGACATTTCTCTTCTGGTCAGTGGATCAGCAGCAAGGAGGATAAAGGGAGTAGCATAGACTTAAAATGATACCATGCCTGCAGTTTAAACATGGCAGTGGCTCAGTGATGCTCTGGGGTTCTTTGCTTTCTCTGGCACTGTAAGCCTGCAGCATGTGAAAGGTTTAATTCAGTATTCATAAAAAACTGTGAACAAGCTATGGATGAGCAACCATCAGCTTCTACTAGCGTTAATACTCTTCTGAGAAATGCATCACCTCGCCTAATAGTTTTTGTCATGATTCTCATAAAACTATCAGAACGATAAGGTCCCATTACATGACAACAGCGAGACAGAAAGCGCCAGTTCAGCTCTACCTGTATTGGTGTGAATGGTACGGATTTAAGTGCAGGAAGAGCAGAGATCAGCTGAGATGATGTCAGATCCTTTAAGAAGGTTACACCTAGTAAGGGCAGGAGTGGGGCAAGCTCTTTCAGTCGGTTAGCACTGAGTGAGGACGGGGTCTGAAGCTCTGGGTTGTTGAGTAAGAAATCTGAAACCTGGAGAAAAGAAAATATAACTTTTTTTTATTGTTCATGATCAGATACAACACTAAGAATGATCTGCTCGCACCATTTGACTGGGCAGACTGAGTCCTTTGAGTGCGCAGCTCAATATGTTCTCCTGGATGACCTGAAAGGCTTCAGTATTTCTGTAAACAAGGAGATCCTCTGGATCTGCGAGGCATGACAGATTTCCCAATCTGAAATCACATGTATACATATATATATATATACATATTTAGACAGTATAAATTTGTCCTCTCAATCATATGTTCAATCATGCGTTTTTAACCTACCGGTCTTTCCTCACATATATTCCTCCAAGATATATTAGGGAAGAACAATAATCACTAATTTTCTAACCAGGTGTAACTCTTTTTGGGAAATTGCATTTACAAGATATTATACTTTTATGCAAACAGTAGTTCTGATAAGACCCCCCCCCCCCTCAAAAAAAAAAAAAAATTGCAATAATTGTAACAGGTTTAACCTAACCGGATAAAGTCCTGAGCCGTCAGGTTCCTGTAGGTCCCAATAAATTTGTCGGCAATGAATTCCTGCTTTAGAGAAGAGAGCGTGTTTCTCTGCAACACATCCAGACCATCGAACAGCTGCAGAAAAACAGAAAACTTTAGAAACTAATACAGAGATTCCTCTACATTGATTCTAAAAACCTTTGTAATCTAAAGCTATTCCAAATTTGAAAATTTAGACCTTTAATTTCCTTTTTTCACTCTTTTATACTTAATTAATTTTTGATGAGATCTCTTAATGTATTGATATAGAAATGATCTAACATGGAAGCCTATTTAGTAAAAGCCATTCGTCAGAATTGGAAAGATGAGAGAGCATGATTTTTAATAAAGAAGCAAACTGCTTTTAACAAAGTTTATCAATATGTATATAAGTGACAGTGTATGAAAGCTATGTGTGGGAATGCTACTGAATAAAATATAAAATATAGATTAATGTGCAAAGGTTTTTTTTAAAGATTCTTGTTTGAGAGTCAGACAAATGTTAAGGGGCTTTACACAGCTGTTTAAAATCTTGAAAAATACGATAGAATTCTAGTACGCATCTTTGCTCTGACAGTAAATACAGATAGAGTCTGAGATTAATGGGAGTATTCTCATGCCTTTTAAAATGAAAAACATTACTTTTTCAGATAAACCCAGGGAGGAAATTATTCCCTGCGTTCCATTCCAAATTTTATTCAGTTGTATGAAATAAAAATAAAAAAATAAAAAAAACACTTATCTCCTTACACATTTCTTTTATTTCTGCCTTTTTTCACATTTAAAAAAGAACAAAATAAAAATCTGTTTTTTGTGAGAATAGAAAATGTTTTCAAATCAACAAGCGTCAACGGGCACAACCTGCTCTGACGAGCAACAGAGCTGTAGAATTACAAATTTATTGAAATGGAGCCTGATAAAAAATATAACATTTATAAAAAATATAAGAAACAGAGTAGCTAACATTATAGCATGGGAGATTTGTTATTAGAAAGCCATTCTTAAAGCTTTGTACCTCCATAATTACCAAAATGAGTCATTATTTACAAATGGAGTAAAGATTAAAGCCGGAACATGTTGATTATAAAGAAAGACAAGTATCTGAATCCAATTAGTGAGTCCTCTGAAATAAAAAGGTATTTTGGGTGTTCTAGTAAAGTCGGGACATAAAGATGATTAGGCATGACCTTAAAAGGATGTTAATGACTGGAAATTATTCACTGTGGCTGAATCAAAAACCTTTTGTAAACAAGAGTCAGCCAAACAACAAGAGTGATGCCTTCACGGCAATAGAAAGGGCTCACTGCCAATTATTCCAAACACATGATGGTGATGTCGCCAGAAAATATGGCACAACCAGTTTTAAAGGGGACACTTTAGTGTGGTTTTACTTACTAAATTAAATCCAAAATCAGATTACTCATACAGGTAATAACAGATTAAAGAGGCTTGTGCTTTTCAGTGGCTCTGTTGTGACCCACAGCTAATCGAGCTCCGTCCTGGGATCTCATGTTCCACAGCCGGGTGTCAGAGCTCAAAGGGAAGTTACCTGAGCAGCTGAAAGGTGTTGGAAACTGTGGAAAGGCAAGTAAGCAATCAGGTTTCCTGTGTCCCTGATGAGCGATAGATGACCTCCAGTGATGTTAGAGGCGGACATAACTTTGCTGTACCACAAGCCGAATGCCTCTCGCTGGGCCAGACTCATTCTGTCCATGTTTGTGTTGATAGTTTCCCGCCTAGGAGGAAAACAAGGGCGTCAGAGATGGTGCTAAAACTTGTACCATACTTAGCGTATCTTATAAAATACAATACGAAAGTTGGAGGAGGAAAACATTTTTTTTGATACTTTCACGTCATAAATCTTTGATGTTTTGTTGTTGTGACATTTCAGTTAACGCTAATAGCCTGAACAAAACCAGGCTGTTAAAGGTAATTCTCTTTAATATTCAGATTGTTTTTTCCAAAAGATTCCTCTTCATGGAAGATTACAAGAAACACAAGCTTTCCGAAGATTGAAATCTAGTTAGTGGCTGAGCTTCCTTTACTGACTATACATAATACATGTGGCTGACAACTCGTGGCAGAGTGACACATCGGTTCTCACAGACGTCCGACACCAGATATGTCCCCAGAGAGAAGTGCCATGTATGTATGCAGGTAAATGAGACTCCATGATTAAATATAACTTCTAAAATCACAGTTCAGCTATAAAAGACCTCTAATCTCAGTTGATTAACCAGTGTGGTGCCTAATCATTGAGATAAAATGGATTTGAAACTGTAAATACTTTGTCACTTGCAACATCCCATAAGAACACAGTTTATTCCCAATTAGTTCTTTGATATTTGTAAAATACAAGAATATAACTTACAAATGCATAGACCATTAGTTTGGAAATATAGGAGGTGATTCCTAAAGAGCTATAAGCTGAAACAATAGAGAATAGATGATTGAATGATAAAAGAAGGATGCAATTCACAGGAATGTGTCATGAACTAATTTCCCTATATCTTAATGACAAAAGCTTTAATATTTAATTGTGGATACTGGATAGTGCTAAACACTGTTTATAAGGTCTGATCTCCCTGTTTTTCATTTTCTAACATTCTACAGATATTTATAGAAAAAACAAAGTGTAAGAATAACAAAAATCAATTAAAAGTTGATAAGAAATGAAATGCCTGGAAATATATTGATCAAACTCACTTATAAATGTACTACAGTGTGAGTGTTTGGCTTCATTTCTGCTTTTTTGGTAGTCTTCTACCTCTTGAGTTGGTCTGTCACCTTGATTGTGAAGACTGCATATCCTAGATGCTTAACGAATAATAACCATATTGCCAGAAAACATCAATATAAAAATATGCCACATTTATAAATTATTTTTCCTTTGCCTTCTAGAACATTACAGCTCTTTAAATAATAACTGAAATATAATGTCAATCTCCACAACCTTTTTTTTCCATCTCTAACAGTTTCAATTCCTCTTTTATAAATTTCCAGAAAGCGTGTTTGTATGGAAGCTTTTTTAGAAAAGTGTTTGATATTAATACATGATAAGAAGATCTGGCTAAGCTCTGATTCATGTATTCTTAAGAGAACTTGAGGTTTATGGTCGTGTTAAAATTGGCCGCGCACAGGGGTGGTGAATTTTGCAAACTATGGCCCTAATCTTCAAAAAGGTTGCATGTATTAAATTATAAATACATGTTGGTTTGAACATGCAAAGCTAATATTTATACAAGGTGCGGAGGGGATTTGGATGTGTACTCTTTTTTTTGTGCACGTGCCTCCATGACTATGAATATGGGAGGGAGGATCACACAAAGAGAGCTTTTCCAGGTTTTATGAGTTACCATTACCTTTTTTTTTTTTTACATATTTTTATTTTTGTTTTACCTTCGTGTGTATTACTTTCAGATACGTATCTAAGTGCAATAAACATAATATTAATCAATAACAACATTTTCATTTCTTTTGTATAACAATTGTCAATATTCTTTTTTTTCCTCCAATGGCTTAGAGCTTTGTCTCTTTTATGACGACTGTCATACTGACTGTAGCACATGCAATTTGGTCATTTTAATGGATCGATCCAAAGCTGCATGCATGTTTATCCTTTTTTGTAGATAATTCACAACTTGGCCACTCATTGATGTGCTTTTCTTTCGCACAATTTAGCTCTCCTTATTGGGATTCTTTGGTCTTTAGGTGGAAAACATGTTATCCTCTACTGACTGCTTTGGGATTTTACCTGACCTGCCAAACCACGACTGACTTGTCATGCTCTTTCACTTTGTGCTAACATCGCTAACAAATGACTGTGGTATACTTAGAAGTGACAACATTTTAAGACTTAACATGCTTAATGGTATGGAAAGATATCACAGTATCCCTCTAGAATTCACTGAGCTCATACAGTAAAAGTTAACAATTCTTGCATAAATGTGTTCAGAAGTACTCTGCATGCCTTCCTCTTGGATTTTATTCCCCTGTGGTCATGAAAGTGATTAAAATACCAGAACTAAATGGTTTGGAGAGGTGAGCAAATACTTTTACGGAGTACAGATTACTTTTACCAAACATAACTAACTTAAATGATGGAAGAGAGGCACAAAAGTGCAGTAACAAGTAAATAAATATTCTATGTGACAAGAGTCTGAAAACAAGATAACCCAAAACCAAACTGTTCTCTTTGAAATCACTGTATATTTCTTACTTTTCTTGGATTAATCTGACACTTTATTAAATCCAAATGATTTAATAAGCATTGCACCAATTAAAAATGACACCTGGAGTCATTACTCACACATTGATGTTGAGCATGGAGGGCAATGCCTGGATATCAGTTGGACTTGCTGCAGCCAGCAGAGAGCCCAACTCAAGAAGAAGTTTCTCATCTTTTGCCTGGTGGATCTTTAGGAGCACTGACACCATGGTGGACTGGTATTCATCTGATAACTGTTAAAAAGGAGCAAATTCAGAAAATGACACCAGAGTATGCTCTTCCTTAGAATCTAGTAGAACTGAGCAAACAAACAGAAGTGGAAAACTAGGCTGCATATATACAGCGATTGCATAGTTGGAAATTTAGTCACCTGTAGGGAGTCCTTGAATCTGTTATAGTACTGAAGGATCAGCCTGACTGTGCTGATATGTGCAGCAGCCAACACTGGCCTTAGGCTGCTCAAAGGCAAACTGAAATACTCCTATTTAGTAGAAGAAGAAATTATAGGGAGGGAGGTTAAAATCAGACAGCTAATAAATGCTGGCTGATAAAATTTTACCACAGAGACTTGGGATGTGTCCAACCTTGATGAAAAGCTGTTCCTTGCTAGTCATGTCTCTTGTTGACTGCAGCAAATTGCTGAGTACTATCTGCAACAGGAAGATGCACACAAATACAACAGTTTTAACAGCATTTAAGACTAATTTTGTGTTGATGTACATAATTTTAATACTATATTTAATTGTACCTTAGCCTTTCTTTCTAGAGAACTAAATTTGTCAACTTTATGATCAGCAAGAGAAAAATTGAAAAATCTGGGGGGGGGGGAAATCACCCCTGTTTATCACCTAAACATGATGTAGGGATTTCAGTGTTCAGATAATCCCAGAGGGTACAATGTTGGGGGATTTAATGCCACTGGTAGGGTCAGGCTCTGGGTTAGGGTTTAAACAAGGAGCAGTTTAAAAAGACCTTATGATTAAGGCACCACTTGGTACAGCAGAGCTGGGCCCTTACCCTAGAGCCAGGCCAAGGATTGTGGTTAATTGCTGAGCATTCCTCCTCAAAACCCAGCCGAGCCAGCCCCGAAGGAGTGACCCAAGGTTATCCCCCAGATGGTCTGGATCGAACCACTACAAGGGATAGCATAAGTCTGCTAGGGGACTTCATGTGAGAAATGACTATGACACCTGGAAGGGAGTGACCAGCTCTTAACACTAGTGGTTTTCATTATTAGACTTCTGTGCAAGTCATAGATTGTCCATAATGAACACCGTGTTGAAGCATAAAGAAGTCCATCGGTGCACTTGGCACCAGGAGACCATAGGCCACAGGTTGATGATTGACTTTGTAGTTGTATCTTCCAATCTTGTAGGGTTAGGGTCCATATGTCTTGGAAATGTGAATGAAGAGAGGGGTAAAGGTGTCCATGGATCACCACATGGTGGTGAGCTGGGTACACTGTAAGAAAAGTATGCCAGACAGACTAGGGCAGGCCAAAGTGAGTAGCGATGGTCTGCTGGGGATATCTGCTGGAGCCCTTGACATGGATGTAATCAACTCCCACCCTAGGAGCTCCCCTCAGAGTCTGTGGAGGACTGGAGACATGAAGTCATGGTGGATAGTGGAGGGAACACTTAAGGTCAGCAGCTCCCCTCCCTAAAAATATTGTTTCTAAAGCACTGGATTCTCAGTAACTCCAGAGAGCGAATATGTTAGTGGACCCAGAGAAAGCATTTGGCCACCTTCTCATTTATAATGCCTTTAATGGCATTATAAATGCCATCAGTAAATTAGGTGTAACATTGCAGAAACTACACCAAGCTGCAAAGACTTATCAGCATCAGTGACAGTAATGTTATCAGATACCAGCTACAAGCTGAAGGTCAAATGCTGTACATGGGGAATAATGAAAATTTATTTGATACATGTTTGCATCAATAATAAATATAAATAAGATCTGGACAGAAAATCAGACCTTTTCTGATTAAAAATTGAGAGATCGAGTTTTTCTCTTACTATTATTAATTGTTTTAATACTTTCCAACTATTATTGTTATCCACAGTCCCCAAATAAATACACTTATCACAAAAAAAAACATCTATTACCTACCCCAAAGCATTGTAGCAACACTGTCTTCTTGTCCTGGTTGGTTTCTCTTTTTAAAAAGTCAACAATAGACGCCAGGACGTTTTGTCTTATGGTGTTGTTGACTTGCCAAATGGGACCCATTGAGTCCTCTACAGCCAGCAGGATCACCACAGTAGTAGCAACTGCCTTATTTAGCACCTCAGTTACAGGCGTAGTCAGCAGACTCTCCATCCTTGAGCTCAGACTCTCCACCCAGCAGCGCACCATCATTTGTAGGATCATGTTCTCACTGGGACAAGGCTGACAGTCTTGGATGAGGTATTTTGGGCACAATAAGGTGAACTGCTTCATTAGAGTCTGTGATGCACAGGTGTTGGGTACTGTTGTGGTACCGTTCTTTGTGGGGGTGTTGGTGTAGTTAGTAAAGGTAGTACACATACTGCTCACCCAGGCTGTAGATGGCTCCCGGGACAGAAGCAAAAGGAGGACAGGGTTAGGGCAGATAGATGAGACGAAATTGGCCTGGTCGTTCTCCCAGCACTGAGCCAGGAGTGTTGCATTTGGAAGAGATGTGATCCAGTTGGAGTACACACACTGCTCAAAGACTATGAATCCAGTTAGGGTGGTCTGTCCTCCACCTGTAACAGGAGGGCTCACTGAGCTTGAGTGGTTGCTGCAGTACTGTACCAGCCATGCATTATCCTGATTGGCCAGAAGGTTCTGTATGACTGTAGCATTAGCACAGACTTTGGAAGTGAAGTTCTGTGGGTCAATCTCAGCACAGAGAGCCAGCTCAGTCATATCCACGATGATAGGATGGGTCCAGTCAGTGTACCTGCAAAGCTAAATTACAGACATCATATGACGTTTGTGAGGTATTACAACATAGCATAATGCCTTGGGTTATTTCTTTAAATCAATGCTTCATTGTTGACTTTAATATAACTGTACTGTGATTGATTTCATTTTTGCATTTACAATAGTTCTAGTGGGGAACGTTGGTGTTTTTCAGTGTAGTCCTGTTTCTCTGACTGTGACTGGCTGGATGTGCTGGTTTGGAGCTCAGCTGCCTGGCTGTGTGTTTCTTGGACAGGGCCGCCTTTTATAGTTGCCTTTTGTATCTCTGCTTCTGTCTCCTTGAACCCCAGTCAGCCTTGGAAGATTAAAAAGGAATTTTTCCCCTCCACTGTCGCTACAAGCATGCATAGTGTGAGGGATTGCCTTCGAGTCAATGAGTCAAGGCAATCAACTGGTTTCATTAGATAGAAAACTTTTAATCAATTTCACTGGATGATCGCGTGAACTGTAAAGTGAGATGACATGTGTTGTGAATTGGTTCTATATAAATAAACTGAATTGAAAAGTTCCACAGATGAGTTATCTAACAAAACGAGTGATATGTTTTATGTACTCTACTAAAAATATTTTTTTTGTGGTTCGATATTTTCTTTCACCTGTCATACAATAAGACTATTTCCTTTGACATCAGTTTATTTGACTCACAGTTTGTTCTATAGATTTAAAATATCAAAATGTAAGAGCCTGTTTTTCTTATTTAGCTCTTTAAGGTTGCTAGGCTCTTGTAAAAATTCCTGTTGATGCTCCAACAAATAAGATATTCACCAAATATCTGGTAATGTCCCTCTATGATCAAAACTGACATTTTTTCCTAATAGTTTGAAAACAGCAGGTCCCTTTATCCAGCTTGCTCCAATCTTAATAAAGGTCAGAAAAAATATGGGGCAAATATCTTGATATATTATTTTCGCTTTATATTGGACAAACCTCAATCTATAATACTGCACTTACAAATACCCAACCCTCTATTTAGGAAAAATACATAATTCTATTAACCCTTAACTGTATTGCAAACCCTTTTGAATGTCATGTAAGATCTGAAATTGTCTTACTTTTTCCTCTTCGATAAAAATGCACTTAAATATATACTGTTTGGTTTTCTTCAATGGTAAGGATTAAAGTAAATCATACCCCAATTTTTCTAAAACTTTTTTCATGTATACATTGTTTTTGATTAACCAACATTTAACTTTTTAACAACTTGTAAAGTACCCACCTGTGGTGTCACGGTTATTTTCTCCATGTCAGTGCAGACTGTTGTGAGCCACTTGTTCTTAGGGTTTTCCAGCAACTTTTCAAACACAGCTATCTTGCAGCACACGTTCTCCTGAAAAGCAGCTTGATCGTTCTGCCAGCAGAGGCCAACAACAGAATCGTCCACCTGCCTCTCCCCCCAGGTGTGATAGTCGCACCACGATGCCAGGTCAAAGGTTGGAATTGGTTCAGTGGGTTGAACAACCAAAAAGGTGCTGCAGTGGGTTTCCAGCCATGCAATGTCCTTATTTTGCAGAAGGTTGCTAAGAAAGGTTTTATTCGCGCAAACCTCAGTCGCAAATCTAATCTGATCAATAAGGATGCACTTTGATAAAATATCTGTGGTAATCTGCATCACGTTGTGCCACTCTGAGTATTGGCAGGAATCCAATTGTAATAAACTGGGGTTAGGGAACGGTGCTGGAGGGCGTGAATTTGTGCAGTTGGGCATCAGCTGCCAGTTGTCAGGGTTGGAGTTTAGAAGCATGAAAAATCCAGTGTGCTCACAAATTAGACTGGTGAGCCTTGGAGCATCAAGGCTGATACAAAACTGCAGCAGGGCAGCACCCACTTGATAAGAAGGCTGGTCAATCCACTGCTCATACCTGCAGAACTGACTCACCATGTACACATCATCTGCAGAGGAGTTAGCACAGAATCCATATAGCCAGATGTTCGCCTGATCTAAGAGCAGCTTCTTCATCAGTGAAGCATTGTTACAGACCTGCCTCACAAACTCTTTATTATCATTATCTCTGCAGAAAGACACAAGAGCAGCATCTGCAGTGCTGTTCAACCAGCTGCTATAATTGCAGTCCAGCTGTTGGAGCCTTGAAGCCTCCCTGGCAACTCGGCGAGGAGCTGAAGGAGGGACCAGCTGAGACTCGTTCAGAGGGCTGGACACAGCAGAGGGCTGGGTGTCCTCAACAACACAGTTAGATGACTTGTTGACCAGTGGAGACGTCAACATCTGAAAAATATAACACATGTTGCTCCACACATGCTCCATCTGGCTGTTGTTCAGGGAGCCCAGGGCTTTGCAAAAGGTTAACAAAGACAGAGATGCATTTCCTAAACCCATGAGGACATCAGCACAGAGAGTGTCATTGATATTGGCCAGGTTTTGATGATCACACGACATCTTGTAGCGGATATCGGTGTGTTTGTTTGGTGGTGATGCGCTGCGCTGAAAGAGGATGCTGGAAGGACTGTGGCATCCTGCTCCTGGATAATTGTTCAAAGATTCATCTAAGGGGAGGAAGGATTCCAGGAGGATGTCAACAAGTGGGACGCCAAAAGACCAACTCACATTGCGCTTTAGTCCCCTGAAAAAGACAAAAAATCCGCCATCTATGAGTCATTTTGCTTTAAAACAATATGAAGCTACTCTAAAAGTACAAACTTTATGAAAGTTTCACCAACTATAGGTACATCTGAAAAGTGTACAAGTGCATTTTCTGCTATTCATCTCAGAAAGTGAAACTCATTATACAAAATTAGAGTGATAAGCTTAAAAAATTGGGTTGTTGTATTTTTGATATTTACATATAGATAATGAAAACACAACAAAAAAAATCATGTGACACCCTAATCAGCTTATTAAACAACAAACCCACAAAAGAAAGTTTCCTTTAAAAAGTGGGTCAGTCAACTGCTGACTTGACCTTCTCCACAGCCTTCGACACCCTTTCTAAATAGGGTATGTGCCACACAAGGTAAATGTTGATGAAGCTGGGCAAAGGAGAAAATAAATTGGATTCCCCCTAAATGGCCCAAAGTCCTGTTTTCAGATGAAAATAAATCCTGCATGTAGAAATCAATGACCCAGAAGAAGATTGGAGAGGCACACAATCCATGGAAGTCCAGTGATAGGTTTCCAGTCAGGGATGGTTTTGGTTGCCATGTCATCTGCTGGTGTTGGTCCACTAAGTTTCCTGAAGCCCAAAGTCAGTACAGGCATCTATAGGAAATTCTAAAGTACTCCATGCTTCCTCTGCTGGCAAACTGGATGGAGGTGCCGATTTTATTATTGAGCAGGACTTGGAACATCCCCACAATGCTAAAGGTACCCAAAGCTAGTTAAATGATCACATTGATCTTGTTGATTGACCACCAAACCCCACTTACCTGAGCCCTAAAAAATCTATAGTATCTTGTCAAGAGGAAGATGACAAACATGAGACCAAACAAGGACGGCATTTATCAGAGTAATCTAGGCTTTTAATCACACCCCATAGGTCTGCAGGCTGATCTCCTGTATTGGTGCAGTAAATCTGGCAAGAGCACAACCATGTAGTAAGTGTATAGAAATTTCCATACTTTTTAGAGGCTGGACATTTATATTTAAAGCATTATTTTTTTATTTTTCTAATATGATGTTCTAATTTTTTGAGACACATAATTTTGATTTTTCTTTACCTGTGATCCATAATCATCAAAATGGCAAAAAATAAATGCTTGAAACATTCTACTTCCTGTGAAATTAATCTCTATAAAATAACTGTTTCACATTCTCAAATGACTGTAAAATGTTGCATTTTACAGAATATTCTAATTTTTCTTAGTTGAACCTGTATAGTGTTGTACTGATCAAAGGTTGGCTAAGCTAGTTCAAAGGAATATAAGAAAAGACCATTTTCATGTAAACTTCAAGTTGGAGCCCATTAGAGGCTTTCAGTCACTGTTTTGGGTTTTTTGTTTTGTTTTTTACATTGTATTACTTTATTTTATTTGACCAAATATGTGTTGAGAATCACCAATAAATTCAATTAATTACCAACCTATTAATTTTATTATGGAACCCAAATGTATTCATACCCTTGCCTGATGTAGATGATCTAAAACCACAAGAAATGTGAAAATAAAACAAAAAAAAGATAATTCATCATTGTAAAGAGAAAATTGATTTTCACATCATCTTATTATTAATTAATATTTTAATGTATTAACTTATAATTTCATTATTTTTAATGTATTAACTAATAATATCATAAATTAATATTATTAGTATTTGCTGTCCAACTTTTTGTCTGTTTCCACTGTTATTCTGAACAGGTTAATTTGTAATAATTAATATAATTACTTCAAACCTAATAAATAACTGTGGCCTTAAGAAGATTGCAGTAACCTATATTATTTCGGACTCTTTAGACAGGGGGTAAGCAATGTCGTTCCTCAGGTGCCACTGTCCTGCAGCTTTTGCATCATCCCCTGCTCGAACATACCTGAAATAAAAAGCCAAATTACCTCTTTGGTGTGTAGGTAAGTTTATAAGATGGCTATTAAACTTTTTTTTTGTTTCAGGTGTGTTAAACACGGGGTGTATGCAAAAGCTGCACAACAGTGACACTCAAGGACAGACATTGGCTACCTCTCATTCCATGGTGCAGGAAATCAAAAACAGCATTCGCCTTACCTGAGTCTGAGAAGAGAATACATTTTCAGCTTTGAGTGTTTATTCTTTCACAAAGGAAAGTGGGAACTATAAGCAAGTAGTTTGATTTTCTTTACCTACTACTTCAAGAAAATTTAGGTAAAATGTTTGGTCTAACGGAGCGAAATTGTTCAGCTAAACCTCTGAGGAAGCCCTCTGGCCCTCTTGAAAGAGAGCAGGCTTCCACATCTTAACCAACATCTGGAAATAACACAGGTTAAGAGTTGACACACATTTTATCACAGTCTGTGTTACAAAACTTCGGCAGCTGGGAAATTCCCAGGTTTCCTTTCACAATTTCCGATCTAGATATAGTTAGTGCAGGGACACTGAGAATCCTGATAAAGAAAGACTCTGCAACAGGAACTTCCTTCTTAAGATGAACTGAAATAGCAAGAACCTACATACAGAAAATCATAGACTCCATCTCCAGACTCTAAAGCATTAGTCACTTGTAGATCTGTTTTTTCCTACATACCTTTGAATTCAATAGTAACATTGACCATTTTCAGTCATTAAACACTTAAATATTTCACTAGAGGTTCAACTAGGAACATGTCTCCAACATTGGACAACAAAATTAAGAAACTTAATTCAAGACTTTGCATTTAAATGCATTTAAATGTGTTGTACTACCTGTCTTGTATAAAATATATGGTTAAAAAAAACATGTAGATTCACAATCATTACAGCTTCTTGTTAGATTCATTCTATTTTAATTTTCAACAAAAAGGAGCTGATTTCATGAACAGACTTTTTTCTGGTAATGTTTTGTCATCAGGTATGGTAGAAAGCTAATGACTCACCACATAATTAGCTGCTTGAGATCGCCTGTAGAAAAGAAGAACAGCAGTTAGTGCAGATCCAGAGATGCCTATACACTCGAAAATAAAAAAAGTTCCATTTTACCTTGCTGGCAGGTGTCTTGTCCATCCAGGGATGGGACTTCAATTCCGAACTCTAAGGCTATTCTCACATAATCAACTGGTATTTCAAGGAACATTGATAGGAAATGTAGCACATTGGCTGAAAGTGAATCTAGAAGGCTACGCAGAACATTAGTCAAGTTCTCAGACAGCATGAGGTTTGACAGCATGTTAATGAACAGCTGCTGAAAACCACTAAATGCCGATGTCAGTGTGCTTCCAACATTGAGGTAGGTCCCAAAGAAGCTCCTCGACTCTCCATCGGGGGTCATTGGACCACAGGTCTGAGATCTGAGTGAGGAGAAAAACATAAGGAACGGCTTCCCCATCTCCAATGAAACTGTCTTTGTTAGCTCTGCCTCTAGGCCACAGTCCTGTCTCTCTAAGAGAAGGCAAACCAGCATTTTAGGCAGGTCATCAAAAAAACCCTTTCTCATCAGTGGTTGAAAAAGCCTGTAGAGGTTACTGAGGATGCTATAGTATGTATTCAGGTTGAGATGGTCCTCTGTGGAGGGGACAGCAAAGCTGCGTGAGTTTTGCTCAGAGAGGAGGTGGATTTCATCAATGACTTTTTGAATGTCCTCTCCTAACTTGCCGTCCTCAGCAGTCATCTTGTTGTTCTGTCCTGGAACTAATCTGGGTTGTGAACACACCGGTGTGATATCACTTATGATCCCTGTGTAAACAAATCAATAAATAAAACATTACATGATAAAGAATGTATCATGAAAACCTTAAAAGGTTTATTTGAACTACAATTGCAACAATAGCATTTGCATGATTTTTCATACTAAATGACTGTAGTTTCAGTAGACATTTTAAATGTAAATGTATCCAGAATGGGTTCATGCACCAAAGGATGAACTTAACTGAACTTCCTCAAAGTTAAGGAAAAAAATGTGACATCACAACGAATACACTTGTTTCAGTGAAAAATCAGTTTAAAAGAAAAAACATCAGAGGCAACTAATGCACAGCTCATGCATGTTCAGACATTTATTCATTCAGTAGTAGTATTTACTCTCTAGTGTTGGCTCTCAACATTCTGCCTTACCCATCTCTTACTACTAATTAGCCTCATGTACATTTATTTTTACTGCTTGGTATTTCAGTTTTACTTTATTTTCTGCATACAGTTAATGAAAAAGAACTATTAAACCGCTCCTGATTTTTTTCAAATTTTTAGTCTTAAGTTATATTAGCTGACGAACACAATGAACACAACAAAAAATTAGTCAGTTTTTCCATGACTATGAATATCCAGCAGATCTGTGTTATGAGTAGTTTTCAGTTTTGTGATATTTGTGAATATTTATAATTACTTTTAATTTAATTATATAATTGATAATTATTTCAGCAATCTTAAATAATCATAAAATGTTTTCTAAAAAAATATTTATTGAAAAAGTTTTTTCATATTTCAAATATATACTCTTGAGCAAACCGCCTGCTTAAGAGTTTAAGAAGGAAGAAAGGGTAATTTTAAAAACAGCCTTATATTTATCAGGCTATTAAAATGGTTTTGCAAAACAAACTTTTGAATTTTAAGGAACATTTTCACATTTCTGCAGTTTTTGCCTAAAGACTCACTCTACTGTTTACACTAGTTTCAACCTTATATTAGGGGGCAGCTGAAAAAAAACTCACAAAAAATGAAAAGATATAAATCTTTAGTGTTATGGCCTATTTACATCTACCACCTGCTCATGCCCCAACTGTGCCACCCCAAACATTTCTAAAATATGTTTGAAAGCCAAATATTAAACTCAACACAGAGGAAAAACACTTTCACACAACTGCAATATACAAACTGGTGCTTCTTTCTCAAGAAATGCCAGTGGAAAGGTCATAGCATCACTGTTTCAAACTTACCAAATAGGATGCAAACCATACGAACAGTTGGTGAAGACCACATCTTTATTGTCCTCCTAGTAAAGCAGTGATTGTAGTTAAATAAAGTGTAAAAAGATCAAATTTATCCTTTTACTACAGAGAACATCAGCTGAGGCAGAACCGGGCTAAGAACAGATTTCATGTTTGATTAGAATAAATTAGGCCTTTACAGAAACATGCATTGATTTCTCCTCATTGATTGATGTCCATCGATCAGATGTTCCCCGTTAGGCTGCTCTGTGCTCAGAGAAAAAAAAACTTACTCCTCACCTTCAAATCAACCTGCAACCCTGCACCTGATCTGCCTTGGGCATTATTAATGAGACGCGTTACAGGGAAGAGGAGGTGCGAAACGAGGGCTGTGAAATGCAGGACGGATTTCAACAACAAGCACATCAGTCGACGTTGCATTATTGATGGAGCGTGTTGAATAGGTCGACCATCTGAAACTCGACTCCTACCCGAGGAGTCAGAAGACACCAGACCAACTGGTGGACAAGTTATCCTACAGCTGCTGCCAATACTTTGATCAGCAGACTGTAACTTTTATTTACAAGCTGTCGCTTAGAAAGGGAAGATGTTTAATGACAGAGAAAGTGAAAAAAATATAAGCAATGACTTAAATTATATATTCAGTTTAGTGAGCAGGTCTATTTTTGTTTAACCAAACAGATTTATGTTTTTGTTACCGTTTTATCAAGCATTTATAACTAAATATTGCTACAAGTAAAAACCTGAGCGGATATATTGTATTTGGCAAAAATACATGCCTTCCAAAATTATTTTTCTGAATGAATTCTGAGCCGAGTAAGGTTTCATTTTTTTTCCAGTGTTCCTGGCATTTACTGCTTGAAGCACTTCGCCTGCTTTTTAAATCAAAAGGTAACATTGCTGTCCATTTTTGTAAAAAAAAAAAAAAAAAAAAAAAAAAATTATATTTAAACCACAAGTTAAATTTAAAGAACTGTGAATTCTTGAGGTTTATTTAGGTTTTAATCTGGACTTCAGGTTCTTTTGTCACAAGAATGTGCTTGAATTTAAAACCTAATTACAAGCTATCCAGCTTCTCTGTCATTTTAGTTGAAGCTATGTCAACTATTTAGAAATATTTTTGAGGCATTGGGGTAATTTAAATGGACTATATGCCCAACTCCACTATTTCCTTAACTTAAGCCAGCTCATTTGTTTCTCATTTTTCATCATTGTATAATCCAGGTGTGTCTGGCCACTGTCGTTATGGTTACTGAGGCTAGACACACCTGGATTAATCAGGCTGTCCTATAATGCAAGACAGGAAACAAAGAAGCTGGCTGAAGTTAATCAAATGTAGCCCATATTACCGTTAATAAGTTTATTTCATATAGTTTCACAAGGAACTTTGTTCCAAATTAGTCATTATACTTAAGCTAAACAGTAACTGATGTAAAATTCAGGCGCACATAAAGACCACATTTAAATAAGTTTTAAAGGCTGAAGTGAAATCTAACAATGTCCAGTGTTTAAAGTTTTATTTTTTTCCCTTCACGCAGTAGTTTGGGAATTTGGCTTTACACTGCACTACCATCACATGAATAACAGCAACGCATTACTAAAAACGGGACAAATCTTCACTTTGGTGCCTAATATTTAAGATCACATGTGACTGGTGCATTTTGACTTAAAGGTGTTCAAGACAAAATATAAATAATGAATACTGGAGATTTGAACTACAGAGTGGACTAAATGCAAATACTCATCTTTATGACAGTGGATAGAAATAAAAACAAACGGAAGACAAGTTTCTGGTCAATTTAAAACTTTCTTTCAGAAATTCAATGTAACTGTATATACACTTTACAATAGCATACAACCTAACAGATAACAAAGATGTCTGAAAACATTAAATACATCGTCAGCACAAACAGCAACTTTAGCAAGTAAAATGGCTTAACGGATATTGATTTTTAAAAGAAAAAAAACCTAAATCATGACATCTTTCTGCAGAAAAATGTCAAGATTTCAGTTCATTACATGACTTTCCCCACAAAGCAAGCTGTACTGTCTACATGCTAATTTTAACCGTTCTTAGACAGTCCTAAACTAAACATGGATATCCGTAAGAAAAAAAAAAAAAGAGAAAAACCCCATCTGATGTAAAGTTAAATCTTCATTAATACATTTAAAGTAGATATGTCATGCTTTTAGGAAAAAGAATCAAAAATACAAGACTTTCCTTATTTTAAGGATTTTTTTTCCATACAAGAAGCTGCATGTATTGTACAACAATCAGTGTACAATAAACTGCTAATGCACATAAAGATGAGCTAAATGAAAAGTATCAAATGCCTCCTGCTGAGCCTTCAGAAAGGCATCAACACACAAATAAAAGCGTGTCGTTTAATGAGGAGACAAGCAAGCTGGGGCAACATCACACACAGGGAGTGAGGCTTGCATATAGATGGCAGTCAGGATGGTCAACTTGACAAACTTCTCCATTCCAAGTGCATTTCAATTATTTTCTTTCATTCTTTATTAAGTATGCACTCCCAGGTTCTATTTTATTTTCTATTTTCAGTGATTAGGCAAAAGCACAAGGCAGACGTTTTGGAGAGATGTTTTAAGCCTTCACTCCATGTGTAATTTACATTCATAGTCAGAACAAATTCACTCAAAAAAACAAAAAACATTCTGATTAAAACACCCTAGTGCCACAAAAAAGGCAAACTCAGGCAACAACGAAACGGTGGAAATTACTTTTGCGCTGAAATATTTAAAGGTTCTGATTGGGAGGTTTTACGCGACTGGAGACAGGGTCAAACAACACGTACAGCACCTGCTGCCCTCTGTGTTTTCTTAATATCTGCAGAGCTAAAAACGTTTGATTGTCTCTCTTTCTACATTTATCTTGGGACAATTGCACAATAACTGCCCAAAGGAGGAGCTTGGGAGAACAGGGATTGTATGGCACTGTACAGGCAAATATAAACACTCACATTTCACGTTATGTAAAATGCACAATAATTTCATTCAAACACCAACGGAAAATCGCTGCATGATCTGCACACTTATTACACTCCAACTTTGGGTATCAAAAGAAAACAACCTTTTAATTTTATTTTCAGTCATTGGCGAAACTAAAGGTGTTTGGCCAGAGTTCAGACTGGGAAAAAAGAAACGCCTTTGTTGCCATTCTTTTAAAAAACAAACAAAAAAACATTTATAATGGTGCAAAGGAAGAAACTGTATGCTGCTGGTATATATTTAGCCATATTTCAACCGTGAGCAGAATAACACTGGCAAATATGTGCTACATTTATCATGACGCTACTGATTGAGCCTTTAAATGAGACAGACTTAGAGAATTGAAGCACAGATTTTAAGCCAGAAAAAGTTGATCAGCTGTAGGAGACAAAATTGATTACAGTTGGATGATAAATTAAAAAAGTTATGACTGATCAAAGATTTTGTCGAGACAGCACTATGGATATGAATGCCCTCTAATTTTCACAATTTACAGTAGATATTAGTCCCAATAATTAAGGAGTAACATGCCCACAGTAAGGCAATCACAACAATTTAACATGACTTAGATTGAGAACAAAACTTTAGTTGCTTTTTTTAAGAAAGCGATGGACTTATGAATATGCACCTATGATGTAAAAAAAAAAAAAAAAAAGCCTTTTTCTAAAACTTACATGACACCTTTTAAAAATGCATTTTACAAATATTAGTAAAACATCTTGGAAATACTATATTTTAAACAGGAAAAAAAAAAAAACAATAAAAGAGCAGTTTTACCGGGAGAAAACATGAGCCTACAATAGAAACTTGACAGAGCTACAGAGGAATGCATATTTTTTTTTCTTTTTCTGTTAGCTACAGATAGGATATTTGCCCACCCATCAGATCAGACCCCCTCCTTCCAGCTTTAAAAACACAAACAAATGTTTTTTTTTTTTTGTTTTTTTTTGTCAGTGTTGACAGCATGAGCACCAGAAGGGGCTGATGTGTTCAGGGATTTTTACCTGTTGGTATCCATTAAACCAGCACCGAGACCTCAGAGTTTAGGGTGGAGCTTGTTTCTGGCTCCACCGCTGCTGGAGAGTCGCTTAAAAAGAGGAGTCTACATAGGCTTTAATCTGTGTGTGTAATTTCCCTCCAATTACTTTTTTTCTCTTTTTTAGAAAAAATACACAGAAGTAAAAAACACAAAAAAAAACTATAAACTTTTTAAAATTTTTTCCTCCTGCTCCTCAACAAAAAAAAAAAACTGAATATTAACGGCAATGCTGTAGTTTGTATTCCAAAGAGATGCTTTTTACACACGTTGATTTCAGTCTTATCCTGCTGTTAGGTTGTGACGCACCGCTGCTGATTTCAATCAGGAGGCAGCAGGTCGTGAAGTCGGAATCTCTCTCGAACGTGTGGTCGCACGTCCTCGTTCTGACATGTTCACAAGGGAAAAGACACCAAAGTACATTAGAATGGGTTATTTTTAACAGACAAAGCATTTAAACCTAAGATGGTGACTGTGGTCCGTGTGTAGCAGAGTCTTTGAAAGCTGGAAGCAGCTGTTAAATTTTAACTTACTATTTCATTAACTTTCATTAACAGAGCCCACATCTCTGGTACTATAACTTTAATTTTTTTGTAGTTTTAGCCACTTTCTTCACTTTAAAATAACGTATGTCTCCATTTTATTACATGTTGCCTTTTTGGGCTCCTTGGGGCTGATTTAACTGAAGTGAAGGGAGGGATTTGACTTAAGCATTTGGTTTGAGTGAGGAAGGGATACTTGTAATAAAACCCTAAATTTATTGTCCAGAAAGTTTAGTATGACAATTTATTTTTTAATTAGTGAAAGTCATGGTGAGTGAAATGGTAAAACGTGTTCAAGACCACGGACTACAACAGTGGTTGATCTACACCACTCCTGAATCTAAATAAATTTCACCTGACTTTTTATATTTTTTAAACCAATATTATTTTCAGAGAAATTTGATTTCAGGTTTTCTATCATCTGAAAACGACAAAAAAAAAAAAAAAAAGGAAAGATGTGTCTAAATATGTGAACGTTTAAACTGTACCTTTTATATGACATTGTATAGGAAATAACAGAGTCAATGTTTTGATTTGTGAGACTTGTATTCATATCCAAGTAAAGAGCAGCCCTGCTTACCATCTCAACCAGCTTCTCCAGAAAAGGGACCAGTTTTAGCAGCTCGTTGTCATTCTTATCCATGAACCAGCTCTCTATTGGAATCCCATTGGATAACTGTGGAGACAAAAGACAGCTTGTGAGAAAGGACTGGTGTATGTCTAGCTGACCTGAACAAGTATGCCAGCAACTTGGTGAATCTGACATCAGATGGACATTAAAAGGAGTAGAGAGAGTCGCTGATATCGCCTCAAGTGGGAGAAGGAAAAAAACAAAATATTTGAAGGATAAAAAATAAAAACGAACTTAATTTTTGGCATTATTTCCATGCAGGCTTCTTCATCAAATGATGCCAAAAAGACTTCATCACAGAAGTTTATTACAATGTCATCACTATTACCATTATCTTCACAATTGTATAATTTTTACTTTGTGCTGCATTTACTGTCTTTATTTTACCTGATATGCAAAGGCCTGTGGTGAATTGTCAATGATGATGGTCTTTGACAGATCTCTGCCCAAGATGTTGAGGTCCTTGATATAGTTTCCCTGGACACAGACGCAATGCTCACGAAATAACCGGTGTCTACATTTACCAAAGGGGGAAAAAAATAAAATAAAGAAGAGAAGAAAAAAAAAAATCAGTATTGCTGTCAGCAAGATCAATAATTTACAAACACTGACACCTGCAACAGAAGCCAAATGCAAACCTGGCGAATCTGAACTAATGCTTCCTAAACCTACTGTTTTATAAATATTCTAAAAGAAAATGGTAGCAACCAAAAAATCTTTTTCCTAATTAATTAATCAAAGGATCAGTTATCCAATTGATCAATTAATAATCGAAAAGCAAAATCTTATCAAGAAAAAATATATCCCCTAAGGGGTGATCCTTTTTCCATCTTAAATGCAAGTATTTTTATATACCTTTTATTTATTTAACACGATTTTAGCATTATTAAGCTCTTAATCAGTTGTCTTCTCACTTAATGGTATGTGCTAGGGTCTGTATACTTCAATAATTAATCGATTAACAAATTAATCGATTATTTGAAAAAGCCATAAACCTTGATTAATTGTTTAAGCCGTAATGCCTGCCATGCGAGAACTACTTAATAAAACAAACATCATACCTCACAAGCTGCTTTTTAGGATCCAAAATGTTGAGTAGTTTGTCTGCATACACCTTTTTAGATGCCGTAAAAAGGATGATCTAGAACAGAATGATACTGGGTCACTCTTCTAACATGATAAATGCAAAATAAAAATGTAGCAAAGGACTATCCTGGGGTTATTTACCTCGTATATTTGAGACATACGCTCCAGAAACTCTCTGAAAAATGGCCTCAGGCGCACATACACCTGTAGAGGACAGATTATGCTTTATTGGAGACTTTGGTTCCCTCTAGTGGCATAATATGGGAATGGAAATGAAAGTGAACCAACCTGGTAAATGACATCTTGGAAGAGGACAGGGAAGGTAAGTGCTGCATCCTCTAGTTCATTTAAGCTGCAGTGAACCAACGTTTCATCCTTTTCAGAAAACATAAAAAGTTAATTTTATCCAGTTACTTCCCGGTTCAAACATCTTTAACTTAACATTTTAAAGTTTTATTTTTCTTTTTTACACATTTTTTTTTTTAAATAAACATAAGTCTTATTTTCACTGTTTAATACTTCAGGATTTTACTGACTGCTCAAGAAATATCTGGTGTTTGTAAATGCAAAAGCTTATTTGCACATCATGCTTGGCTGGGACATCCTTGTAAAGAGATTAACAATCGATGGATTGTTATTCCCTGATAAAATCCAACAGGTTGAATAATTAACCAACCAGGTCCAGAACCAGAGAGAATTCAGGCGTGCTGCGAGTCTTTAGCGGCAGGGCTGGTTTCCTGGTGAGCTGCTCTTCTGTCAGAGGAGGGACATGCTTGATAAAGAAATACCTGCCAATCAAAAGAGAAAACCAAACGAGAAACACCCATATTTAGTCAAATCATAAAATACTGGAACTTTTAAACCTTTTAAACAGTAATATATTTGTATTTTTCTCATAGAATGATGCAGCATTAAGGCGCTTAAAAGGTTTGAGATTCCAAACCATGGCAAATGCAGATTCCCAGCAAACCTCTCTGTACTCTCAGAAAATATTTTATAACTATAAGTGTCAACAAGAAATTATAAAAAAATAAAATAAATAAAAAACAGCTTTGTAGTTTCTTAAGTGTTATAGAAACACGGTCAAAGATATATAAACCAGCTGTCTAAAAACATTGTAATGGACTGGAAAGGGTTTTCTCTGTCTTTGCAGTGCGTTACTTACGGGTCAAACACTTCCCAGTCTTCCTCATAGGATGCCTCAGGTGGCACGGTTGCTGGAACATCCACATACATCACGTTCAGATTAGAACCTGGAGCTAAAAGCGCAACGAAAAAGCATAAAAATTAAAAAAAAAAACAACAGAACAGCCCACTACAAAAGCAGAACCAGCAGCTGATCAATTTAACTTTCCTTTCAAAAAAAAAAAAAAAAAAAAGAAATCAGAATTGGCTATGATGGGGTCGTACCTGTTAAAGGGGGGAGGTCAACATCAGCATCCAGTTCTTCTTCCTCTGACGTAGAGGACGCTTCAAGGATGTGTGGAGGCCGTAGAGGCGGCAGGTGTGACACGCTGGAGTAGAAGTTGTTAACGGGGCACAGATCCTGGGTGGATGTGGCTGTGCTGGTGGGCGTCTCCACCACCTGCTCCATGTCCAGCTGCTTGGCTATCTCCTCTGCTTCCAGAGCCTGGCCAGGGGAGTCTGAGCCTGAAGATGCTGAGAAACAAAGAAAAAAAATTAACATAAATCCTCTTTCTGACATATCAAAGCATCACTTTAATAATTCTGCACACTCTATATGGTTTACAATTAAGTACAAAGAGAGATAAAAAAGAAGCATTTTGGAAAAGGTAAGATGCCAAATGATGCACATGTACAAAACAGTGAAATAACATTGAGATAACTGGAATTACTTTTAGCTGGTGAGAAAAAGTTAAAAACAGGGCTGAAGATCGTCCCAAGCAGGGTTGTCCTGGGAGGACTGGAGGTCAGCTCAACTGCAGCCGTATCCTCCAAACTGCCGTTCGGCTTCTCCTTATTCCTGTCATGATTGGTCGCTTCTGCAGGGCGGAAAACACAAGGTTCAAGAGAAGTATAATCCGGAGGAAAAAAAAAAAGGCCAGATGTTAAGTGGTATAACTCAATTACTTTAAGCATTGTTAACTTACGGCCATTGATGGAGCCTTTCTTGCCTACTCTGCTTGCAGTCCTCCGGGGGGAGTTGGTGTTTGAAGGAGTGGAGGTGATGAGGTTGTTGTCCACATCGCAGTGGAGGCGTGTCTTCTTAGCCGGGCTCTCCTGCTGTAACTGGCAAAAAGAAACCATAACAGCTGTAGACATCTTAAAATGCACCCGTTCTTAAACAAAAACAGCATGTGACAGAGAGTATACAATCTTTTACAGAAGCCAAGGATTAATGGCAGCTTGCTGTGCAGGTTACAAAATGACCGTAACAAAAAAGTTGAGCAGAATCTAGAAACTATATTATTTAAAAGTAACCAGCAAAGCAGATGCAACCATTATCTAAGTATTAAAAGGACAATGATATAAATTTAGCATAGTTTTTAATATATTTTTTCTAAATACAGGCAGGAAATGACCATTTGACACATGCTTGATATTAAAACCAGTTTATTTCTTTATACATAGTATTAAAATAATAATAAAATAAATAAAAAAAAACAACTATAACCTCCTATAGGAAATTTAGTTGACTTTTCCATTCGCATAGAGATCCTGTCACTGCGCGCCAACATTGTGAGCTACAATCTAAAATTAGATCAGAAAGAGGGTTCTCGGACAAGCTGCTGCATTCCATCAGAGTTTTCTTATGAAACATGACACTCTGCAGCCAGAAATGCTGCATTTGACTTGTGGACATGTAGCACACAATAGCCAATACAACTCTAAGCTGGTACTTCCTGGTAGCGTTTTCCCTTTTTAAAATAAACACCAAGCAGGAGCACCAACTCCATCCCACTGACCAAGTTTTTAAGCTGTTAAAGAAAATGACTGCTTTCACATAAGTGACTATGTGGTCATAGGAGAGGTACCTTGACAGCATTTCCTCGGATTAACTTCTTGATGGTGGATAATATTCCCCTTCCTCCGCTGGCAGGAGGGTCGTCTTCTACCTCTGAATGCCTCCTCTTGGTTCGGGACGTGCGGCTTGTCAGAGCTGGGTTTTGGTGCTGAGACGCCTTTCGCATTCTCAGCCTCATTGTTCTTGCAGTCACATGTAAGGCTGTTGCAAGAATAAAAAAAAAACATTTAAGAATGAGTACAGATGTAAGAAAGAAAAAAAAAAAAGGCTAAGTCTCAAGGATGCAACTTTGTGTAAAAAGGCAACATTGGTTGCTTTTCTGCCAACATCTGGATGCATTCAAGATCCCATTTCACTTACATCAGGAGCATCACAGCAGCCACAGCTGGCTTTACTTCCACTCTACAGTTAAGAAAGGAGCATTTCTCTGGATCATACAATAAACAACTTTTCTAAACATGAAGCAGGAATGATGACATGAAAGTAAGATCAAAGTTTTGCTCAGGGCAACAAAATAAAGCAACGACAAGACTTAAAGAGACATGGGTGCGATAAACCAAGACATCCGCAAAGATATTTACATACATTCTGCAAGACAGATTGAGTAGCTCGGTATTATGGATTGGGAAAAAAAAGAAGAAAAAAAAAAGAAAAATGTTGCATTAACCCATTAATTCCGCAAAGCTCTTTCCCTTGCGTAACAAAAAACAAAATGTGTCCAGACATATCCGCAACCAGTCAGGAACCGCTCCAGATGCAACAGCGCCTTCTCTGTAGAAGCTGAACATGCTGCATGCTGTAATTCCCAACATCTGGTTCGCATTTACACAACGACATAACCGAGTAGAGAATGAATGATGCTGTATTCAATGCACAGCAAAATGAAAAGAAGAAAAAAAAGCTTGCCAAAGCAACAGGAGAGAAAACGCAGTGCAAGTATGTTGCAACTGTGCAGAATGGAACACAACTACATGCAGCAGAACAAAAAATGTTTAGGATGACTAACTACAGTAAATTAGAGATTAACTGTAATCATCACCATTAATCAAGCAGGTGTTATAGTTGATATAAACTGTCTCTATACTGTTTTTTATAAGACTAATCTATTCTAATGCAATTATATATTTATTCACACACCTCCCCATTTTATTTTCGTTTTTGCAGCATTTTAGCTTTTACTACCTATATCTTTTGAATCACCCCGATGAGGTCTATATATTACGCAATTATATATATATATACAATTTTGGACACAGATTTCAGACATTTCAGCTATACATGCTGACAGTAGGTTTGCAGAACTAAGTTGGTTTTTAATGTTGGATTTAATTCCTTTTAATTATGCATCATATCTCTAAGTTCTTATGGAGCAGTGAGCTTACAGATTAAAATAAAATCTGTGAAATCTCAACACATGATCAGACAGGGAGGATGGAAACACCAACAGCTCCAATACATTACATCCACCTTTCCAAGCAATCAGCCATGGATCATGCACACTGCTGGCTGAGAGTGAAGTGAGCGGGAAATAAGAACATCTGTGAGACTGAGAAGGCTAATACGAGTTAGCTACGGACAACAGCAAGGATCCGTAACCATACAGCGGGTGGAGGCCCTTCCAAAAAACGTTTCGTTCGTGTTGCAAAAATGCATAACGAGAGTTTCAAAAAGCTTACAAGTTAGCAACGCTTAGCTAATAATCGAAAGCAAATCGGACAATGACATATAGCCAGATCGCAATTAATTGTTTAAAACCAACATTACTGATAAAGATGTAGCCAGTAAATCCCACGTTAAAAGCTCTGCAGTGTAATCACTGAGTTTAAGCACAATTAGCTTTTGCTTAAAAGGTAACTTTTAGTAACGAGCAATTCAAAGTAAAGCAAATCCGGGGAGAAGTTTAGATTTTAAAAATGGAGAAACCTAAACAAAACACTTTATAGTGTCCCAGTCAATGCAGCATCACAATCTGAATGACAAAGTAAAGAATAATGAAAGGATTTGTTAAGTTAAATCAACACTGTTTAGGTTGCCGAGCTGCAGTAGCCGTTAATATTTTGACATCGTTAATCAAAGCCGACAGTCACAATAACACCAGTAAATCTGATATAGTCACCATTCCGTGAATTTAATTGATGATAGTTCATCGAATGAGTAATACGGAAATGTTGAAATACGTTTTGAAATAAAGCTAAACTGCAGTTTGAGCGCTAACGCGTAGCGCTGCTTAGGAATGTTAGCCGGCTAAACCCGTTAGCCAAGCAGCGCTTCGGGTTTTAATGATACTTTTTAAACGAAGTAACACTAATATGTACTGTGCGTCTAGTTATGTTTAAATCACCTCTTCAATAAAATGCTTCTGTCAGAATACAGGTTGAGTTTAAATAAAAGGTTAGTCAAATTAGTCATGTCGAAGGTAGGCCGTGAATTAGCCCGTTCTTAGCTTGTTAGCTTCGAAAGCTTCCCGCAGAACTGCTCCGGGCTAACAGATGTGCAGAGGCATGGAGAGAGGAGCATAAATCTCCTGTCAATAGCTTCAATTGCATAAACACAACCCCAAGTGCATAAAGGATGCGCGGACAGTTAAATATTAGCGACTTACTGTAATGTGACCCGCTGGACGTGACAGTAACGACTCAAGACAGATTAAACATCACAACATAGCACTGCATGTTCTTCCCCCCACCCGCCCCCTGTTGTATTTTTGCTGTTCAAGGACCGTCTTCGAAATGACACACCGCTGAGCTACCAGGCGCCATTTCCCGCCTCTGCCCTGTCTCTCAGAGCCAGATACCCGTATGGGACACACCCCCTGAGTTACCTCTGGAAAACAGCAGACAATCCGCAGCAACCTCCGCAGCTGGATCTCCAAAGCCTCACATTGCGTTTAGAAAGTGTACAGTACAATTATGCAGTTTGTTTCCCCACTGGCTCGGTAAAAATGTTTTTTTTTTTTATTTGACCACAATGACCGCATATTTGTCTTTCTGAACACACAAAAGAAACATTAGGTTTATTTCCTTTATCCTGTGCATGGGCGGTTCTGGACAGGGGCCAACAGGGGTCTTTACGGAAGAGGATTAGAGCCACTGAAAAAAAAAAAAGTTCACTGATTTTTGAATTTTATTTCAGTATATTAGGAAAACAAAATCAGAAGTCTGACTGTCGTCTCAGAATTTTGGATGTTAATGTAGATGTAAAGAAGAGGATTCAGGCCACTGAAAAAAATAAAATAAAAAAGTTCACTGATTTTTGAATTTTATTTCAGCATAATATGGGAGGGGAAAAAAAGTCAGAATTCTGTCTGTAATCTCAGAATTCTGACTTCTTTCTCCGAATTCTTACTTTAATCTCTGAATTCTGAATTTTTACTCTGAATTCTGACTTTAATCTCAGAATTCTGACTTTTTTCTTAGAATTCTGAATTTAATCTCAGAATTCTGACAGCTAATAAATATGTTAGCCATTTCTGTTTGAAAGACTTAACTAGCTCTCTTGTTTTAATCACCTTTTGCTCTTCCATTAATGAAATAGCATCACCAGGGACCCCTTGGGCACATAAGTCACCTAATTCCGTCATTTTGCACCAGCGTGTTACTGGACCCCCCAAACAACCCACATGTTTGTCAGTGAAGCTGAGTGCTCCCACATCTCTTCCTTCATGGTGCCCATCTACATTAAGATCCAAAAATCTGAGATTAAAGTCAGAAATCTGAGATTAAATTCAGAATTGTGAGAAACAATTCAGAATTGTGAGAAGAAGTCAGAATTCTAAGATTAAAGTCAGAATTCTGAGAAAAAAAGTCAAATTCTGAGGAAAAAGTCAGAATTCCGAGATTAAACGTCAGAATTCCCACTTTTTTCTCACATTATACTGAAATAGAATTTAAAAATCTTTTAATTTTTAAAAAAAATTTCAGTGGCCCTAATCCTCTTCTGTAGGTCTTGGCAGAGGCGTAGCCAGAAAATGTATTTAAGGCTGGCAAGGCAACAAGCAATATACACTGAGGGGTGGCCGAAAGATGATAGGCGCCAGAACCTAAGGGTTGATCTACACTGTTCCAACAGGAAAATTAACAAGCACAACATCCATATTTTCTAAATAAAGACGAACTATACTTTCCTGCAGCCTTTCCCAACAAATAGACGCATATATATATATAAAAATCCGTGCTTTCTAGATTAAAGGTATAGTGGAAACAATTCTTTCAGGTTTGAGTTTTGGGCGAACATCTTTTCCTTTGTCATTACTTACCTATTTTTATAAGTAATCATTCTGCATAAAATTGATATTTACATGTACTAATATCTACATAAATTGATTATTTAATATGTTTTTACTAAACTAGTTATTTATGTATGATTTTACTGAAGACTCTTAGATGACTTGCAGAGACACATAATTTTCTCTTTACCCCATATAACACAAAATCTAGTTCTAGATTTTAGCTCCGCCCCTGGGTAAATTTAGCCTTTAGCTTCTGAAGATATAACAAAAACGTCTGCTCCTTATGATGTCATCAGAGATGGGTAGCAGCTAGTTACATTTACTTGTGTAATAAAAAAAAGAGAGAGAAGTAATATAAGGATTTATTTTACAGCATTGTGGTTTTACTTTTATTTGAGCAAAAATATAATTTAGCATCGCTATGCTTGAGTAAAATTTCTGGCTACCTGTCCATTGTGAGTAACTTCACCTGATAAGAAACAAGCTGCTTTTTAACAAATATGCACCATTGAGAGACACTTTCTTCTTTCTTGTACTCAAGGCTTATCGGTTAAATATTATTCTCCATCTGCTGAGTCTGCCGTTATTTGAATGTTGAGTGAAAATACTGCATGCAGTAATCTAACCTATTCTGCATACAGTAATTATTGATTTTTTAAGTTTTATAACTCAGTGTGTATTTTATATCATGTTCATTTGACATTTTTTATTGTTTTATTAAATTCTATGTTTATTATTTTTCCTTATTCTTTGAATCATCAGAATTTGCATATCACTTAATATTTTGTTCAATAGTTGCCTGTCTACCCATTTTTTTGCACTTAGCTGAGTAAATTTTTTAAAAGGCTATATTTTACTTTTATTTGAGTAAAACTATGATGAAATAGTGCCCTTCTTACTTAAGTACAATTTCTGGGTACTCTATACCCACCTCTGGATGGTACCCTCTGGAGCAGAACCGATTTTTCTCTTAGAACAGATACATTTGTGACGTATTTTGGGGAAAAGTATTTTAGATTAATCAACTGTTAGATTTGGGTCTGCTAGGTCAGCTGTCACCTCTGCATATTGTCTGTTTTCATGTGGATCCTACATTAGCTTGTCGTCTCTGTGTCCTTTGAATGAGCTCCACTCAGAGCTTTAGAACCTGAAAGCTGTTTTTATTTTTATGTGGGAGATAAAACCAAGGCTCTCAAGACTGGCACATCCAGTGCTCATCTTATTCCTCAGGGACTGTCCAAACTGTTCCGAGTGATGCCTCCAGCTGCGGATATAGCTATACAAACTAGAAGACCAGGACCAGGGTTTTAGGTTTCTTTCTTCTCATTCTTACAACAATTAATTATGAAAGTGTCACTATGACTATTTTCACTGATCTCCTTTGCTCACTGTACCTACAGTAGTTTTTTTTTTTTTTTAGTTACCATTTTTGCTTTAACAATGATTAAAAAGTGAAAGTGCTCTGCTTTTAGCTTTAGCCGTATCAAAACAGGATGAGTTTTCACATATCCATTACTTAAAACATGTCCACAGCTGTTTATTGATTTTTTTTATTCTCCAGATACAGAGTATTTATATTGTTAAAACACTATACAGTACAGTGCTTTTTTTCTTATGTTATTTCTATACACTTTTAAAAGGTCCACGTTATGTGACCACTTCTGCTAGAACATTTTGCTGCTGGAACACCAACATTTCCCCATGGTGGAACAATAAAGGGATTTTCTACTCTATTCTATTTTCATCTGCAGGATTCAGGGGTCTAAAACTCTGCAGCTCCAGAACCGCAAGTTGGTCTAGAACTGCCACTGTTCCTATGACCTTTAACCTTTAACAACATCTTACATCTTACAGTAAAGATTTTAAAATGTGCACAAAATTGAGATGACTTAGTCAATAACCATAGCTGATCCTATCAAGTAATTCAGGAAGTTTAAAAATAAAATTGTCAACCAATATTTGTGAATTGTTATTTTCCTTTTTTTTTTTGTCTCTGACATTTCACTCAATTGCTTTTGGATCTAAATCACTTAAATGTAATGCCTCATACACAAAAAAATGCCCGGACTGGAATAGGTATTTCAATATCACTTAGTTCAATTGAATTTTCCCAGAAGGAGATGGGAGGTATACAACAAAAATCTCAAACTACAACAAACTGAAAAATATAAATAGTGATAAAAATTAATAGTAAGAAAAGCAATGGTCTAACAAAATGTAATTAAGTCCTGTATAAAATCTGAGCATATTTAAAACCTGAGAGGAGACAATTACATACATTAGTTTTAAAAAGCATGGGATGTGCAATATAGGGCATTCCTTTGCATTAGCTGGAGCTGTGACTCTTGCTGATATTATCCCCTTTTCCATCAATAATTCATTGGTTTTATTACACACCAATGATCTGTTAACTCTGTTGTACACTTAAATGCAAATTAAGGAAATTGGTAGATATCACCAGGAGTAAAGTCTTATCATGCATTAAATGTATTAAGAATTGCATGAGTATGTTTGTTTGTTTTTTAAGCAGGACAGTGTGAACAACTTGAAATCACTCGTTTTCTCAGTATGAAAATCAATGCAAAATGTGAATTTTCTTTAGCAATGTCTACACCTTTGGAAACACCATTGTGTTTCCATGGTCATATATCTGTTTTCTGCAATATTTTCAGAATTCAACCTTTTGCTTGAATGCCTGTTTCTTTGTGTTTTAGCTCTATATTTGGATCTTCAACCCTGAATCTTAAGTGATTTATCTTGCATTTTTTAGATTTATTCTTCAACTTGAGTACCATTAATTTGTGTGACCACTTTTGCTACAATCATTTGGCACTGTAACCCAGCTATATCCCCATTGTGGGACTAAAAGGGGATTTTCTATTCTATTCTATTAATCAGTGAATGCAGAAGACAGTCATAACTTAATCTAAAGTTGCCATGGTAATTAATATTAAATATAACTGTAATATATATATATATAAAAAATAAAAAAAAACTCTTGAAAATGACGGTTTCCCATTTCAACTTAAAGCCCAAGTAAAAAATTAATAAAATTAGATTAGCAGTTGATTAGAATTGGTCCCTTAAATTCCCAGCTATATATATAGTATTTGTATACACTGTTGCTTTTTAAGTAAAGCAATCCATCAAATATGGACAAATTACAAATTGTCCATATTTGGGACTAGAACCCACCATGAAGCTCCCAAAGTATAGCATTCAGTGAAAATCGATTAAAAAACAAAAACATTGTGTTTGTTAACTGAGTAGATAATTTTGTTCTTATAAAAAGTGCATTTTAAAGGTATTCTTGAATAAAAAAAAAAACATCCCAAGGACAAACCATCACTATAACTAAATTGTGAATGCAACAAGTGACAAAAAACATGAAGCATCACCTTTAATAAAATTAAATTACATTCGATGCGCCTTTCAGTGAGAAATCCTTTTTTCCCCCAGGTTGTTAAGACAACACATTTCTGGTTTTACAGATTTTCCCAAAGGTGAGGAATTACACTATATTGCCAAAAGTATTTGCTCACCTGCCTTGACTCACATATGAGCTTAAGTGACATCCCGTTCCTAATCCATAGGGTTCAATATGACGTCGGTCCACCCTTTGCAGCTAGAACAGCTTCAACTCTTCTGGGAAGGCTGTCCACAAGGTTTAGGAGTGTGTTTATGGGAATTTTTGACCATTCTTCCAGAAGCGCATTTGTGAGGTCGCACACTGATGTTGGACGAGAAGGCCTGGCTCTCAGTCTCCGCTCTAATTCATCCCAAAGGTGTTCTATCGGGTTGAGGTCAGGACTCTGTGCAGGCCAGTCAAGTTCATCCACACCAGACTCTGTCATCCATGTCTTTATGGACCTTGCTTTGTGCACTGGTGCACAGTCATGTTGGAAGAGGAAGGGGCCAGCTCCAAACTGTTCCCACAAAGTTGGGAGCATGGAATTGTCCAAAATGTCTTGGTATGCTGAAGCATTCAGAGTTCCTTTCACTGGAACTAAGGGGCCAAGCCCAGCTCCTGAAAAACAACCTCACACCATAATCCCCCCTCCACCAAACTTTACACTTGGCACAATGCAGTCAGACAAGTACCGTTCTCCTGGCAACCGCCAAACCCAGACCCGTCCATCAGATTGCCAGATGGAGAAGCGCGATTCGTCACTCCAGAGAACGCGTCTCCACTGCTCTAGAGTCCAGTGGCGGCGTGCTTTACACCACCGCATCCGACGCTTTGCATTGCACTTGGTGATGTATGGCTTGGATGCAGCTGCTCGACCATGGAAACCCATTCCATGAAGCTCTCTGCGCACTGTTCTTGAGCTAATCTGAAGGCCACATGAAGTTTGGAGGTCTGTAGTGATTGACTCTGCAGAAAGTTGGCGACCTCTTCGCACTATGCGCGTCAGCATCCGCTGACCCCGCTCCGTCAGTTTACGTGGCCTACCACTTCGTGGCTGAGTTGCTGTCGTTCCCAAACACTTCCATTTTCTTATAATACAGCTGACAGTTGACTGTGGAATATTTAGGAGCGAGGAAATTTCACGACTGGATTTGTTGCACAGGTGGCATCCTATCACAGTTCCACGCTGGAATTCACTGAGCTCCTGAGAGCGACCCATTCTTTCACAAATGTTTGTAAAAACAGTCTGCATGCCTAGGTGCTTGAATTTATACACCTGTGGCCATGGAAGTGATTGGAACACCTGATTCCAATAATTTGGATGGGTGAGCAAATACTTTTGGCAATATAGTGTATGTTTCCTCAGTACAAATATCAACAGTTCAACTACAGCAAATAATAAGCAGACCTCATTGGCGGAAGCATGTCTGTCTGTTCCTAACATCACCATAAGGTATTGCTTTAGCAGTAGGTTTTGCTGTGTTTTGATGTCTGGAAAGTTTCTAATACATGCAGTGGTATTTTATACAGAATGAGGAATGCTTCCAGGTCTCTGTCACAAAAAGGTTTTATAGGCCATAAACAAAGTCCTTGGCAACTTAATCTCCCACTCCAGTACAAAAAGGTCTGTAATGTAGGCATCTTGTCTTAGCGAGCCCCGATTAGTTCATTTGATAAATATCTCAGGAAGCAAATTTCTATATATATTAGGAAAATCAAAGAGGAAGAAGCTAAAAAAAAAATAAAAAATCACTTGATTCAAAAGTTCAGAAGAGAATCTCTGAGACCAGTCCATGAAGGTGAAAAGGTACATCATCGTACCTTCATCAAATAAAAAACACAAAAAAAAAACATCAGCTATAGCAGCTTAGGAGAATGATCTGTTTATATTTCTACTAAGATTATTATTTAGAAATTGTTTGAATGTCTGTCAAAATGGTCCGTGACAGCGAGGAGGCCTCCTGTAGGTGCTTGGACAAAGTGATGCTCCAGCTTATTCACCAGGAGAGACCTTGATTGTAGAAGACGGTTTTTAAGGAGGTTTGTTAATAAGTTAGAGCCAAGTGAGTTTCCATTCAAAGAATGTCATTGTTTTGATGTCTTTTCCCATAATCCACCGCTCTGTCTCGCTCCTGAATGTCGCGATCGTCGTCATCTGGAAAAGAACAAAAAGTCCAACATTAGAGGTTATGTAGCAGATTAATTATGACTTATGGCAGATATTTCTATTGTTGGACAGACCTTTAAATGTAAAAGACAGAAGGAAAGAGATAAACAAAAGGATGCAAGGAGAAAAACAGGATACAATGAAGGGAGGAACACAAAGACAATGAGATGGAAATAAAGTCCTAAAATATTTGTATTTTTTTTTTTTTACCCAAAAATATTTTCTTATGCAGACCTGAAAAAACTAGAATCTGATTCCAGACTTTTTTCAGAGTTAAAAACCGACTGTAAAAGTCTCCAACGTTCAGGAAACGGATTATATTTTTGCATTAAGCTCCTAAAACCAAAAGAGGAAGTACCTCTTTTTTAATCAAATGTATAATTTAACCACACACAAAAACCCTTTCATTTATTCAGCGGAACAACAACACATATGACCACCCTCACCAAAAGAAAAGCACATGTTGACATAGCATCTTAATGTATTTTCATCTTTTTTTTTTTTTTCATTTTGACTAGATTATACTCTTGGACATTTTGGCAGCCTCATAAATCAGTGGTAAGAGCAAGGGCGTAGGAATATGTTTATAATTGGGGGGGACACATGTCGGAAATCTGAGATTCGTAAATATTCAACAGAAACATATCTTAAGTACGCTACTTAAAAAAAAGGCTATTTAATCTTTTACTTTATTCCTTTATAAATGTGTTTGCAAAAATAATGCATTTAAAATTTACATAATGCATTTGTTCATAAGATGTGAGCATATCACCAAACAAAATGACTGGAGTCTTTTATTAAGCAAAGGGAGATGTCTTTCAAGGGCTTCAGCCCTTGGCATATTTAGTGTCCGCATACGCATTAGAAAATCAAATATTTCAGTTTGATTAAAAACAATTCAGTAGGCCACAGAAGTGCAAAGTTTGATATGTTTTATTTTTTCAAACTTGCAATAATGGTCAAAAATGAATTTATATAGGTTGACTGACAGAGGGAGCTGACGGTGTGTTGAAGAATTACGGACAGGGCGCTTTGAAGCATCTGGTTAAAAAACGTATTCTAAACCTTTGGTAGAAATCCATCTATCCTTCCATTTTCTGTACACCCTGTCCCTTAGTGGGGTCGGGAGGTGCTGGTGCGGGGTACACTCTAGACAGGTCGCCAGTCTGTCCAGACCTTTGGTAGAAATGGCGCCTTTAATTCCAGTTTGCAGTAGAGAACAGAGAAAACTACAGAGTTGTCAATGTTGTGTTAATCTGTTTATAGTCTAAAAAGAGGAGCCAGCAGTTTATTTGAGGAAATAAAGGTGCAGAAGTTAATTAGTTGGTTAATTAGTGGTTGCACAACCAATGCGACCGCCGCTGCTAAGAATAAAAATTAATTCTCCCTGTGGTTTTAACTAACGATCAGGAGCACGGCAGGTATAACATCTGTCCATTTCGAGGAATCAAAACCACGGAAAAAATAATAAATCCTCGTAAAACTCACGCCCAGACCGGGCTAATTTCAACACAAGTTGTGTTAGGTGACTGTTACTCACACTGACGTTTCTCTTTTTAAAAAAATCTGAGTAAGTCCTACTGCTGTTTCAGCCTTTTAGTTGGTGGTGGCATTGTACTTAAATGAGATATATATAAAAAAAAAAAAAAAAAAAACATTTTGGCTAGCGTGGCAAACGTCTAGAGAAAGTAAGCAGTTAAATATTGGATGAGTGATCAGCCCAAGACTACAGAAGAGGATAGGGCCATTGAAAAAAAAAAAAGTTAAGTGATTTTTAAATTTTATTTCAGTTTAATATGGGAAAAAAGTCAGAATTCTTTTTTTCTCAGAATTCTGACTTTTTTTTCTCAGAATTAAGACTTTTTTTCTCAGAATTCTGACTTTAATCCCAGAATTCGGACTTTTTTTCTCAGAATTTTGGATCTTAATGTAGATGGGCACCATGAAGGCAGAGATGTGGGAGCACTCAGCTTCACTGACAAAGATGTGAGTTTGTTTGAGAGAGCCAGTGACACATTGGTGGCAACTTTTTACGTGCCCGAGGGGTCCCCTCATTAATGGAGGAGCAGAAGGTCATTAAAACAAGAGAGCTAGTCTCTAAAACAGACATGGCTATGGCTTGATGTTAACATTTTGTTATATTACATTTGTGTTGTGTTTTCCAAATAGTATAGAAAATTAATGGTGGGTTTATAATGTTTACCTTTTATGAGCAGGACAGTAAGCAGAGAAGTGTAGCATTACCTCCAACTAGTTAAACTCATAATTATGAAGTGATTCAACAAATTCCTCAAGTAAAAAAGTGCAACTTTTATTTTTTTTTACCAGATTTGTTGATTAATTTCAAAATTATGTATTCCTTCCAAATTTCCAAATCTGAAGAATTTTTTAAACCAATATCTACATTATTTAACATTTAGTTTGTTTTATCAGTACATCCTGTTATATTTCTTTAAAAGTATATTTTACATTTTCTTGCACAGCAAGCTCAGCAGATTTGAAATTGTGTGCTTGTGTAAACACAAGTAGTCAATCTTTACTCTAAACATATATTCTGGTTATTTTTTAGTTAGACCTTCTTGTTTTTATATATCTGTATAGTACCCCCCCCCAAAAAAACACTGTAAATTGATTAGAAATATTAATCATCTGTCAGATTTATGAGAAAAAATGTCAGAAGAAAAAAGTCAGAATTCTGACTTTTTTACCCATGTTAAACAAAAAAAAAAAGTAAAAATCAGTTAACCTTTTTTTTTTCAGTGGCCCTAATCCTCTTCCGTACAAGACCAAGATGACTAAACCAAAAAGATTCAGTTTCTATATATGAAAGTGAACTGACAAGACGTTATAAATTGGCAATATTCATAGCAGCATTCCCGACAGACCATTTCACCTCATTCACAAGTTTCTGAATTCTGTGTCGCCGTTTCCCTCCCTTCAAACACACAGCAGTTCAGAGAGGGGAGGGGGAGTACAGTGACGTAACGCTATGCTGCGCCTTCAAAATAAAAGCACGCTAGTTAAAAAAAATGTCAAAATAATATGTTGCGGTACAATTTTTTGGGGGGGACATATCCACCTGGCTTTTATATTGGGGGGGACATGTCCCCCCCGTCCCCCCCGCTTCCTACGCCGCTGGGTAAGAGCAACAAACACAGAGACATACATTTCAAGGAGAACACAGACACATTCAGGAGCACAGTCAGCTAAATATATCTACTGGTTTGGATGTAGGTCAGATGTTTGGTGGACACAGACAGGTGGTTTAGCTAAAACGAAGCACAGGCACAAAGGAAAATACGAGATGGAAACTCTCACAGAACCGCAAGTTCCATGGTCAAATCTTCAATATAAATGAAAAAAAAATAAAAATGTTTTTTTTTTTTTTTTTTGAGAAGTTGAATTTTTGCTTTGTGCAGATGACCAGACTCAGGGCACTGTGAGCTACTCTGAAAAAATACGGTGGGGCTGCAGCAGAATGTGGGGTGGAGGGAGGACACAAGGGAGGAAGGATGGATGCACACTGGACACTCAGTCCAAGACCCACACCTGGCTCACCTTGGACGTCTTCCTCCCCACCATCACCATCCTCTTCCTCATTGTAGGCCAGCTCGGCCTGCTTATCAGCCTCATACTCACCGACGTTCCCGTCGTCCCCATTGTAGTCCGCCAGCTTAGAGCCGTGCTGCGGATCTACTGGGGACTCGTTCTCATCAAAGAACCGGCCTGCAGGAGGCAGAGAAGGGCCTCATCAGGAAAGAAGGGAAGCAGAGGCAGTCGTGGGAAAAGGAAAAAGGTATGGGAGGGGGAAAAAAAAAGGAAAACCACTTGGAGTTTGCATGAGGGATGAGTGATGGCATACAGAGGATGAGGTTAATACGTGAAGAAAGGCTTTTTAGTTCAGGATTTTCTAAGGAGGAAAACTATTTATAGACTCAAGGAGAGGAAAAAAGTGATAAAAAAAATTAAATTATCTTGAAACTGAAAGGTAAAATGTGAAGAACTGAGAAAAACATTTGTGCAGTCCTCATAATCATACCCAGCAATATAGGTAGTTACTCTAACACATTATGTGTTGTGCCAGCATATCGATTCATTTAGGAAATTGAACAGCAACCAATAATGTAATACCTGTCAATAACATAAGGATGGCAGTGCTTTTTCAATAAAAAAAGCCAATAGATTTTTTCGGCTAGCCCTGTAATAATATTCTGCCAAAACTGTAATATGATGTCGTATAATTAGCAGGTGTTTAAATTGTCCCAGTCAAAGTATAGACCTCATCTGTCTGAGGCTGTCCATTCAAATCTAGCTGAAGTTAGTTATCATTTTTTTGCCAAAAAAATAAACAAAAAGTCTAAAAATCTTAGCCTCTACATGGGAATTTGTTGGAAGTAAAAAAAAAAAAAAAAAAAAACAAACAAACAAAAAAAAAAACATAGAAAACCTGCAGCTGAAATTGCAATTGGGAAAAAATAAAAGTTATCCAAAGTATTGTTGAATCATATCCTGATGTAGAAATGTAATTGCAAACCCATATACCATTTCACTTCTACTTCCCAATTATAGCCTCCTTTATTTTGGTTTATATATATTTATAAAATCCCTAAAAGAAATATATTTAAATTTATATTCCCAACTGGAAAAAAAATGATAAGGATTTCAGGCCTTGAGAGTTTTTTTGCAGCCAGTTCTGAAACATCTCTTAAACAGCCCAAGATTTAGTATCTAAACTTAAGAAAATACGTAACAAGGTCTAAATCATTAGGACTGTCCGACACATCAGAATGCTACCTTAGATATGACCCAGACCTCTTTGGATTTCCTTTAACTAACTAAAAAACGATGGCTCTCTGGCAGAGACACAAAGGAGATAAAGGAGCAGACAATTTACAAGGAGGAGGAGAGATCAAAGGTAGCAGAGCGAAGCAGACGGCAGGCACCAAGCAGAAAATCTGGCAGTAGTGTGTTCCTCCTCTCCTCTAATTTTTGCCATTCTCAACTCCTGATTGTACTAAAACTCAAGTGCATACAATGACACTTTTATATCAGAGCAAGTGACAAAAAAAAAAAAGACAAAAAAAAAAAATCACACGTGACACCATTGAAGATTGGATCGTTCTCTGGGCATTAAAGAAATGCAGAGTCAAAACAAAGGTGTGAAAGGAAAGGCTGGCTTTTTTAACAAGATGTACCCTTTAGTTCAACACACCTTGACCATGGACATTTCGAATCAAGGAAATATGAAACCTACTTTGACGGTGGTGCAGCTGCTCTGCAGGGACTTGGTCTTTGGCACGTTGCAGCTGGACGGGCTTTGCTACCTGGGCGTTGTCGTGAGGAAGAGGAATCCTCTTAAAACGTTTGTCATCAACTTGATCGGGAAAAAAAAATAACAAAAACTTCATAAGTTATCATCAAAATTACCTTTCAAGCTTTTATTTTCTGTGTTTCACAAAGACACTTTTTCAAAGATTGCACCTTGATTTTGTCTTTGCTGTTCTCCTAGCTCGTCCGCCTTGACCCCTGCTTTATTATCTTCTTCAAATACTTCTGGCTTGTCTCCCTGTTTGATAACAAGTGGGGGTGCGAGTCCCGCTGCTCGACCCTCCAGCTGGTCCTGTTGGAGCCTGGGCTGGTCCAGCAACAGGCCTTGGCCTCCGCGACCGTCGGCTGCTTCCGGTTCAGGATTAACCCCAGCTGCTGCTCCAACTTCAGGTGCATCATTGTGCTTCTGAGTGATGGCAGGCTTCTTCAGGCCTTTGGATAAATGCTAAAGTCAGTGCTTTCTTTGAATTATCCATTTATCAAAACTGAACATGATATTACAGTTCATGCAATGAGAAAAGTAAAGCTTAACTAAAACAATAGTGTTAACAACTGTTTACCCACATTGTGTATTTGCTAAACTTCTAATGAGTAGGTCCAAAATCATGGTATTGTCATAATATAACATAACAGGATGTTTGGTTTATCTAACAATAAATAAATCTTAATATACAGATTCAATGCTTACCAAATTGCATTTCGTCAATTTTTCCCACCTCGCTGTCTTCAATTCCAGGCATGCCAGCATCACTGCCAGGTTTGCCCATTTCTTCTGCCAGAAGGCACAAGAGACGGGACGCAGCAAGGATACAAACGGGGATTTAAATAATTTTAAGAGATCAAAAGATTAGTATGGAAATGATCTGGACGCTCAGTCTACCTTTAATATCCAACTGCCTGTCATGTCGATGAGGGGCCACTGTGTGGCGCTCTCCAGCCATATTCACATCAGCTGCTTCACCTACGTTCTTTCCTGCTCCTACATTGTTCTGGTCACCAATCACAAACAGAGAGGAAAAAAAATTAGCTTAAAGGAAATACAAAAGGTCACCAAGTAGAAAGTTAAAGCTGAAATGGATCCAAGAGGAAACTGAACATTCAAATGAATCTAAATATAGCATTAGCAGTAAAATGAAAAATAGAGTTATAAATGAATAGAATTATATGATAAACTATCAAAAATGTGTAGCGTGAAAGGTTGCATTGGAAAATCCTGGCTTTTTTTTTTTATGCCAAACACAGACTTCAATTTTCTGATTTCTCAAAACTTGATTAACAAGACGAATTAAAACGAACCAGTCCCAGCCTTGCCACCTCTTTCTCCAGAGCCTTATTTGTTTCCTCATACTCTCTTTTGAGTTGTGCAATCTGACGGCCACACTGTAAACTGTAAAACACAAAAAAATTTCAATGCGTCATTCTCACCATCTAGGATTATTTTAGCGTGTTATGAGGTAATAAAGTTGTTCGGTGGGATTTCAGCACAAAGGAGACAGTAACACAGAAAGGCTTTTGCTCAAAAAGTGGAAATATGTTTCTATTCTTTTTTTTTTGTTTATATAAGTTTGCTTTAAAAATGCAGATAATAAGAACAGAGTTAAATACCTCTCATATTCCAATTTTCTCTCCAAATTAGTGCTATTTTTCCTCACTTCTCTCAGCTGCTCTTCTTGCTTCATGAACTCTTGCTTCAGCTCCATCAGTTGCTCTGTTTGCAGCAACACCACCATGCAAACACAAAGCAAGTTGGCAAAAAAGTGTAAAAATGTAAAATAACTAAGGCATATAGATGTAATAAACACACCAGAGATCATTTTTGGGGCGCCCTCTGGCTTGTACTTACCTCTAAGTCTCTGCACCTCACTGTTTTGGGCTGTGACGTCATTTTGTAACTTCATCTGTGGCAAAAGGTAAATCCAGAAGTTATGTGAACTGAGGAGGAGTTTAAAGAAGTGTTCGACATTATGTTAAAGTAAAAGTTCAAATACCAGGAGGGTTTACTGCTCATCTGGTAATACTACTCACTCAAGGAAAATCAAGAGGAACAGGCTAGACCTGATCGCTCGAAACAGTTCAAGCCACTCATGGTTCTTTGAGGTGCATCAGCTTCTGATAAAAGTTTCTCTGTAACTTTGTCTTTTGCCCTCTTTTGAAAAACTCAATGCAATTTTCAAACATACTGCCATGCATTGCGAGGCATGTGATAAAGGATTTGATTAAAACAATAAAACAAACTGAAAGATAACTTTCCTCTGTTAACTTGGTAAATATGGGAGTTAGTTATTATAATAAAGGTTTCATACTGTATGCACCTCTGGGAAAACATAGGTGGGATGTTTGCACAGGGAGAGAAGTGGAACAAACCAGCTTCCATCCTCATTACAGAAGCACTATTGTTTTACCGGGAGCTCAGCCTCCTCCGTTTATCTGCGTTTTTTTACTACTTATAATATGACTTGATCCATATTTTCTTAAACATAAATTCCTTACAGTATTATATGAGCTTCCTGAATTAATTCCCATAATAAGTTTCAGGAGATAATGTGTAGTTTGCTTTGAAGAGACAGCTCATAGAATAGAAGGATTGCCAAAAGAAGAAGTAGATTTTCTGTTTTTAAGGCTGCAACTAACTATTATTATGCTAATCGATTAATCTGTCGATGATTTTGTTAATTAATAATCAGATAGCAAAAGGTTCCTTAAAGAAGATTTTTTTTTTTTTTATAGAATTAGAACAGGTGAAACTACAACTTTTCCACTTGTGGTGTTCTGGATAGAGCATATTGAGAGAAAAGAAAAAGTTTTTTTTTTTATCTTAAATGTACAATTTTTGTATAATTACTGCTCCAAGTGGGTTACTCTGTTAATGATGAATCGCTAACTTATTTTAATAATCGGTTAATCACGAGTTTGCATAGCAGATTCTTCAAGGAAGCTGGGAGGATTTTGTATTTGCTGTAGTTAGAGATAACGTATCAGCAAATATTGACTCTCGTCTGAAAGGTTTCCCCACCTAAGCTAACTTTTTCTGATGTCTTCAGTGGTTCGTATTCACCGACTAACGAATACTACAAAATCTTTTGGTAAAGCAGTTCCTTAACGTGTGCAACTGGTGGAAAACTGTTACCCTGAGCAGGTTATGATCAGATAAGCCTGTCTGATTCGATCATCAAAACAACATACCATTCATGACCAGACCAACTATATGACTTTCTGATAAAAAAAAAAAAAAAAAAAAAAAAAAACAGTCAAGCTGGTTTACAGTTGAAAGATAACTTTTATTCATCTATAATATGAAAGTTTCAGACCTTTGAAATGTGGAAGATGTGTGGCAGAACAACTATAGCAGGGGTGGCAAACTGGTTCCAGAAAGAGCCGTGTGGCTGCAGGTTTTCTTTCCAACCAAGCAATGGCACACCAGACTCCATTCATCTCATCAAGTGAGTCCAATCTGAACATGATGACTTGATGAGATGAATGGAGTCTGGTGTGCCATTGCTTGGTTGGAAAGAAAACCTGCAGCCACACGGCTCTTTCTGGAACCAGTTTGCCACCCCTGAACTATAGATTATTTATACTCCCTTAAACTCATACAAAGACACTCCCTGAGATACTTGAACAACTGTACTGCTTGAGGAGCCAGGAGCGTTTATGCAGAGTGGTGATTATCTAGAAAAACATTGGGTGGAGTAGATCTCAGGAAAGAACGGTTAGGGCTGAGCAACAGCGAGAATAAATGAATGGGATCTTAATAAAGGGAAAGTCTGCACGGACTTTTCAAGTGACATGAGGTTATTACATGTCTACAAATTGGTGTCATGGATTTTACAGAAAGGGGGGACCTGGGAGGCACCAGGAGATAGAAACCAGGACAGATTTAACATGCCTTTCAGCTTTGAAACTTATCCTTTAATACAGAGGTCTTCAACAGGGGGTCCACGACCCCTTGGGGATCCACGGAGGTAATGCAAGGGGGTCATGAAAGTTTTGGTTGATTAGACTTTTCTTTTCATATTCACCCTGAATTTTTTTCACTAATTGAAATGTCTTGAATTCAACAGACTATAGTAAACAGATAAGTGGAGGCAGAAGATGTCTTTCAGTCATCAATGCACACATTCAGCATAGTATTTCAAGCTGGGCACCGTTTCATTCACAACACCTGTCCCATCAACCAGGAATCAGAAATACTTTAATAATCCCAGAGAGGAATTACTTTCGTTACATGACTCCATCTGTAATAGAGTCACTATTGGACCAGTTTGATAGAACACAATTTCATACTATATATATATAAAATTATGGGGTCCCCGCTCCATTTCACCATCAGTTTGGGGTCCTTGGCCTGGAAAACATTGAAGACCCCTGATTTAATATAATCATCCTTAAAGAGTATCTCTGTGATCAGGGAGGTCAAAGTGAGAGCTATAGTTATATTTTCCTTGTAATATTATATTTTCAAACAAAAACTATTTTGTTTGACGATATAAACATTAGCAGCGTTTTGTTGTGAGTGCTGCCCAACACATTTCCATAAAGCCCACATATTTTCCTCTGCTTGTTGTTCTGTGGTTTTTTTCTGGAATAGATTTGCCACAGGTTGCATCTCTGCTAAAGGGAGTTTATCCATGAATGTTTCTGCTTTACCTTCTCATCAGAGCACTTTTTGAAGGCTCCCTCTCTGGCCTGCAGCTTGTTCTCCAGCACGCTGTAGTCTCCATCCTTCTGATCGATCTGTTTCTTGTGCGTGTCCACCTGCACCATCAGCTCCGAGTTGCGCTTCTCCAGGCGGCTTCGCGCCGCGTCCGAGCGCTTCACCTGCGTCTGGATCTCCAGTAGATCATCCAGCAGGCGGCCGTGCTTGTTGGACACAGTCCAGTAGTTAAACGCCAGCACGCCGATGACGATCATCAAAAAGATGAGGATAAAGGACGGCATGCGGCCTCCTCGTCGGTTTGCACCAAACCCAATCATTTCCAACACAAACGCTCTTCAAAATAAAAAAGCCTAACGTGACAACAGATCGCTACCGCAGCTCTGATTGCGTTACCCCGATGTAAAACACAAGCGTGTACGTGACATGCCGCCGGGGAAAAACAAACGCCACACTCACACACACGGTCAGAAATGAAGGCTTTTCATATATTTACTCTCCATCCCCTTCCGCACACTCGGCATCTTCTGGTTGAACTACGCCCGCGGGGGACGTGGCCTGTTAGACAGCAGATGGGACTCGACGTGGACAGCAAAGAGGCGCCGTGGCAGTGGGCTGCCAGCATACCGCGCGCGCCACACTTCCTCCTGCTAACTGTCTGCTTCAGTTCGAGCCGCCTTCATCGTTTTGCTGCAAGTGATTAACGTCTGGACCCTCTCTGATCCCCCCACCAAAGGTTTCTGACCTGACGTTGATGTTAGCTCCTAACGTCCAGCTAACGTCCAGACACACTAGCTAGTGTTTCACTCACATCACTTAAACGTTAGCCGGTGTCAGACAAACAACAAACTAAAAATATTCTTCTTTTTTAAGGCTAAAGCGACTCCATTGCATGACAGCTAAATATAACGCGATAATCGATACACTAAGAGTGCCAGCTTTAGGTCTATGTTCCTTGACTATATAGCAGTCGTCCTCTGCACGAACAAAGTTAGCCAAAGATACTAAGCATTTCCGCTTTACTTTTCAAAATTAAAGTCCTGATTTTCTTTTATTTTTTTTGTTCTTTTGACAAAAAAAACATAAAAAAATAAGCATGTACATAGGTTTATTTTTTTATTTAAAATATTAGTTTTGCCTAGTATATACAAATTCAGGTACGTTGGTGATATTTTGAGAAAGAATTAACCCAAATCCGGCAGAAAACTTTAATCCCAAAACCGGAAGTACATGGTAAAATATGTCTGTCTTGATAAATAATATATACACGCTTAAACGCACAAAAGCGTGATTCCAAAAGTTAGTGGAGAAGGCTGCGTGATGAAAGTGAAAAATTTCCCTAGCATAATTTAAGCCCCTTAAAGGAGCATTTACTAAACAAAATAACTTCCTCAAATCTCTTTAAGGGCACTTAATACCTCCTAATTCCATTTCTATCCTGCTGTTAGAAAATGTCACAAAGCACCTATTTTCTATGATCTGGTTAATTATGTTTTGCATATCAAATGGAGCACCTTCAGGGAGGAATTAGAATAAGATGAGTATATACACAACGCTCTACTTTTTGTTAGGATGAAGACACATTACAATACTTATTTGACATGCAAGTATATATATATATATATATATATATATATATATACTTGCATGTCAAATAATATATATATATATATATATATATATATATATATATATATATATATATATATATATATATATATATATATATATATATATATATATATATATATATATATATATATATATATATATATATTATTTGACATGCAAGTATATATATATATATATATATATATATATATATATATATATATATATATATATATATATATATATATATATATATATATATATATATATATTTAGCTCCTAACGAACCCCATATTTACACTCTCTTTACACATTCGGGGAGTGACTGCCTAGTGTTTAGGAAATTGCGAGGTCCTGAGTTCAAGCCCCACTCCCACAGACTCCCACTCTGGGTCCCTGAGCAATTGCTGCACAATAGCTGCCCATTGCTGAGGATGGGTTAAATCCAGAGAGTTCAGTTTGTTGCTTTGTACTTGTGACAGTGTAATGATAATAAAAAGCTAAAAAATACATACTTTGTTCTTCTCCTTCCCCTGCACCTTTCTTTTCAGTGGTGATTGACTTGCTTTGTCTCCTTACACTAACTTTCCCAAAATGACACGGTGAATTGGTGGCCAGCAGCACTTCAAATCATGGCCATTTATGTTTTTCTATAGCTCTGTTGTTATCTAAGTAAAAACATACATTTCCTACTTCTATAATGTACCTATTTGATTCACTATGTTGCTTAGCATGGTAAAAGTGGTAAATGGCCTGTACTTATGTAGTGCTTTTTCAAGTCAGGAGATTTGACCAAAGGGCTTCACAGTACACTCAGTCATTCACCCATTCATACACACACTGATGGTAGCAAGCTCCATTGTAGCCACAGCTGCCTGGGTGCTCACTGACAGAAGCGAAGCTGCGGTACACTGGCACCACCGAGCCCTCTGACCACTGAAGTGTCTTGCCCAAGGACACGACCCTGAAAGCCAGAGCGAATTAGCAAATTACTGCTGTCAAAATAAACACTACTTCTTTTGTTTTTTCTTTTCATATTTCTTGGTATTTGAAATACTAATCAGTACTGCATTGAATTCTTTACATTGACTTACATTCGTTTTAGTTACTGATTGTGAAAGTCCAGGTTAGTCAAGCCTAACCTTGATTTTCACCCTTACTATTACCAGTATATATCTATCTCTAACCTGAAACTTAAGTTGGTTTATAAAATAGCACTGAAAATGATAATAATAATAATAATAATAATAATAATAATGAACCCAAAGATACTAGATAATATTCCTGAACATCAGAAATTATCCCATTAGGGCCAGCCTTTGTTAATCCTCAAATGGTTAAAATATATTTACTAAAATTGGTTCTAAATAGGTAACTTGAACAAGTACTCAAACACTCCAGTGTGAAAACTTAAATTTACTTACCCACTTATTCTCATTTGGGGTTAATGCTGCCACCATCTCTGAAAGTCAGCTTGTAAGAGCAAATGCAGGTGTTGAGTACCAGTTTCTCAGGTATTAACCTTGCTATCTCAACACGGTGTTGCATTGTAGCTCCTAAGTTTTCTAGCAGTTATTTTATTAATGTGGTATCATTTTTAATATAATTGCTATAACTTATATCATAAAAAATGTTAAAAACCATAGAATTAAACACTGAAAAAACCCCCTGAAACATTGCTAGAATGTATATTAAATGTCAGTGGATATAGATTACACAATCAGCTGCAAATTAAGACAGGGAGAAAGCAAAAAGATTTATTTTCACCAAAAACCAGAAAAAACAAACAAACAAAAAAAAAAACTCTCGGCCGAAACTAAAAATGCATATTTTATTTGAACACTGATAAGAATTGTAACACAATGAGGTAAGTTAAATAATCCACATTTGTGATGTTTCCGAACCACAAAATATTCACCACCTTATCAAGAAACATTTCCACAAGTCAGCAAACAATTCCCAGCAGTGACCATCCCATCAGTTTAGTTCACAGTTTAATACAAGCAATATTTATCTTTGTTTCTCATGAGAACAAGAGGAATACAGATAGCAAAAAATTCTCAGCATCTCCATCACAGATCCAGGCAGGGGTTATTAGTTTGTTTTTATAAAGGAGATGAAATTCAGTAAAAAAAAAGGGTTCCCCTGATGGAGAAGAAACATTCTTGTGTTTGTTTCGGATGAGAAAGAAGCCACTAGACACTGGCAGGCTCAACAGAGTTTGCTACCATTTTTGCTGATGACTTGGCAAGGTCTCACAGGGCACTACTAGCAGTATGGGAGCATTTCATATGCTTTGTAATGCAGCCACACTGAGCAAAACAATGATCCCATGATGTCTGGAGAGGTATTAATGACTCTACAGACATCCTTTGCTCAAAGCATCAACATCCGCACACCAGAACGCCCCCAGAGTCTTTACTCAAGTGGTCAGAGAATAGTCTCTCTGCACTCAATGCTTTGTTCAGAGGGGGGGGAGCCCTGTGGGTCGCTTGTGGAGCTGGTTTTCTGTGGGTGAGGTTTCGATCGGCACATAGAGGGAGATGGAGAGGAGCTCAAAGCACCGCAGCTTTGCAGATGGATATCCTCATGGTCCCGTTTTCTGGGACTGCTGATGATACACTGGGTCATTACCTAGCCACATGAAAACAAGAAAAAGGAGAAGTTAATAAGGTGTTTTGGTTTGGCTCCTCAACTGCCTAAATGAAGAAAATGTATTTTGAAACTTTGAAAGTTGAGCAAAAAAGCAAAAAATCTGTTAAGGCAGTTATTACAAAATTTAACTTAAATTGAAAGCAACTCCCACAATAAAACAAAACAAAGAAAACGCCAAGAAGAATCACTTAGTAACTATAATCTGTCTTCTTGTTAGTCATTTCAATGCACCATGCATTTAATCAAAGCAAAGGTTTCATCGTCTGGCAGCTTTGATTATCATAATGCTTGGCAGTAGATTTTGATGGTCTCTCTTAGATAAGAGTGCATAAGGATTTAATTCAAGTTGGTCATTTTATTTATTAAGCTTTAATATAATAGATCACGTACCATGGATTTAATTATCGATTATTGATGGTTCCAAACATTGAGTGTCAAATACAAGATTACCTGATTGAAAATAATAGATGACTTGAAAGCAGAAATGTCAGTTAGAATAAAACTACCTGCAGCACAGGGATATGCAGTTTTTAAACTATTGCCTGTTAAAAAAAGGCACTGAGGTCCAGTCCCCTAATAGCACTTTCCTCTGTGATTATTGCAGTTATTCTGGATGCTTTGGTTATATCTGGGTACACTTGCTTCCACTTACAAATAAAAAAAAACTAGAGGCTATGTAAATAGGTCTTTATAAGAATTGATTTCAGAATTGATTTTATCCTTTGTCCATTTGGCTGCTTGACACTATATGATCCTCAATAAGCAGGTATAAGCAATGGATGAATAGATATATTTCTCTTATTTGTAAAATATTTGTTAAGCCTTTCGTACACTACAACCCCCACTGAATTTTATGCATTTGTGTGTTTATTTATGAATTACGAATGAATGAACGAACTCTAATCCTTTATGTAGTCAGGTAGGGTGATCAGGTTAACCTAGTGCATCATTTGAACTTGTATTCTCCGTTCCACTAGCAAACATTTTCCATCATGGTCTTCAATAGGGACCATCAAGACATCCACTGATTGTGCGTTAAGAACCTGCCCTGCCACCTACCAGCTTTAGAAAATCCCTAAGTCAATACAACACCTTTTGCCCCAAGGCTTGAGTCTTATCCACTCTAAGAGCTAAATATCAGAATCATATGACCATAAAGACCAAGGATGGTTTCCTGACACTGAGACAGGAACGAGTTGGGCAAAGAGTAGGGTGATTTATTCTTTAATTGTCGCTATTCCTTGTAGAAAGATAGCAAAACATTTTAAGTTCATATTACTTATCCACTTTCCCTTTGGATCAAAATCCAAAATGCTTCTAACACCTTCTTACAGAGGTCTATGAATAAATCTTTAAATCTTATCATATTTCCACAGCTGGTTTCAGCGGTCATTTCATAGTCATGCTTGATTGGTTTGATCAGGGTCCAGTTTGAAAGCTTATTTAGTTTGTTTGGTGTTTCCATTTGATTTCACCTATTTTTTTTTTTATTAACTAATAGAATGTAGATGCGAGGGAAATTCATAATAATTAGAGTCAAATTTCTTGTTAAGTGTTGTAGGTTTATGAAACCTTAGAAGCAGAGAGAAATCTCTTCAGTTTTTATTTTAGTGTATTTTACATACTTCCCTGAAAAGAAAAGTCCTTTACTCATATACATTTATGAGTTTCATTTGATAATATTAATATAATCTATTGTAGCTTTAAATGTGCTTTCAGCCAAAGCTAGTTACCTGATCTATGACATTGGCACTGAAGATAGCCTCTTCCATGTGTTTCTCGTCCGACTTGATCACGCATTTGATGCTGTTGACAACCTGCTGGACGTCTGGAGGTAGACTACTGCTGCTGGAGTGCTCCAGGAATTTGGCCACTAATATTTTTGTGTCTTTGTACATCTTTAGGTCAGCCAATGAGTGTGGACGCTCATTGGAGGGGTGCATGTGAAGAAGGCTGGGTTTAAGGTTGATGTCAACTTTCCTGGTGTCCTTCTGCTGCTGGTTTGTAACAGCTATTTGACCGGGCTTTGCTCTGATTATTTCTGCTGAAACATCTCTTGGCTCTGAAGAGGACACAGTGCAAAACTCTTAAATCACAAAAAACTACAGAAACTAAGGTTAAACATAATAGTCATAGGACATTCATGAGTAAAGGGTACAAATATAGTTTATTCAATCTGAATAAAAATTTAGGAATAAACTAATAGATAAATGTTTAGACATCCTTACCCTGTTCCGGAGAAGTTCGAGCTGAACCTGTGGTAACCTGATTGCTCCCAGTGGTGCAGCCACAGTTTTGTCCTGCAGAGGGAGACAAATGCTTCACTAAAGACCAAGAAAAGGGAACCAACTGATCCAACATTTCTGATGATTTAATAATGCTCCCAAAGCTAATGAATTGAGTTATAAATATAAAAGATAAAGCCATTATCCAGAATTAAATGATCACTTTATTGATTTCTTATATAATATATTTTCTGCACTTACTTCCTGTTGAGGTGGAGCAGGAGATAGGGTCACTGGTGGAGCGGACAATGTGTGCCAGTTTGCGGTACCTCTTGGCTGCTCTGTGGGCCCTAGGCCTCTCTGAGGGTGACTGGCCACTCTGGGCTGAGGTAGAGGGGGGTTGTGATGAAGAGGATGGTGACCAAACACTAAAACACAGCCTGGGGCCTCGAGGCCTGATTGGAGGAGAGGGGGACAGAGATGGAGCCAAAGGACTGATGGCAGAAGTTCCACCAGAGGATGCCACTGAGGTGGGGGAACAAGGCTGCGGTGGTGGGGGGATAGTTACAGGTAAAGTGAGCTTCCTGCTCATCATTCTTGCTTTGATTAAGGAATGTGTTTGGGCTTTTGGCGGCTCCTCAGGTAAATGTTTGGCTGAGGCCAGCTCGTCACAAATGTGCATTGCATTCCTCAGTTCCTCAGAGGGATGTGTGTTCTCTGTAGAATCCTCTTGGTCCAGGTTACTGAAGTTTTCAGACGACCAATCCGGTGAACGTTCCAATGAGTCCTGGGTGTGTGAAGACTCGCTGTATCCTGTGTCACTGGGGCGCGCATCAGTGTTTGGCAAGCCACGATGACAACGGGAAGAAATGCGAGTGCAGAGTTCAAGGCTGGTGCAGCTTCCATTAGTGGGGGCAGTCTGCAGTGTGCCAAATGGAGACAAGTCCGAACCCTGAACCTCCAGGGAGCACAAGTCCTCTGAGGAACAGGTCTGGTCCTGGTCAGCCACCTCTGACACCATCAGCGAGGCACTGTCTACTGAGGCTGCAAATTCAAAAGGAGTACAAGTAAATACAAAATATGGCTTTCACATGATCTCTAAAGATCCCTAACAACTTTTGCAGTTGATGTTCTTTACTACCAATTTTATGGAAGATTGTTGAAAAAAGGAAATATTCCAGAAATACAGTCAATTCATTAATATACCAATGCTAGCATATAAACTTATTAAAAACATTGATTTTATCACTATTTCAGTGTATATGTACATAAATTAAAGTTAATCAATCATTCTAATTTACCTCAGATAATAACATTACATATTTATTGGAAAAAAACAACATGTTTGATTTCATAATTTATATATTCTTTTAAAAAGTGCTTTGGCATACACATAAGGAGAGCAATACATAAAAAGGTTTAGATATATTAAACGGATGGAAATATGTAAATAAGTAATGCTAAAAAATATATTTTATTAATATCTAAAAATGAAAATATGTTGCATGTTTTTACAAAGATGTAATTTTTTTTGGAGAAAATGAAAAAAATAAAAGAATAATTAAAAAAAACATTTTAAAAAATCTGAGCAGTATTAATGACATTAAAAATAAAGAAGGAATCAAATAATATTATTGAAAGGAATGATCAAAGTTATTCAAAAACTGAAATGAATTCATTGAGGTATTTATGTAGTTGTATATCTTTGCAGTATTGGACCTGCAGAGCTTTTACCCTGTGTGCTGAATCCTGCTGTGGTGTTTCTGTCACACAGACTGGACCCAGTGGCCTGTTGCTCGATACTGGTGGTGACCTGTACAAACAAACATCGTTTGTTAAGGGAGCAGTTTTAATGCAAGCAGGGGAAACAATAGTTCTTAGGTTTATATGTATTGCATGAGCTATGCTGCACATAAACTACAATACTACTGACTTGTCTCTAGAGGGCTCTATTGACCCATCGCTTTAAAACAGACATTTCTCTTTTTAAAGAAAAGGTGCAGTAGTGCAGAAACAAAAATCATCTAAAAACAGCAACTTTATCAAAAAAGCCCTCTTACATTAGTATAGAAGCCAAATCAAAAAGTAGTGTTTGAGACGATCAAGGACTCATAATTATTGTTTTATTGCATAGGCTAGTTACATATCAGCATGGAGCCTGTGTTCAGTTAGTGGAGTTCGTTGGGGTGGTATTTTGATGTTTTATTGTCTTTGAATTAATTTGGTTTATTTGGGTCCGCTGTCTCTTTAAGAGACAGGGATTTTGCTAAGGTAGCAACGGTAGTTGTTTTCCGGGTCTGTACGGCAGAAGTTTTTAGGGAGATTGAAGCAACAATTCTGCATATTATCAAAGAACATCTGATGATGCAAAGCTGAGGCAGGAGCAGTTGCAAAATGCAGCAAAGAAATGGAGCACAAGGGTGAGCCATCAGAAGTATTTTGAGCTAGCTCGGTGGATGCATCAATGCAGATATGAAGACCTGTAGAGCTACTGGGGCCGGAAACCTGGACAGCATCTTGGCTACCAGTCTGGTCCATGCTAAAGCCAAGAAGGACAGCATTAAGTATTGACCACCTATGTGTTCCTCGACCCAGGCAGCAATGTCACTGTATGTACCGAAAGATTGATGGCCTCCCCGAAGGTCACAGGCAGAAAAAAAGTATTCTGCTGGGAACTATGGGAGGTGAACAGCTTATTCGCAGGATGATTGTTTGAAAATGTCTAGTGAGGACATCCAGTTCCTGGAGATGGTCTTGCTGTCTGCCACTAAAAAACTCAGCCATTCGAATGCTAAACAACAGAAAAGGGCCTGAACAGCAAGCTTTTAACAAAAGAAGAGGTTTATGAGGAATCTTCAGTTCCAGATTGACTATTCTGCATTTGTGGAAGTCTGGTTAGCAATGGGCCATGTAGTCAAGGTGCCAGAGAAGGACTTAAGCTGCAGTGACAGGAAGATTTGGTACTTACTTCACCACTGTGTGTACTATCTTAAGAAAAATAAAATCCAAGTTGTTTTTGACTGTAGGGCCTCATACCAAGGAACTGCATTGAACAACATACTGTTACAGGAGCCGTATCTAACTTGCACTCTGCTCAGTGTCACCAGGTTCAGACTTGCTGTCATAGTAGTCAGAGTGCCAGAAGAGGATGCTGTGCTCTTTACTATTTTAGAAAAGGACCTGTATCTCAATCTAGATAGGCTCCCTGTTGAGCAGGCCTTAGGAGTCTGGTGTTGTACGGAGAGCAATAGCTTCAAGTTCAAGATTGTCCGGAAAGTTAAACTACCCACAAACATCTGCTCAATCTGTAACCAGCTAGTATCATAGATCCAGTGGCCTTGAAGACAAAGATCCATCTCAAGCTGGGTTGGCATAATGACATCCCTGATCATCTTGCTCATCAGTGGAACAGCTGGATGGAGAACCTTATCCTGCTGGACGATCTTGAACTCTCTAGGTGTTTTAAGCCTGAGGGTTTTGGCAAAGCAACATTTAATCAGCTGCATTACTTAACGGATGCCAGCCAAGAAGGCTATGGAACTATGAGCCATATCCTGCAGAAGAACCATGACAACAAGCTAAATGTTGCTTTCATCATGGCAAAGGCCAGAGTAGTGCCGTTCAAGCCTCTCACCATCCCCCGCATGGAGCTGGCTGCCGCCCCCATGGCAGCACATATGGACAGAACTTTGAGAACAGAAATGGAGCTTCATCTTCAGTTCTCTGTGTTCTGTTCTGACAGCACCACAGTGCCCAAATACATAAAAATACAAAAAAAAACGTGCAACCCTCACCTGGCTGGCTGGGGTCTGTCCCACCACAGACTCGTAAGGAGGGGGGAGGTCAGTTGGATAAAGGGTTCCCGGGCTGTTTATTGGCACTCCATAGATGGCGCTGAAAGGGGAGTGGGGAAAGTCCAAATGCAGGCCTCTGCAAAGGAGGTAAAACCACAAACAAAAGCAATTGATAACATTTTCAAAGACAAAAAAAAGATAAGAGTTGATACTGAGTTAGTTACACAGTATAGAGGGTGAACTAGTTTAAAAAATGTGAAAACTGGTCAAAAACAGTAGAATATTTTCAAATATACAGGACTAAAGGGTGAAAGACATCATCTGATCAAAAACAGTCAAATCCAGACAATATTCACCATTGCCCCATTGTTCAGAGTGCACCACCACTGTTTATCTGATGCCAATTAAGATTAGGCAGCCAAGCAGGCCGTCATATTTTTTAATTACAACCTTATTCTCAGCTAAAGTGGCAGAGCATGAAATATAGCTTTAGCTTCCAGCAACCATCTGAGCCATTATGATGTCATGACATATCCGTGGCCTTCAGTGGGGACACCATAAATGCTTCCTCCGCCTTGTAGATATTTATGGCATAATTGACAAACAGATGTGGCTTCCAGCCAAATAGCCTCAGCCGGGGCAGTCTTGCCTGTAAGACCGAAAAAAATTGAGGGAGTTATGAGAAAAGGGAGGGGGGGATTCATCTAATCATCCAGAGCTGCTTAATAGAGGGGAAATGCTCCAGCTCTCCAGTGGTCAGAGTGACACTGTGATTGTCAGACTGAGATAATTGATATCTATTTATGAATACTGCTTAACATGTGGTCTCTATGGATTTAAATAATGCTCCAGACAGCATGACCAAATAGAATAAAATAGTCTACAAGACATAGAAATGGACATCAACTTAAAAACGTTAATTACTTCAAAATGTATAACACTAGAAACAAAAGCATTGTGGACTGAGTCATTCTTGTCATCAGAAAATGTCTCATGGCATATCAAAGCATTATCATTTCTCTACAGTTTTAACCCATTTAACTTTTATTTCAAGTCTTTGATTAATTTAAGATGTCTGTAAAATGATAATTATGCAACATTTCAGAAAATATATGCCTGCTTCCACTGCTATGACTTAAAAATCGACTAAATCATTTAAAAAGAACATTTCATAAGACTTGCTGCTTCACAATTAAAATTAACTGCATTATTTAAAAAAGGTTGGCCATAATGCATTGTATATCTCTTTCTATTGTCCGAACACTCTTAGCATTTGGAGGCTATCAGGGTTATTGTTGTTTTCTTGCCATATATCAGTGTAGCTCTATAACAATTCAAGGCCTCTTTTTGTTGCAGTTGCAGATTTATGATAAAACTGATGAAATATGTCTAGAATGTTGGGAGAACAGTTTATATTCCTTTATTGTAGAGGCTTGCTGTTATAAATTGGCGACACAGCAACAGAATAAAAGTGCAGTGTCTATTACAGGACAATGTATGCCAAAACATTTTTCAGTTCGATTTTTCTCTCTCGGTATTATAGACTCAGTATTATAGACAGTTTAAAGATCTACTGTCAATGTGTTTTAAGTCCTGAGATCAAGGTATCTATATTTATCAAAAGGAAATCATATATTTTAATTTGTCAGAAAAAAGCATTTTTTTACTTAATCTTTATATTATAGCTGATAAAAAATGAACTAAAACCTGCATCCATCGGTTGCATTATTGCAATTTAATGAATGAATATGTCATGTGTTGTTTGCTTTGTATATTAAAGCGATTCTCAACACAAAGCTGACAGAGGCCTTAAACCTCAAAGCCATTTAATATTGAGAAATTTTCTGGATTTTCTTAATCTCTAATGATATTATTTGCAACAGATTATGCATTCCTCAACTGGAGTATTTATCCATGTCTCTCTCTATATATATTTCCATAGACTTAGCTTCCACTTATGATTATAATCTTAATGGTTCACCAGACATTATTGTTTTTACTTTCCTTTGTTAGCCTCAATCCAGACTCAATTCCCTAATGTCTTGACATAATTGCATATGGGTCTGTTTATATGTAAAATATGTCTGAGAACACATAGGATCATGTTTATTCCATTTCAACTGAGGTCCTCTACAAAATGTGCCCGGATGCTTTTGACCAATAAGTTCAATTGTTGCATAGATTTATTTTTTTATTTTTTGTTAAATAGAAAGTACTTGAGTCAGTTAAAAAATTTAAAGTTTATATTCATTTTGAGCTATTGATAAGTTAACAAGGAAGGGGTATACTTTTTTATTTTAACCCCCAATTTACTAAATGAACAAGGAACAATCTTGGCTGCCTTTGTTGGAAATTGATCGCATTTTGATCTTTATATTGTGATATTTCACCTCATCTTAGCAGATACACTGAAATGTAGAGCTTGTCAGGAAAATTGTTCTTCTTACCTTTGTCCGTCCATTGAAGGTGTGCAGGTGTACTCTGGGGGATAGTATGGAGGTGGAGGGATGGGAGGAATGAACTCATCAAAGTCCAGGGTCTGATGTAGGATGGTACCATGAGGGGTCATACACTCAGCGTTTAAGGCTCGGGCTCTGTGAGGCATGAACTGAACAACAAAATAAAAACAACATATTAGATCCTTAGTTTAGGGGTTGTTACTTCACAGATTTAATGTACATAAATGTTGAGTCAGTTTAAACAATGACAGTTATATATGTCTTTTTCAGATAGCTTTAACATTAAGACAGAAAATAAAAAGTGCCGTCTCATCCTTATCTATCTTTCATTTCCATCAATTTTTTCATCCATCAATTTTCTGACACGCTTAATCCCAAGTGGGGTTGCGAGGGGTGCTGGTGTCTATCTCCAGCTGTCTACGGGTACACCCTGGACAGGACGCCAGTCAATCGCAAGGCGACACAGAGAAACAGGACAAACAACCACTCACACACACACAGTCATGTTTTTCGACTATGGGAGGACCTTGAGTAAAACCAAACATGCAAACTCCATGCAGAAAGACCCCGGGCCAGGAATCAAACCCACGACCTTCTTGCTGCAAGATAGCAGTGCTACCCACTGTGTCAATGAGCAATCTTTCATGTATTTGTTTTAAAATATTTGCTGGTAAATGACATTGGAACATAATTGTTCTATCTGAATCTAATGCTACAGCAGGGGTGATGAAAGCTTGTGGGCAAAATCACGACTGTTATAGATTCTAAATGCTAAGACAAGTACACTCATTAGCTCCTTAACTCAGATACCACATTTAGTACTCTGGATGGTACTGAAAGATGGTTGAAAGCACATTTCCAAAGCAGCTAATGTTCCATACCCCCATCTCATATATGAAGGGTATAAAACCTGTGGCTTCATTGTTTGGGAAGAGTATAATACTTTGTGCTGTAATGTCTTTTTCTTTCCCATTCTCAAATGTAGCCTAAATATATTGTACTGAAAGCCCAGTGCTCTGGGCAATTGTTATTATGGTTAAAATTATATCTGAATATTCAGTAAATAATGTACTGTAACAGACAGGCCATAAGGTGTTGGAGCCACTAGCTCATAAACCCCTTAGTCTCAGTCAAGATTCATAAATCTATTGATCTTGACCATGCTGATATCATTTCTACTAATAATTATTTTTAATTATTATTATAAACAGCTTTTAGGTTAAATGAAAAGTATGGCAAACTCAATTACACTCAAGGAGACTTTACACAACAGCTTTGGACCTTTTTCACTGGACCATGATATAAAAACCCTTAAAGAAACCAACGTTTTAGTGCTTGCATAATATTTGTGTAAGTCACGCAAATTGAGCCCCAAAGATTAACTGGCTTGCATATGCTTCTAAAAAAAAAAAAAAAAGGTGCAGTTTCTTCACAAACATAACAGAATGTGGTTGGACTCCTAGATATACCCATAGTTTTATCCCTAGTCTGTATATTTTACAATCAACTGAATTCTGCTTTGGTAATTCAGTAATTGTATTCAACATGGAAGAGCCCAATACTCTAACTTTTTTTTTTTTGGTCACGGATACGTTCGAAACATGGTGTCACTGCTGATTTACGGTCTCTGCAGACTGTTGTCACACAAAAAATGTTGTTACTGGCAGAAGTTTAAATATTTAAGCTTGTTTAGGCAGGCATAAAATTCCCGTCTTGAAATCTATAGAGGGTTATTGCATCACAAGCTACAGCACAGTTAGTTTCCCGATGACCACGGTTCTCTACCTGATGGGTTGCGGGTCTGTTCAGAGATATAAAGCAACAGTTGTTGCATATATATTTTTACCCCCTTTTCAACCCTCTTACCATCTGCAGTACATCAGTCGACACCATCTGCATGCAGCACATTGCAGTAGCAAGAGCGCACACAATGGTGGAGATGACGTTAAGGGCACAGACGCTGAACAGCAGCTCCTAAAGGAGAAGAGACAGAGGAGGAGAAAACAAAGCGAGAGTTGGAAATTACATGGCTGCAGATGAGGAGATGAGGAAAACATTAACTATGGAAAAAAATAGAAAATATAAATAAGACCAAACAGAAAGGAGAGAGACAGGAGTGATTTCTCAAACTACTGAAAAAAGAAATAGGATGACTCTTTTTCTTGTTTTTCTAATAGAAGTAAATTATCATTTAACTACCGTAAACTAAACTGTGCATGATTGTAAAACACTGTAAAACAAAAACAACAAATTGAAACCACCTAATCAATCAATACTTGCATTTAAAGTTTAAAACTAAAACCTATATAAACAGCATAAGAAGATTCATTACATATATTTGTCCGAGCTTTAATCTCATACCCAATGTCTCTATGTGTTCTTCAATAGTTCTATAACTTTTTTTTAATGATCAATATGGAGTGTTCAATGTCCCTTTTGGAGAAAAACAGCCAACATGACAGTCTCCTCCATACTCTGAGCTTTTCCTTTGTTTTCCAAACAGTAACATTGGTCGATGTGGCCAAAAACTTGGATTTTTATTTGAACACAAAGCAATAATGTCTTAAAGATTAAGAGCTTTGTCATTTGGGTTGTTTGTTTGTGTTAGAACAGGGCTCATTTCACTGTCTTACCAGCTTTAGCCAGTCATATGAGTTTGTTCTGAGATGAATTATAAATCAATCTTTAACACTCTTTCTTGTTGTACCAGGCTTGTGGAGATCCATATTTTTCCCTGAGGTATTGCTTGATTAATTTATCTTGTTGTTCAAATGTTTCATGGTGTTGAAGAGCATCAGTATGTTTCAGTAACATTAACATGAATGTTATATTCGTCCAGATAAGAATCTAATTTCACTCTTAGTTTTGTGGACACAGTCTTGCAAAATGCACAGATTGTTTTCACATTGACTTGGCTACCATTTAAGTTTGTTCACCTTTAAACATTTTCAGCACATCAACGTCTGCATTCAGAACCTATTTCACCCAGGAAAGATGTGGAGTTTCTTTGGAAGACTTTTTAGAACAACTCACAGGGAGCTGTTTTGACTGCAGATCTATTAGTTTTTGTTTTGACCAGTAATTCTGAACAGATTTTGTGTTAGAGGGACGTCTGGGAGACAGGTGGACGCTGCATCAGTATGAGATTTTATGCCAAGATGTTAATCATAACTACTATCTGCGGACAGCCACATTGTTTACTTTTCATTTTCAGTTTCTGCTTGATTGGCAAACTAATAAAGGCTTTGATTCTTTTATGGAGATCAGTATATATATATGCTTTTGTACTCCATCAAACATTAAAGCTCAACAAATCCAGAGCTATAGCCTTCACATATCAGTTTCCACTGAGACCAAATATATTTTCTATGGATTTATGTTACCCCTACAGGTAGGTCTAGCCCACTCCAACGGCAAAGGACACACTGCAAAAAATGTAATACTCGAAATATCCTTAGATATGATAAAATTTTCTTGTTTAAAGAAAGAATCTGGCAACGTTAGCAAAGGTTGCTTGGCTAGAATTCTTAAAACTCATCAAACATATTTTTCTAAATTTAGCAATTATTGAAAAATAAAAAATTTTAAATTTAGAAATTAATTAATGTTTAAAATGACCTGAAATATCTTATTAAAGAAAATCTAGACATATGGTTGTAGAATGTCCAATCAAGTGTTTCCTTCCTTGCATTTGTTCTAGTGTTGCAAGACAGCTATATTCACCAAGGAATTTGGTGGTACAGATTTTTGCATAAAACCAAATTAATAAGAGATTAGAGTGCATTTTCTCACTTCTTCTGAAGTCAAGGAAGAATGAATATAAGACTCATAGCCAGATAAATGCAGCATCTTTATGGATAAGGACAGAACTACACCACCCAGGAGAAAAATGAGCAAAAATGCAAAGTGCTCAAATTCCTGGCCAAATATATGTGCAATAATTTTTTTCTCATGCCTGTAGCTACGTCCACTAACTTAAAGAACATGAGTGCTGAGCTTCCTCTGAATAGTGTTTAGACTTACCCTAACAGCTAACTGGAAGAGACTAACTTAGTTAATGTTCTATGACACCAAGTTCATATTCAAATAAAGACGCCTGATGTGTTGGACTGCCAAATAAAACAACCTTTCACCTCAATACTTATATGCACGTTAAAAGCTGTTAGACACTCTTCATACATTCAGAAAAAATGTGTTGCTGAACAAAATTTTAAATGCTTCAGGGCTGCTCTAAAGTGCTCAGGAAGTTTGGACTGATGCTCTTCCATAAACAGGAGGGGGTTCATGTTTACATCTTTGTACACCATGTGATGGAGTCATAGAATGCATAGAATTTGGGTTAGGAATTTGAGCCATAAAAAGGAAAAAGGAGCACTTTTCTCTTTCATATTGACCTCCTGCCTAATGTGGCTACAACCCCATGGTGTCAGACTGAGAACAGGACTTAATTACTTTTTCACATCACTGATACTCGACTGCTGCCTCGCAAACCGTAAAGTTCCGGGCCAAAAGTCTCAATTAGTTTTTCCTTTAAGCTTCTGGAATTACAACAAGCTAGAGCTGTCAAAGAAGTGAACCCTGTTCTTCTCCAATCAGTGTGAAGTCACTAGTTTTACAGCTACTCGCGTTAATACACCCCATTTGTGAATCAGCTCCTCAGAAGCTCTGAGAGAAAGTCTTAAATGCATAGAAAGATCCATGATACGTAGAGAGATCTATTTGATCAGAAAGGAACGTTTTTAATAACTTGTGATGCAACAGACACACATCAGATCAAATCCTGTGTTTTCTGACAACCAGACAACTTTTTTCAGAAATTTTAAACACAATAGTGCTTCACTTGAATTTGACAATTCAGACAAGCATCTATAATCCTAGCACATGTTCTTGTCTCCGCTTCTCCTATGTCTTAAAATATGAAGTTTTTGGAAGAGCTAGAACATTAACAAATAATGTAAAATCGAGAGCCATTCTTTAACAATTGAGACACTTCTCTATCAGTTTGGAAAGGGTCCAGATAAAAGTTTTTGTCCACAAATCGAGAAATATTGCAGCAGTTCTTAACCCTACTGAGAGAAACCAGCCCACCAAATTTAAGCAAAGAGCCCCTAAAAACACATTCAAGAGGTTAGGAGAATAGTTAGAATAGTTAGTTAAATCACTGAAAGACTAATTTGCCTCAGTTGGTTTAAGGGTTTGTGAGTCATTATTACAAAAAGATCAGGCAAAAACTATTTCATTTATGAAGGCATTCGTGACAGCATTCTATTAACAAGCATCTTTATGATCCCCATGGAAAACGTGTTTGAATTGAAAAGATGAAAGTTTAACTCTGGCAAGTGAGCATCTAAAACTCCTAGAAAACTATAAACATAAATTATTTCTCTGTGAGAAAAATCCCAGGATTAAATGTCAAGCTAATGAAGACTAATCTAGAAGACTATGGCAAGTCTCACCTGCACATCCAGACTGCCATGTCATCCAGGTCTACATCCGCTAATCTTCTCCTGCCCTCCAAAGCTTCTCAGCCAAAAATCTCAATTTGCCCTCTTCACAAGCTGCTTCATCAGGGTCCTGCCTGAAACCAGCTGCCACCCACCTCCACCTCATCCACTGCCCTGCCTACCTCCTACTCAATCCAGCTGCCTTTGTCCTCAATCATCCAGTATACCACTGGTGTCCAGGCCCCAGGTGAGGACATCTCCATTATCATTAATCCTCACATACTATCACCATCAGGAATGCTCAGCTTTGTCTTCTGCTGGGGTCTGAGTGCCAAAAACATTAATATTAATTCATCATTCATGAATCCTCTATTTACCACCTTGTCTCCTTGTAAGTCTGCCCAGGTTGAAATGGTTTTTAAGCTTAAACTTATCTAGAGTATGGTGCTGCTGGTTGATGAAAAATCAAAGCAGGATTTACATCCAATCCAGATACTGTGGCATAAAACCTCATGCAAACGATTACTGTTTTAAAATCCTCCAATGTGGCTGATCTCAAACAATAAATCAAAGAGGACTTGGTAAATCTTCCATGTTGGTATACTTCATATGTGTACATATCAACTGTCATGTAGAGTAAGGGCCATCTGATTATATATGATTATTAAACCATGTTTATAACCACAAGAAAATGAAAACAATGGTTGTTTTAGAATATAAACCTTTTTCTCACTCTGGAACAAAAAAAATAAATAGTGAAAACACGACTGGCAAAGACTGTTTAATACATGTGCTCATTGAATATTAACCTCTGTGAGATACTTTGCCCTTGGGTCAACTGCAGAGTAAGGTTATACGTCTGCTTCTTAGCAGGAAACCACAAATTACTTCAATACTACCTCTCACAAATGATTTATAGCCCTAGGCAGGGTAAGGAAAAGAATAAAAAAAAAATGAAGGAAATCAAATATGTCTGTGGAGAATGAATGGTACATATACTTAGCAATGTGATATTCTTTCATAAATACAAAAGAGACATTTAAAGAGAGAAACTTAAAAAAAAAAAAGGAAAAAAAATTGAGTCTACAGCTTCTTCTGGTTTTAAATCAAGTTTCTCCTTTTATATGCGACAGAAAAGAACAACAATGCAGCAGACTTCATCACAATAAGAAATCTAACAGCATGTGAAATAGAAGTTCACTCATGGGAGTTTGAAATGACACCTTCCTCTAAGATATAAGTCAGTGTGGCTGACTGCTGCAGCTCTTAATGAAGCTTTATAGCACCAATTCACCATATCTTTAATGAGTTATGACCACTGTGACGAATGTGCTCAATCTTTCCTCCTTTCATAACCACTTTTCACCCGAAGAAGTCTTTTGATTCGGTTATCAATGTTTTATAATCAATCAGGATCGTAAAATTAATGGATATGATTGTTATTAGGGGCACAGTGCTCCACACTGTATTTTATTCCTGCAGACACCTGGAGTCAGGAGATACCCCTATTGGGTCATAAACTGCTAAAGTACAGCCTGCCTGGAAACACTGTGCATACAAAAAGCCTTCTGGAAAAACAAATCCTCTAACTGCAGACGAGACTAACATGTTAAAATATACTTCACAAACACAGAAAAATTGAAAAATTTGTTGCATAAATCTTGTAATAAAAATTAAATGGGATTATTTTACAATTATTGTAATCATGTCTACCTTTCTCCATTCATTATAAATATACCAGCAATGTTTTCTTCATTTAATCTGCATGATGTTTCCACAGTTCCTTAGTCTCTCTAATTGATTAATTTCTCTCACCACATTGTTTTTTTCTACTTGCAATACCAATTCTTTGCTGAAAGTAATAATGTTTTAAAAATCATTTCACTGTGTTTGTTTTGTATTGATTCAATGCACACCTTTCTTTTATAATTTCTATGAAGAACTTATGTTACACTGTAGTGAATAAAACGTGTTCTGCATAAAAAAGTTTGATTGCTTTATTGATTAAATCTTGGTGTGATGAAAATGCTTGCACGAGAAGTGAATTAACATCGTAAGTCCAATATCAGCTTGTAAGACTAATATTGATTAACAATTGAGCCTGATTTAGAACATTGATCTAGGTTATATAAAACCTTAATGTACTTTTACATATTCCGAATATTTCCAACACATAAAAGTGCCACAGAAACAAGCCAACCTTGAGGCGAAGGCGGATGGTGTTGCAGTCCCGCAGGGGGTTCAGTTTCAGCGTCTCTACCTGGTTGTTACAGCCGGTGCTCTGCTTCTGCTGCTCACAGCACACGCACACTCCGTCGCTGTCGAATGGTACCTGGGGGAGAGGAGGGGTGACCACACATCCGCACTCAAGCAGGCATGCCACAAAACACAGAACAACACGCACGCATGCACAAACAAACACACAAACAGACACAGAGACACACGCACAGGTCAGACCTCAGCTGGTTTTCGGCAGTAATTTCTGCCCGAAATCAAGCTGTGGATACATTTTTTAAAACACATGGGATGAGAACTGCTTTATACAGTGAGACCTTGTGCACGTGTTAAAGGAACAAAGGACAGTAAGGATGTGATGAACTACTCAGGGACAGATTGAGGTACCTTTGCTATGTGTCCCAGATTGAGTAAAAAGCAGGACATGAACTTAACAAGTATGGGTTAATTACACTGGGGAGAAGCAATGTAGAACATTAATATTTCAGTCACATGGAGGAGGGTCTCTGGGGAGCCACATAAGGCACCATAGTGGGGGTGCTTGCCCTTCCCTGCTTGCATAAAGAGGAAAGCTGCTTATACTGTAGTATGGAAGTGGTTGAGTTAGTGGGCTGGGTTTCTTATTAATCACAAAAAGGATTCCATGGTCATAATATAGACATTAACCCCAGGCACTATGCAATCAGCTTAAAAATATCAGCTAAGCATTTAGTTAGGAAAAATTTGTAATCTTCAATTCTATTATTTGAAAAAAGATGGATCACTTTTTTTTAGCTATGTAACAGCACTCCAACTAAAACCTAATTCGTACTTAGTTTGGAATTTACAATCTAATTTATACAAACCCTCATTTTACAGCATAGGATGAGAATAAGTAGGGAATTTGTGGGGAGGTCAAATTTTTTGAAGCATTTTCTCACAGTATTTATAAAGGCTTTTAATTTCTGCACATCTGAGGGTAGTTCAAATATGTGCATTGCATTGAAAAATTATTTTGCCTGGTAGCATTACAGTAACTATATATATATATATATATATATATATATATATATATATATATATATATATATATATATATATATATATATATATATATATATATATATATATATATATATATATATATATATATATATAGATGTTATTGTAATTGATAGACTAACACATAATTGTGCATGCTTCACAATTATTATTACACATAGAAATCTGCAAGGTGTGGAAGGCATTTGTACTCAACTTCCCTAGGAGTGCACTTTATAGAGCTGCTGCCATTTGTTGCAGCAAATGTAATAATTATGAGTCAGCGGTGATAAGCAAATGGATTTGTCAATTTCAGCTATGACTCATCTAGGCAGCCTGTTAGAAACAGAAGCTCTGTAAGCTTGAACAACAACATGTGACTGTAATGTACTGGCTTGAAAGTTGCACTTTTTAGTGACTTTGTAAGTTCATACTTGACACTGGATAACAAGGTTTTATTATCTATTATTATTGAAATAATGAGTACATAAACTGATTTTTGTGTTTTATTATAAGCTAAACATGTGATAGTCCCACCCAAAAGTATTTCTAACCCTAACTTTTAGATGTCCCTCATGTTACAGGCACAAACTTCAGGATATTTGATTATGTTTTTATTAGACCAGTACTTGGTCTGTTTTATGTAAATTTAGTTGAGTTCAAATATACCTTTCTCGTTAATACCAAAAGGAAATAATAAAAACATATTACAATAGGCCATTGCAGCACCCCCACTGTTCCGGCCTAGTAAAGTGCAATCTTTATTCATCATATGTCACCTGTTTTCAGAAAGAGTCTACATTTGTGTAATTTTATGTAAGTATCAGTACTGTTGATCTGTTAAGGCCTCATAGATTTGTCAGAGAACATTAAAGAATTAAGAGCAGCACGACAACCAGGGGAATCAGATTAAGAATAGTTATGAAGAAGGTTAAGGAATGGCTAGTTTATATAAGCATATCCTGAAGTTCAATTGTCTCACAAAACTTTGCTAAACCCATCATGTAAAACTGGAAAGAATATGCATCCAACCTAGCAAGAGATTGGCTTTCAGTAACTTGATAGGGCAGTCTGTTTATCGGAGAAGCCACCAAGAGGGTTACTGTAACGCTGGATGAGCTGTGGAGATCCAGAGATCAAGTTGGATAAATTAACTTTAGTTATCGGGAATCCCTGCAATGATATAATACTAAAAGTGTGTATTAGCTCAAAATCTGAAAATGCTAAGAAAGATATTTTAGCTATGTATTCAAACCCTGCATATGTACAAAAACAAGCAAATTTCCTTGATAGATCACAGGGTCCACATAATGTTCCGCCTTCTACACGCCCACATTCAGCCATAAATGGTCCATGCAAAGGACTTTATGATTTCATTGTTTATTTAAATGAACCAGCTGAGACTGAAATAGGTGTGTTGGTCAGTGAGGTGGAGAGCCTGATTAAAAAAGGATCTGATAAATAGTCTGATAAAAAAGGATCCTGACTAAATTACCATCTCTGTTGGATAATGTCTCCCACTCCATGCATGAAGCTGTTCCAGAACTGGAGAGCTCCTTTATTGATAGACTGCTGCACCCTAAATGCACCAGGGAGCGGCATCACAGATCCTTCCTCCCAGCAGCTGTAAGACTTTATACCCACCACTGTTCCCAACAACCTCAATAGGTCGTTACATTCATGCTGATTTTGCACAGTTTCTACCTTAGTCAATTAAATAACATACTGCAGTCATTTTGCACATCTCTGATGTTGCTGCTATTGTCAAATATCCATTAAGGTAAAAATGTCCATAGCTGTATATTGGTTGCTTATTCTCCAGGTGCACAGTTTTTATATTGTTTAAAGTAGAATATTTTATTGTTTATCTTTTAACTCACTACCATGTTATTCTTAAATGAAAATTTATTCTATAAACTTTTTGCTGCTGTAAACACCAGAATTTCCCCATTGTGGGACAATAAAGCGATTTTCTATTCTATTCTATTCTATTCTATTCTAAATATAAAGTACATTTGAGAGGTGTGCAATGACTTTCCCTGTGAAGAACAGGCATGGTGTGTCTAGTGGGTCGGTCTCTACTTAACCGCGTTCGGCACATAGATCTAAGAGAATTACTGTAGGGAGCCTGATTGGCTGATAAACCAGTCATTATCATCAGCAACGGAATATTGGTAATCCCTGAAATACCTTCCCTCCTAATTCTCCTATTTACCTTCGGAAGAGCAGCAACTGTCACGCACCATTATGCACGGGTGTCACAACGGCATTAAATTGTTTACAGCAATCAGTGTGAATACCTCACAACTTGCTAAATTTATGTGTTAATCTGTGGTCCGACTCACTCTGTTGATCATTGGGAAGAAGAATAGGATAGTGAGAAATGATTCAATATTGCACATGCTTTAATAAATAATTTTTTATTTATTTGTGCTGGTCTTGAAATTATGGTTCATCAGTGCATTCAAAAATTACACTTTGAGATAATTATGATGACATTTATGATGACTATGGTTATTGTTTTACATAAAGGGGCTGAACGTCTGAGAGCGCTTAATCAAACTTCAATTCTTCACCTTACTCACGGGTCAGTCGGTGTAAGGAAACTGCACTTTTCAATGCTAAGTTTCTTTTTGATACCAATACTTTAGCATTAGCGTATGCAAATTTCAAGCCCTGTTTCATGCATGTGCAAGCTTTATAAATCTGATCCTTATGGAAGAGGAAAGTTGCCTCAAGTTATCCTGAAGACGTCCTATTAGCAGTTTGTCAAAATCCATATTAGGAGGCAAACACGGCATTTCAGCGGAAGGTGTTCTGACCATAATGAAACTTTTTTGGTCCACGTCTATCACCCATACCTGCTTATTCTTACTGGGTTTGGGTGCGAGATGTACAGCAGCACAAAGACATACAGGACAAAAGAAAAAACATATATTGCTGGCCCACATACAAAAGTTGATCACATCTACTAAAAAACTGTGTAGAAACAAATGGTTTTAGACAGAGTATTTAGGGTCAAATAACTAAAATTGTATGGGACAATGTCTAGTTGGTCTCACCAGCTTACACTCCTCCAGGGAGTTAACGAGCTGAGCGTTCTGGCAGGAGAGAATGGAGCCCGCCAGGTTGAGCATTACGCACACTGCAGACAGCAGCATGAAGAATGTGATCTGTGACAGGGAAACAAGAGGGAGGGAACAAAGACAAATTAGAAACAGATAGCTCTATGTCAGACTGTTGCTTCTTGCATTGATTAAGCGCTTGCATCCTTCTGACACTGTTTGAAAGTAGCTGCAGTACCAGAGACATGTTGTGCTTTTACCAATCGATCCTGATGGCCAAAGACAAGAAGTACAAATGTCAATTGTACAATTGTTTCTCTGCCTCAAGACCCCAATACTAATGTTGAAATAAATAAAAAACAACTAAGACTTGAGACAGTTTTGTAGACCTTAAGCAAACTTCGTGATATGGAGGTCAAAGTAACTAAGCAACTAAGATCTATCAGTCAGTGTAAAACAGTGTTGATGAAGGACAAATAGGGCTTTAGCAGGAGGAGTTAAACAAAAAGGTGATCTAGAACACACATGGCAGATGGAAAGGAGGAGAAACCCATGATGGGAGGGAGAAGGAAAGGGAAGAGGGAGATGGCACGTAATAAACAGATGGAGCGATAAATTTAAGTGCTTCTTCCCATGGCAGAAAATTGAAAGATTGAGGGGCTGATGAGAGTGCTTCCAGGGAAACTCCGTGGATGGGAAGAAAAAAAAAAAAGAAAAAGAAAGAGAAAAGGGAATTGCAGACAAGAAAGAAGGAACAGATGTTGTGGCACAACCAACCATTATATGAGAGCCAGACCATTTTATCTAACGGTGAATTGACGATGATAATGTGGACATCTAATAAAAAAACATTTAAATACTAAAAAGCAGGACTCTGAAAATTTCAGCATTTTCCAAATAAAATCCTAAGGAAAAAAAACAATAAAACAGAAATGAATAAAATTGTGTGATTTAATCTATTTTCAGGCAATATTGAGGAAAAGGTTATGAAGCACCTTAAACGAAACCCATTAAGCTATATCCGTTGCATAAATGCTCAATCATAGCATTAACAAAAGTGATCTGCTAACCAGGTGCAAATTGAATTGCATGTCTAACGTTAGCAGAACATTTTTAACTTTTAAACTGGTTTGGCATCACAAAAGTCCTCTTGAGAAGGAAGCTAAATAGATCTAGGAAGGGAAACATCAGGAAGGGAGAAAAATCAAATGATATATTTGCGCCCGACAGATGGCTGTGGAAGTGATCAGAGGTTTATAATCAAATACAATATACACATCGTCTGCTATTGCTGCTTGATGTTTAGCTGATACTAAACAGCTAAATTAAGTTGGAATCAGCTACCAGCTTCCTATTATACCATGGATTTTAACAGCTGCAGTTAAAAGATTTTCCTCAGTGTACTTCACTTGTTTTTAAAGGTTATGATGCGTTCACACTAAAGGCGTTATGGGCGTCAAAAATGCGTTAGCGCAGAAATTTGGATGCCCGGTCAAATGCTGTATCAAACTGTGGACAAGTTGCTTTGAGGCTTTGACGCTCTTGATGCTCAGGGCTCTGGTTTTCTGCTCTGTTTTGTTGCTACAAGCTAGAGAGCAGCTTGGCTTTATTTACTTTATGAGTTTGAAAAATTGTTTTGACTTGTTTTTAAGCAACAAGGTCCACCTCCAAACATCATCTGTGCAGTCAGTTCACCAGAATTATAATCCTTTTAAAATATTTTGTAGTATGGAGTGCCATACCTCCAGCATACCACTGGCCGGCAGTGCTGGAAATCCCCGCTGTGAGCTCTCTGCTGCCGTTAGTGGCGGCTGGAAGTGAATATAAAGAGTTTTTAAGGTTTACGGTAAAAACTGCAAGTACCAGAATATAGAATTAAATATTTTTTTTTGTTGGCAGGTTTTAACATTTCTAGATAATCTAGGTATTTATAAACTTTCTTCACAATGGTTCATAAAAAAATGTTTTAGTGCAGCAATAATGATAAGAACTCGCGCTCTGTTCCTTATACATAATCTATTCTTCCCCCATTTTTTAAACCTTTAAAATTTAACTCCCTTGATAGTTATTTTTTCTTCATATGCAGAAGCTCTGCAGAAGCGATGAAGCTTGCAGGTAGTGTCCGTCTCCCCCCCAAAAAACTCCTGGATCAGCTTTTCTGATTGGTTGACACCCTGGCAAATGTTCAATTTACTGAACTCCAGCATCAGATGCTTGGACGCTCTGACACTCGGACGCCAGAACGCTCAGATGTGCTGCTGGACGCTGACCCCCATAGAGTTCAATGTAAATCACATGCTTTGACCGCCAGAAAGCCCCCTGAACGCAGCATAAGACTGCATGAATTTCTCAATCCATACGTGCAGTATAAAGGATCACCACTCTACCTGGTAACAGTCAGTTAGCAGAATAACAATTGAAGAATTAAAACATTTAAAGTAAATGAAGAAGACATTGTAATTTATTTGTACGAAATAATACAATTTCTGAATTTAGTAACACTACCTGGCAGTCCTTGGAGATGAATTCTGTCTTTGAATAAACTTTTGTAAAATGCCATAGTTGTTAACATATCTATTGGTCAAATACTGATCCGATAGTCTCCTTATCAAGTCAAAAAAACAACAAAAAAGCAACAACTGAACAGTTTGTTAGTGTTAACTTACTATTAACCTAGATGCAAAAAAAAAAATAATAATTCCATGCAATCAGTGCTTTAAGCTAATTATTACTATAATTGAATTTGGTCTGGGTCTGTGTGTAAAAACTAATTAACAATCATTTGTATTGTCTCCCTCTTTATATATTCATTTGCATGTCATCATTGTAATTACAGGATCTGTAATATAACATCCATTTTTAGTTAGAGTAGATAAATAATTACAGTAGTGGTCATTTTCAAATAAAATTAGATAGATTATAAAATATTTCTGAGTAATCCTATTTAATCTTGTCAGTTCAAAGATATTTTGGAGAATAAAAGGACCTGGTTAAAGTACAAGTTATGTAATTCAAGCTGTAACTGACTAATATCCATTTTAGTTTTTTTAAAGGTTTGACCTGCAGAGTTTTTATGTTTCTTGCTATAGACTATAGCTGCGATTCTATTTAACTGAAATCTGAATTTCAAGGAAATTTTAAAAAGCCCACAAAAAAAAGGACAATCAAATGTTTCCATTTGATGTGAACGAAATTTACCAAGCACTGGGTTGTCACACATGGTTACAATAAACAGGAAGTGGAAGCTGCAATCTAGCATGCATCACACATCAGTTGTCGAGGAAAATTTTAATGACTGTGTTGCCATCAAGGAAGTTACATTAACTTGTCATTTAGTAATGGTGGTGTTGCTTCCAGCCATGTATATGTGCTTAATAGGAACGTCTAGGAAGAAGGCGACAGCACAAACAGCCAATCAATCTTGTATGAAAAAGTTTGCTACGTCTGAGCTGATAAAAAAATAAAATAAAATTGTTTCCAACTTTTGTTTCATGGGGGTTTATTGGAATTTTGCCATTTCCATCAAGCTTTTCTGATACGATACTTCAAAATGCGAATTAGGAAAAGCAGATGGAAGAGCACCTTATGACATAAACCATTCCTTTCTATGCATTTGTTTAGTCCACAAATTCTCATTTTTAATTTTCTCTGAGTTTCAGATTTAGACTGTGCCATTCTTACATATCAGCGTTCTAAGATCTAACCTGCTACATAGGAGCTTCTTGAGGCAAGCCTTTATTAATGGTCAGAATCTATTTTACTTATTGTGCAGCTTCTAACTATTTTAACTACTGTGTAATTACCTCAACTCCAATGCGAATCATGTTCCCTACCAAATAAAAGCATCCCCACAGCATTATATTATATAACACTTTTCATGCAAGAATGCTTAAAAATGTTATAACACATTCATGATCTGCAGTAGAATAACAAAACCCTCAATAATCTAAGTCATGTAAATGCTAGTAACACTGTTAGCATCATTCAGTTTGGCTTATACAATAAGACATCAGTAATTTTAATAGTAATGGAGGCCTGTTCCATGGACATGGATAAAAAGCAAACATCATTTTTATTGGTTAAATTGCATTAATATGAATGATGCAGTAACAAATCTATCACTGAAACAAACAAAGCAATGACAGTAAAAGCCTCCTAATGTTCATATCATAAGCTGCACATTTAATAAAACATATTTTGGTTTTCTCTGTTGCCAGCTGAGCGCATCCAGCGGCACACATGAAATAGACAAATCTAAAACTATAAAATAAGACCTCTACTTGTGCAGTTTTTCAATCTCTACTTTTGCCACAGGTTGCAATCAACCATTTGTATATAGAGGGCTAAAAGAACTTAAGGGCTATACATACATACATATATATATATATATATATATATATATATATATATATATATATATATATATATATATATATATATATATATATATATATATATATTTTTTTTTTTTTTTTTTTTTTTTTTATTAAAATATGATCCAGTTACCATTTTGCAAAACAGGAAGCGAACAAAAAATATGGTAGCAATCACATGTGTCTTGGGAAAACGCAAATTTTAAATGCAATTTCCAGCTAAAGCAGATACAAGTAAGAAACATAAGGAATAACAACAACATATCACTTAAAACAGATCCAACACTTCTTTTTTAACATTTTTTTTTAACACTTTCTTGGTAATGAGATTTGTTGAGATTTTTTCACCAATTGGGTACCCTGATGCACCCCAGTGTTTTCTCATTAATAAGATGATTGTCAATCTAGGGCCCAAACAACTGCCTTCTCGTCACTCTGTGAGATCAGAGAGCACCGTTTAGCTGCTAGCCATTAATTACTGTGGCACTGTCCTCTGCATGCCAAAAAGGAAAAACACACAGGCATTCATTTACATGAAAGACACGAACGCTGCTCTTTGCCTTAGCAGCCAAAACAGATTTACGCTGCATGTCATCATCACATCGTTTAAGACTCACTACAGAGGACAATACGGCATAATATAATCACCATGCATCTCCATGACACCCACAGATTACAGAAGACGTCCAGACATTCTGTAACTTCCAATAACTGTCACTGAGGTTAAAACAGACT